CGAAGTTCGCAGCTAAAGCGAGAGAGTTGGGGAAAGTGGAAATGCTCGCATCTCCAAGAGCAGAAGTGATGCCACTGGCAAGCACGGAATAAAAGAGTGTGGAACGCATAATTGCGTGTATATAGATGTTTGTAGTAAAGACCGACGACGAAGAACTTCGTTCTCCAGGAAAAAAAGATCTAGAATAGACAAGAAAAGAAGGTAGGTTGATGCAGAAAGGAAGTGTTCACATCACGAATGAAAGCGATTATATTCCATCTTTATTTGAAGATTGAACGAACACCCCCAAGCCAATTACCGCTGGGCCCCATCCATCCCATCAATGCCTGCCGTGATCTACTAAGATTATCACACCATGCAAGCAAGCAAACAAGTGGACAAATGTTCCGTGATGTTTCCAAATGAATTAATTCATTAATATATTTTGATTTCCCGAGCGGATAAGGCGAACAGCCCCTGGAAAAGGAACGAGGAACTAGACCGCAGTGGTGAGTGTGGGGAAATTTGATGCATTTCAGATGAAACGGACACGAAGGTTAAAAACCAACAAGCTCGTATTGTGTTTATGGTACTCTGTAATAAGAATGTCATTTCTTCGTAAAAGAGATTATTACGGGCAAGGATAGATAAAAACAACAAGTCAGTCTGTGAAGTTGTAGTTTACAATCATTCGATTATTAATAGGAGAAAAGCTCATTTTATATGAGTAGGTAGGTACACAACAAAACAAGTAGGTCAGAGATTGAATATGAATTATCTAATCCCAAATTCCAAACCATAAAATAAGCTTAATTCAATTCAATTCATTTTAAATAGAGGAATAGAGGAATAAGAAAAGATCTTCATCTTCATCTTCTATGCCCTACCTAGGCACCTAATCATCTCCCACTTTAGATACTCCACGAAGAACCAAATAACCCCTCTCCATCCACCCAACATCCAACATCCAACATCCATCCTCAGATCCTCCACCTACCTAGTAGGCAACTACACTTCTCACACTATACACTATACACTATACACTACACAATCTACCTCCCCTCCCTACATTCTCACCATCCAACCATCCAACTCAACCAAACGCATAAACAAACCTAAACTAAATCAAATCCCCGCTTGCCTCCCCTCTCCTCCCCTTCCATTCTCTACTCCCCTTCCTCTACTCCCCTTACCTCCCCGTGCTCCCCTACCTACCTTCCTCCTCCCTCACCCTATCCACCCACACTTCACCCAAGAACCGCAGTGACATCCTCCCCGAAACACTCCCCCGCCGCTTTTCCACCTCCCTCTCAACTTCACTACAATTTTCATCCCAGATTTTCATCATACTTCTCGGACATTTAAAAGCAGCATAAATTTCCGAGGATCCACCTTGGAAACATCACGTTTCATGTTAAGTATCGATGAATCTAGATTTATAAGTTAATGGGATGAAGCATTTGAGTCTACACAGGTAATTAATTGTGTTGGTCGAAAACACGCATGGATATATTGTGGTTTGAACACTATTATTTACTTCCATCCAAGAGAATATCTTGGCAGATTTTGATTCAACAAAAAGATCATCAATCAGACGCCATTTAGATTGACATTCAAGGGTATATAAAGCATTAATACAGAATGAATTCATCGTGAACCATCATAATCATCATCCAATCTTCTCCAAGAGCCACATCCGTATCGACATCCATGAATGCGTACATATGCTCTCATAGCTGACGTTTTTCTTATTCAAGGGGAGATGTCGAATAGTTTCTATCGGTCGTTGATTCTCAATTTCCTTCTCACTGAACCAAGCTCCATGTAATCCATACGGAACTCGTTGTGGAAGGTGTATTTTACATACAACAGTTTTCATATCCCTCGCATCGATAACCCAGAGTTCACTTTTTGCTTGAGAGCCTGCAAAATTATGCTCATCAAGTTGAGCTTCATCGAAGACATAAGAAAGTAACCAGCCGTCATCTTCTGTCTTGCCATTTTCTCGTGGTACAAATCTTGACTCTTGGGCGTAGAAACCTTGTGGCAGTTTAAAGATTTTAATGGGATCATTTGGATCGTTCGAAGCAAGAATTTCAGTGACCGTTCGTATATCAACACAACCCGTGATGGGGGTTTGATTCGTCTCTTTTCCACGAGCGATTAACGCGAGGACATCTACTTTGACGAGTGAATCAATCTTGACAGCACGGCCAAGAGCAGCTCCAAATGTGCCATCCGATACTGAGCAGCCGTAAACATACTGAGCTTCAGTCATGGATAAAGATTCGCGTATTGAAGGAAATTCGAACGGTATCGATGAGAGAGCAAATTGATGGCTTATACTATTCTCCAAGTCGGTGAGTGGAAATCGATAATAGTATAATCGACATTGTTCTTCTTCGATTGGGGCAGTCAATGGGTTGTCTTTCGGAATAGGAGCTGCAACATCACCTGCGCTAAAGACTAGTGAAGCACTTGTCAACCGGCAGGCTAGCATGTTAACTGATATTGTTTCTTCGCTTTTGGTAGATGTATTGGTGATAGTGTCGTCCCAGCTATTAGCAGTATGAAAGATGCAGCAGGCATTCGTTTCAAACCATCGAATATGCTCAGGCTTCCATCTTGGGAAAACACCAAACCTGGAAATTCCGGATGGGTCATATGAGACCACAGGTTCGTTACGGGCAAGATTCATGGGATCAAGTGAAAGAGGGAGATCCATGATTATGGTATGACTAAGGGAGACACCAAAATCATGCATCATCTTTGCGGATTTGACTCCTGGGACAGTTGCGTTGACGAGTCGTGGGAGCTTATTAGGAGAATTATTATGATGTGTACTGGGTATAATAGAATAATGTACAAAAGGTGCAATAAATGTAGAATGGAAAAGTATAAGTTCGTTCGTGATAGGATCGATTCTAGGATGTGCTGTTGTCCACTCCTTCATGAAACCAATGAGTCCACTTCCACCAAAGACTTCGCCGGATTTTGTGTCTGTAATCGGCTCTCCTTCTGCTCGAACACCATCGTACCAGCCGACAGTCTCTAAGCCTGGTAAGGAAATACGCATCGGTGGTCCACTCTCGCATGCCGCCAAGGCTCTACCATCATGGTATAGTACACTGGTATTTGCTACGCTGATCTTTTTGATTGCCTTTGCAGATCCAGGTAGGTTGGAGAGGATGACAAGGAAAATAGTCCGGAATATTCGCAGAATGATCGTGAGAAGAGTTGAGGCGGGATTAACGAGCGTAGCTATGCTCGGAAGAATAGGCAAACGGAGGGATGGCGTTGAGATGCTCGAGAGATATGTATCGGTGAGGATATATTGATTGACGAAATACGGATGTGCACTACCATCTTCCGCTCTTCGAAATGCTACACCACTGAGCATTCCATCACCATCGAACCAGTGTGCATCCCTACCCAAATCTTCATTTGTCACTGGGTTTCCTCCATTGCGTACATATTCACCGCCGGCCAGTTCCTTTGGTATCACACCAGTATAGATACAAGGTGTCAAAGGTTGTGTGCGATGAATAGGTGCGAAGTTTCCATGAAGATATGGATGTTGCTTCCTAACCGCGTTCTTTTTCTCATTGGCGAACGTCATGAACAGAAGAGTCAAAGAAATGCTGCAATTGATATTTCCTTAACATGAGCATGTGGAGAATGAATTGATTTAATAACAGCGATGATTAATTGGCATGAATGTGATCTAGGTAGGTAGGTAATGCGTCGACGAGGTGAAATTTGTGAATAGTTTCCCAAGATAAGTGGTGTGATAATGTGTTGACGATTAGTGTAGATTTAGGAAATACCTACATTCTCTCATGGAAGCTCTTTGTGTTTTTCCCTCCTCGGGGCGAAGAGTGTAGGAGCTTCAGTCCGGGTAGGAATAGTAGGCATTGTATGGAAAGCATTGTTCCTTGGCCCTGATGTCCCTCGCCCCTTGACAAATGAAAAGAATTGAATGGGGCGGTACTCAATCAAGGTATCTACCAAGGTAGCTACCAAGGTAGAGTGCAGAGTGCAGAGTACGAGAGTAGCAGGAACATGTGAGGTATGACGACAACCTGTTGCTAGCATACGATGGAATGACCAATGGCCTGATATCTTGTCTACTAGGGAATCGGACTAGGGAATCGGGATCGGGAGTTGGCTTACTAAGATCTTACATACCTCGGGAAGTAATGATGGGAATTGTTGATGGGAAACTCGGATGAATGATGGATGATGAGATGGAGAAGTGAAGTAAGAGATGGACCTGGCTGACAAGAAGGGCACAATCAATCGGAGATTACATAATACCCATGGATGAAAAAGTAATGACGACATGGAGCATTATCATTGACAAGGATTGCATTCTGCTACGCGCCACCACTTTCTCGACTGAAATAAGTAGGTAGGTGCCTACTTTGGTGTCTTTTGAGACTCGACGTTCCCGTCAATTCATTCTTTGAAAGCTGTCTGCGATTTACCTAGGGGACACCTACCTATTATTTTGAGAATAGGTGCAAATGAACCATGATAGATGTGCCAGGAAAGAATCTGACATTCGAACAATTAGCGCGTGGATGATTCAGCCAACATCATATACTAGACTCACAAGAGACTAACAACAACAACACTGATGTTATTATTAGTCTACTGTGTTCAGAGTAGTATAGTATAGTATCAAAATACCGGAAGGTACCGCAATACAACTTAGTAGCCATCTGGGCACCTGGCTGTTTGAACCATTATGAGCCGCTTTCCGCTTCCCGTAACCGTAAATACCATCCATCCATCCATACATACATACTGTGAGCGGGAATGCCCAAGCCTCGAATCTAGGTTTCTACTACCTACCTACCTACCTACCTACTAATTCTCTTCCGTTTTACCAGCTTTGGCTGCTTTACTGGGATGCCACTTCCCTTCCAACTTTTCTTCATTCAATCCCAATTAGTGAGAATTTTCTTCTCATCCCATATTTCCATATTCTCATATTACCTCTTAGTCTCCCCGCATCACTTCATCCGTTTTCTATCTCTAGAGTCTAGATAGAGTCTCTAGTCTTGGGTTTTGTATAGAGATGTCTACATTCTGCAGATCTGGGTACCATCAATTTTAACTTTTCCCCGCGTCAAAATGGGCTTCGAATATGCCTTAGTGTTAGTACATTAACCCCTATATCTCGATTCGGAAACTGACCATTATCAAGCCATCTCAAATATAATATCCCGCCAGCCATCGTCTTAACATTCATTTATCGACCTTTCATTCAGCGGATAGATATCTACAAGATTCTATTCCTCATAGCTATTGCTGTCGTTTCAACCATTCCTTGGGATTCATATCTCATAAAGCGGAAAATATGGACTTATCCCCCTAATGTGATCATTGGTCCTAAACTATTTTTGATCCCCGCCGAAGAACTATTTTTCTTTGTAATACAGACATACAATACTAGTCTTCTTTATTTGCTCTTGAGCAAGCCAATCTTTCATTCGACCTATCTTGGGGCTGGGAACGTCCGGGTGAAAAGAAACGGAAACCTTGGGATCCGCTGGCTCTGCCGGTTTCTTTGAAATCTGCGCGAAATTCGGGCCAACTAATCATTGGATCTCTGATTTTAACAGGAGGCTTCCTCATCGTTCAAAATGCCAGAGGGACGTATTTAGGATTGATTCTGGCTTGGGCAGGGCCATTTGCCCTACTACTGTGGAGTCTATCCCACGCATTCTTGATCAGACTTCCCTACACAACTACTCTATTGCCAATTACTCTATCCACTTTATATTTATGGATAGTTGATACGTTGGCATTGAAAAGAGGCACGTGGAGCATCGAAACAGGCACAAAATTAGGTTTGCACTTATGGGATGGACTCGACATAGAAGAAGCTGTGTTTTTTCTTGCAACCAACGTACTTATTGTGTTTGGTCTTGTCGCTTTCGACCATGCATTGGCTATATTGTTTACGTTTCCTACCTTGTTTCCGACTGTTCCCGAATGTCCTTCCCCCCAAATGCTGGTGTGTGCACTTTTAACAGACACATGCAAGTACGATAACCTTCGAATTGCAGGTATCCAAGAGGCTGCGGAGCTATTGAGACAGAAGAGCAGAAGTTTTTATCTGGCAAGCTCCGTCTTTCACGGCCGTCTTCGAATTGACTTGATCCTGTTGTATGTATTGCTTTCTACAGTGCCGTATTGACTTTTGCTTTAATTTTTTTTTACTAATGTGGATTAGATACTCTTTTTGCAGAGTTGCTGATGATCTTGTTGATGATGCAAACAACACTGATTCTGAGGCTCGGGAATGGATCGTCAAACTCACTCACTACCTTGACCTAGTGTATGCATCAAAAGAAACGGCCAATGTGGCTGCTTCATGCCGTTCTGACATTGATAAATACATTCAAGATAGCTTTCCACCATCTTTATATCGGACACTTCGCCTTCTACCAACTCATATTCTATCTTCCAAGCCTTTGTACGAGTTACTGGAAGGGTTCAAGACGGATTTAGAATTTCATCAAGCAAATTGTTACAGAAAGAGTGGTGAATTTCCTATCAGAGATGAGCATAATCTTACGATATATAGCAGAAGAGTTGCTGGGACAGTAGCTGAGATGTGCTTGGAACTAGCTTTCTATCACACTTCGGCTGTTGTCTTATCGCACCAACGTGACGAGCTGATTCAAGCTGGAGCTCGCATGGGAATAGCTCTACAGTATATCAACATATGTAGAGACGTAGCAACGGATGCCGCAATCGGAAGAGTCTACCTTCCAACTTCTTGGCTCGAGGAAGAAGGCTTACAACCTCAGCATGTTGTGGAAACCCCTACCGGGCCAATTATTGACAAACTGAGAGGAAGATTGTTGAAAAAGGGGTTTGCCATCTATCAGGAGGCTCGCCCTGCTATCGAACAAATCCCAGAAGATGCTAGAATGTCAATGAGAGTTGCTGTTGAAAGCTATGTTGAGATAGGAAGAGTCCTGAAAGAAAATAAGTACGTGGTTACTAAAGGTCGCGCAACAGTACCGAAACTGAGGCGGATAGCAGTTGCTTGGAAGGCATTGAGGCAAGGTTGATAAGTTTTGAGATACCATTAGCATTATATAATTGTACTCCGGACTTCCCGGCATAGCATTTTCAGCAACATAAATATGAAGATATTGTGTGCTGTAGTCTTGTTATGTAGTATACTAAATTGATGTTTCGTTCCATACTACGAACACATATCGTGTGATTTGGCTTGGCACCTGTGAGGTTGAGCTCGGACCATTCCGAATGGAATTATGGCAATTGACGATGCCCAGTCAAAAATTGGATGACACTTCGATCTTGCACTATCGGAATGTGCGAAGTAAAACCAAGCATTATCTCTTATCGACCCATTTCAGCGACTAGGTACGTACTACCTGAATAGGTAATCACGACCTATCCATTCAACATGTGAATAATCTCGTGTTATACTGGTCTTTGTACCATATATTTCAATTCCGTTACCAGAAAATTGTGATGGCGACCCCAGAAATGAAGAAAACTGCCATTGTAGTCGGTGAGTTCTCATCCAATTTACCTCTGTGTTTTACCCCCCTCCCCTCTTCCCATGCACATTATCTCAAACTTAGGTAGGTAGTTCGTAAACTAATAATGCTTTTGAACAATAGGTGCCGGAGTCGGTGGCATTGCAACGGCAGCACGATTGGCAAAGGCAGGCTTCTCTGTCACGGTACTCGAAAAGAACAATTTTACGGGCGGTCGTTGCAGCTTAATTCATCATGATGGATATCGATTCGATCAAGGGCCTTCCCTTCTACTTCTACCAAAGATGTTCAAAGAAACATTCCATGATCTCGACACTTCACTCGAAGACGAAGGGGTAGAACTACTAAAATGCGAGCCTAATTACAATTTGTGGTTTGGAGATGGAGAGAAGTTTGAACTCAGTACGGATGCGAGTGTAATGAAGCGAGAGATTGAGAAATGGGAAGGGAAGGATGGGTTTGAAAGATATTTGCAATGGCTTGGAGAAGCTCATCGACATTATGAATTGAGCGTGCGGGAGGTTTTACACAAGAACTTTACATCGATATTCAACATGTTACGGCCTAGTTTTCTTCTCAACGTCTTTGCTCTTCACCCTTTCGAAAGTATATATTCTCGAGCCTCAAAGTACTTTTGGACAGAGAGGCTAAGACGCGTTTTTACTTTCGGGAGTATGTATATGGGAATGTCTCCCTTCGATGCCCCTGGCACATATTCCCTTCTACAATATACGGAACTTGCTGAAGGCATCTGGTACCCGGTAGGTGGGTTTCATGCCGTCGTTGAGGCTCTCGTCCGCATATGCGAGAGATTAGGTGTCGATATACAACTCAATTCGCCAGTTGACTCGGTGTTAACGTCCCACGATGGCAAGACTACAACAGGTGTTCTTTTATCTTCCGGCAAAAAGCTTAATGCAGATCTCGTCGTTATTAATGCTGACCTCGTCTATGCCTACAATAATCTATTCCCTACCTCCAGATCTACGTCCTACGCCAAATCTTTACAAAAACGAACGGGCTCTTGTAGCTCCATTTCTTTCTACTGGGCTCTCTCTAAGCAAGTTCCACAACTTGATACCCACAATATATTTCTCGCAGACGAATATCGCGAATCATTCGACTCTATCTTTGATAGGCAGTCTATTCCTGACGAGCCTTCATTCTATGTGAACGTGCCCTCGAGAGTTGATCCAACTGCCGCGCCGACAGGTAAAGATTCTATTGTAGTTCTCGTTCCCGTTGGCCACCTACTCAATTCGGTCACGTCCAATCGTCCTCGAGGCGATGGCTCTGCCACATCTGGTACTGGTATTCCCAAAGAACAAGACTGGGAGTCTATCGTAAAGTCTACTCGGCGAAGGATACTGCAAACGATAGAATCACGAACGAAATGTGAGCCGATCGAGTCATTGATTGTTCACGAAGAACTGAATACGCCTACATCATGGGAATCGCGATTCAATTTGGATAAAGGATCAATCCTCGGACTTTCTCATTCTTTCTTTAATGTCCTCGCATTTCGCCCCAAAACTAAACATCCCGAGATTAAGGGTGTATATTTTGTAGGTGCATCGACGCATCCAGGAACCGGTGTACCTATCGTTCTGGGGGGAGCAAAGATTACAAGTACACAAATCTTGGACGACTTGAGGATGGAGTGTCCATGGAAAGAAAAAAGCAATGTGGTTTCCGATGAGGGGGTTATACAGGGAAAAGGGACGAGAAGCCTGGATAGAATTGTTAGACAAGGAACGATTTCAAGTAATTTTGGGATCTTCATACTGGCGTCGGTAGTGCTGATATTTACTACGGGGTACATTAATGGTAATTTGAGAGTTTCTTGGGATGGGGAGATGAAGAGAACATGGGGAACTGAGAAAGCGTTATAATTGCCATCACAATTTCAGATATCCATCTTTTTGTTGTCGGATCCATTTTCAAGATCACCAAAATTGATTAATCAGTAAGTCAAGATAAGGTTATGACCTGTTGTAGTTTCTACTCTGTAGCGAACCGCGAAGACTAGTGTCGGTATCTAACGGACCTCTTCCGGATCTAGAATGGTCTACTTTGTCTATAGGTCGTTATGTCACCTCGTCATAAGTTCGAATGCGAGTCGGCCCACTCAACTGCCATCCGGATTATCATTGCTCTCAGTATTTGAAAATCTAACGTCCAGTTCCCTTTTGATCGGATGTTCAACCCTTCAGTTGCCAGAGAGCCATCGAAATGCCCTTTTTCAAGGTTCATGGCAAGACATCGATCGAGTGGTTGGAGTCACATCCGGTGATACCCTCTGAAAATGATTGATTCGTTCATGTGGTGTAATGACTTTTTATTTTCGGAACCTCGGAAGGGACGGGAGCGACTTCTATTTGTTGAGATGATTTTTACTTTCGAACTATGAAGCTTGCACTACGATGTTGAGGAGATTGAACGATTTGTAGAAAGACATGCTCGGCAATGTTTTGATAGGTCTAGAACGTTTCAGTCACAGATCAAAAACAAGCTTTTATTTGGTGGGTCTGTTTTTGTAGGATGGAAGTTCACTGAGATTTGCGATTTTTCCATGATGGGATTGAGTATCGAAGTCTGTGCCCTTGTTACATCAGAGTCTATGACACCTCTATCCTAATCCAATCCCGACTGTCAACCGAGAATATCACTCATTCGCTATGTAGGCATTCTAATGGTACTCGGACCCCTGGGAAAATTTCCCTCATCCTGTCATCGTTGTTACATTTTCGTGCTGTCGAATCAATTTATAATTGATGACATATTCGTTGCTATCATTTCCTCGAAAGGCTGTAGTTCTAGCCACTAGAAAATTCTCTAGCCGAAATAGGTACAATTGAATATGCATGGTTGACGACAAACCCTCTGTCTCCCCTCGTTTTCATGTGGGAAATATGAAGTAGAGCTATATGGCAAAGCTTTCTTGTATTCTAATCAAGCTTTTATGTGCCGATTCTTGTTTTATTGCTCGCGTCTTGTCATCTAGATTTTGAAGTCCCGATCCAATATCGATGGCAGTATCGGCAGTTTGATGATGTCGATGTCGCTGATCACAGTATGATCGAAGATTTGACAGTTAGCTGAGTCTTAAAAATATTTATAAGCCGCTTCATCCAGTTCATATATTTGCTATATATATCGTCCTACCTCAAAATTACATTAACGTTACTGCTTAATTTTCATACATACCCCTCTTCATATTGTTTGCCATTGAAATAATTCTCTATTGACATCCATACATTCGATCAATATGATTGAAAAACGAGCCAATGGTGCATTGCACGCAAATCCAGATGTTTTCCACTACCCAGCAAATTCCGATATTAACATCACAACCCGTGGAAGTGATGTATATTGGGCCATTACTGCTGCAATGGCCTTCGCAACTATAACTTTCATTGCTTTGAGTTTCCGAGTTCCACGAAGCAAGCGTGTCTTCCATTACATTACTGCGGCCATTACTATGACGGCCTCGATTGCGTACTTCACCATGGCATCAAATTTGGGCTACGCTTCCATCATTCAGGAATTCCAACGTAGCGATCCTAAAGTCAGTGGTGTGTACCGGGAAATCTTCTACGTGAGATATATTGATTGGGTTATCACAACTCCTGTAAGATTGCCTGCTGTTACCTTTTTGTGTGGTCAAGTGCTAATAATTCTGCTTTCAGCTTTTACTCTTGGATATCCTCTTGACTGCAGGTCTTCCATGGCCAACGATATTGTTCACAATCTTTTTGGACGAGATCATGATTATCACCGGCCTCGTTGGTGCTCTCGTGGCATCTTCTTATAAATGGGGATACTTCGTCTTCGCAATGGCTGCTCTCTTTGGTATTGCCTGGAACATTTTCGTCGTGGGAGCTCAACATGCCAAAGCTTTGGGCACCGAAGTGAACAAAGTATATTGGACTTGTGGAGGCATCACCATGTTCCTCTGGTTCCTCTACCCTATCGCCTGGGGTCTTTCCGAAGGTGGAAACATCATTGCGCCCGATTCGGAAGCAGTCTTTTATGGTGTTCTCGACGTCCTTGCCAAGATCGGCTTCGGTGCTCTCTTGTTGTTTGGTCATCGTAACATCGATCCTGCGCATCTGGGTCTGCACATTAGGGATTACAATGAACAGCCAAGTACATTCCATGATAAGGATGTCGGTCGTCACAATGGTGTCCATCATGATGGTGCACATGTCCCAGTTACGAACAATGCTGGTTATCGGGAAGGACAGAATACTCCGGCTGCTACGGCGGTTAACTCAAACCATGCGGTTAATGATCCGGCTTTTAACAATACGGGTACGGTTCCAGCTAACTCTTCTGTTGTCTAAAGAACGAGCTTTTGGCCGCTTGGACAATATAATGGTTAAGGGATTTCGGATCAGAAATCTGGAACAAAAACTCTGGCTGTCTATGCTAGGGATATCCATTTGATATCATGGCATACAGGCTCGCCAAAATGAAAAGGTTGAGAACACAAGTCTTGGAAGTCTTCCACTAGAGAGAAATTCTGGTTCTCCAGGAATGGAGACGGGAATGTGTTTTTTGTTTATTTATGTTTAATGATAATGTGGATGAGGTAAAGGGAGGATATAAGTGCTTGGGGTTAGGTGGAAGAGGTGGATGGATGAGGCCTCGGGGATTCTTTTCTATTTTAATTACTTTTACTTTTTAGAGCATAATATTATGGTTCTGATTTATTTGTTTGATTGTGGTTTATGAGTGTGGAGTGTGGTGATTATTGTTTATTCGAATCTGAATGTGAATGTGGCATGGAGGAGGAGAGGTATTATGGTGTTGTGGTATTGTGCTGTGTGTATTGTGGAATGGGCGTTGCTAGTGTAACGAATGTACGTGGTGATCGGTATGAAGTGGTGGTTTTCTTTTTGAAGCAGTTACATGATAGTAATAGCAGGTAGAAAGCATACCATCCGACTATATGCTTTACTGGAGATATTCTCGGAGCTTTTGAAGTTGATCATACATTCGATCGAATTCGAATTCGAAATGATCTGAAGTGTGCAAAGCTCAAGCATTTTTTAGGGATGTTCATTAGAATGCTTTTGATGGGTTGTTTTATATCAAAAGTTTGATTGTATTATGGTGAAAGAAATGCCGAATGAGGGGGTGTGGAGTATTTCCTCTCGGTCACGAGGGACTCCCATAGGTTTATTTGCATGCCGGTCGGATTCACCCCGGATAACTCATATATCGTATCCGTAGCCGAGCCCTGCAGTAGATGTTGATAAGGGTTCTGTTTTGACGGGTTTGGATGTAAGCATGGTGCTTGGTATGCTGGTTTGAACTTGTTATATTTGGATTTTAAAGAAGATTCTGTGGATTGTGATGGTGCTGTGTGCATGGCCGGGATGGTTGATGAGTGAGGTAGGTCTATTTGGTTCTCTTTATGCCAGTAGTGTTCTGAGGGATTAACTTGATTCTTTATATCACAACAATGCTATATGCACGGCTCGGATGGGTGACAAGTGGGGTCTACTCAATTCTTCCCACACCAGTAATGTTCCGGGGGATAAACTCGACGGCTATTCCAAGGATGACGATAAATTGCATGGTGCATGATGCTTGACAAATGTAGAAGGTGGAGTGGATATCCTGCTTGTCTTGGAATATTTTGAGCACTTTCATTCGTTGATGGTGATTACGTCGGCGAGATCTTACCCCGATTAAAAGCTACCCCGGTTTGTTGCCAAAGAACCCGAATATTGTTGTTCTAGTCTTTTACATAAATCATGACTGATTCCTATCAAGATTTCCGACTCGAATCTTTAGAGTTCCAAACTTCACAATGGCAATTCCCCTCGGTAAATTTCTACTTCTGATCTTGGGCTTCGTAGCTCTTGTCAGAAGCACAACATTATCTCGCTTTCACGAGGATGATCCAGCCCCAGGTGGTCTTGCATTCAAATACCCTTACCCCGTGCACTTCTACCATTTCACTTCGCAACAGCAAAATCTAACCATGGCCTACATGGATGTTCCTCCCTCCAACACTACTTCATACTCTGGAACCATCGTCCTCCTCCACGGCAAAATGTTCTGTGGCGCAACCTGGAACACAACCGCCCACGCTCTCTCCTCAATCGGCTACCGCGTCGTCATCCCTGACCAGATCGGCTTCTGCAAATCCTCAAAAACAATGCACTATCAATTTTCCCTGCACCAACTCGCCACCAACACAAATCTCCTCCTCCAATCCCTCAACATCACTTCCGCAATCATCATGGGTCATTCCATGGGGGGCATGATATCCGCTCGCTACGCCCTCACCTTCCCCTCCCAAACCCAGCGTCTTATCCTCGTCTCCCCTCTCGGTCTCGAAGACTGGCAGGCCCTAGGAGTCCCCTACCAACGCCCCGACCTCACCTTCATCACCGAGCTCGCAACATCCTACACCAGCGTCATGACGTATGAGAAATCCACCTACTATGGCGGGACCTGGGATCCCGCTTACGACGAATGGGTCAACATGCTTCTGGACGTGTATACGGGACCGCAGGGACGCACCTTCGCGTGGGATATGGCGTTGATGACGGATGCGATTTTTGTGGAGCCGATCGTGTATCAGCTGCCGAATTTGACGATGAGGAGTTTGCTGGTGGTGGGAGATTTGGATAATACGGCGATAGGGAAGGCGTGGGCGCCGGCGAGTGTGCAGGCGATAGTGGGTCATTATGAGGTGCTGGGGAAGGAGGTTGCGGCGAGGGTCCCAGGGATGGATTTGGTGGAGTTTGAGGGGTTGGGACATAGTCCGCAGATCCAGGATTTTGAGACGTTTTGGAAGGCGGTGGAGGGGTGGTTGGGGGAGGTGTAGGGGAGGGGATTTGAGGGGAGGAGAGACTTGAGGGGAATTTTATATCGACGATGTCGGAGTTTAGTTTCTCTATTATGCACTGCGAATGAGTGATCTCGCGAGTGATTCTATCGAGATCTATCATTCAAATTATTAAAGATAATATCAACAGCATATCCTCTCGCAAATTGACAAATCAATCATTGGAATGGTGTTAAACACTTTGTTTCGGAACCTGCATTTCCTCTTCTTTTTCCTCCCTCTTTTTTATATCTCTCTTTTCAAATTCATCAACTTTAAATTCTTCTAATAATAAAAAAGGAGAAATGGGATGAAGTACTCTCTTCTACCCTAGCATCTATTCAAGGGCTTCAGAAGAAGTGTTTATATGTTATTGATACGATCAGGTTTGGAGATTGTATAATTATACAATCATGTGATTGTATAATATGATCTATACTAGTATGACATAGATCTTTACCGTTAGTATACAACCCCTTGACCAAAAACTTGACATTAGGACTTTCTGCGGAGTTTGAAATAAAGTTTTGCTTGATATGAGTAATGTACATTTATTTTTTGATGGTATTAGTACCTAGGTAGATAATTAGACTTCTTCTTCGATAACACAATCCCTGATTTTTGGTCTTGTTTTGGGAAGAGCTTGCTCTTTCTGTTAATTCTGTTGTGTCTTGTAATGGGTTGCTCTCATGCTCTAGAAAGTCTGAAATATCACTTACATGCCTAATAAATTCTAGATATTAAATTCGAGAATCTATTTTGGGGTATGGGAGTAAAATAGCTTCAATTTCTTTTCGACTTGAGAGGAATTTAATATTCTATTGTGCTGTTCTCGTTCACTCGAATAGTAGGGTGTCAATTGATCAATTGGCATAGTAAATCATTTCTTTACACTTTCTTCTTCAAAGATAGGCTTACTACTTCCCGTGGATGTAAACTTGGGAGAACAATCACTTTGTTTGAGAAATCGACTAGGATTTATGTAGCACAATTTTGACAAAGAACTCATCAACGCAAACGTCTAATAGCCGAATTCCTTTTCGCTTCCAAAGACGCGATTCAAAGTACAAAGAGGATCTTCTTCCGGTGGAGGTTTCAATAGCTATAGCTTGCTTCCCTTTGAGACCTCAAATCTTGACTACTTTTACTTCGCTTTAAGTCTTCGTAAGTACTAGGGAAATCATCATATCAGAGATATACACAAAATTTCAGAAAGTCATCATGAGTACCCTAGGAAGACGACCACAAAAAGGAGAAAGTTCCAAGTCTGCTTACACTTCGGCCTACCACAGCTTTGGAGAAGGGCAAGAACCATGGCAAGAAAATCTTCGAGAGCGGAGTTCGTGGGGAGAAACAGCAGGAGATGATGTATTTGAAGATGCGACCTCAGGGAAAAAGGAGGAAGAAAAAGAAGAGCTTAGGAAAAGTCAAGTTCTTCCCGCGCATGAGATACTCTCCACAGAGGGTTCACCCGTTGCAACTCCCGATCCCCCTACGGAAGTATCTGAATCTCCCGAATCTGATGGCGCATATAAAGATGACAGAGCTGAGGAAAGCTGGCGCAAACGAAAGGACATTGCCCGAGCAATAAAAGGAAAAGGCCGAGAAAGTGAGGGGAGAGAGGAAAGAGGGGGATCTGCATCTTTTAGACAGCGGAAACTAACGGGGAAATTGGCTTTCAAAACAGCAAAGCCAAGGGGGATGTCTCCTTCTTCTTTGCATAAATTTACAGATGAAATAAATCGGCAGGAGTTAGAGGAAAAACTTAGTCAGGGCGCTGCGCAGAAAGCTCGTCAAGGTGAGATAGGTCTCAACGCGCCAGCCAGCACCGCTGGTATCCCCGGTCCCACACCGGCGCCGGGAACACAGACAGGAACACGCGAAAAGAAATTCTACGTTTATAAAGCACCACACAAAGTAAGCTACGTTAAGCCCTGGACCTGGCGATTTCGCCGCGCGAAACCCGCAGACGAAACAGGAAAGACAGCCGGAGAGGGACACTACTATGCCCACAAAACGCGTCCCAAATCCCCCTCCTGGCTATTCTGGAAGTGGAATTGGCAAGGTCCGAAGCCCATATCGTGGATTCCCATCTACCCGTCCTATCACCCCGAGAACGACGATCCGGAGCTGAAAATCTTCATTGCGTATAGTTGTGGACATCGTTTTCCTACACGCGTGATTTCCGGTCCTACCTGGACCGCCTCGTCGCCGTCCTTTCTCTTCTCCCCCTCCTCCCCCTTCACTCCCAACACACCCACCTACCCCAGAAGTGGAAGCACAAGCGGCCACCCGCACATCCATCCGCTGCCCTCCTTAAAAATCGAGACTCTGCGCGCTGCGGCTCGGAACGAAGGAATCAAGAACATCATTTCCCCCGAAAACTATGTGTGTCCCAATTGTTTCATATGGCGGCAATGGTTTGGTGGACTATGCTTGTTAGTATTATTCTGGGCTGTCTTCACGTGGTACTTTGCGTTTGTATGGCCTTATACGTGGTGGGCTACGACTGAGACAGGGTATCCAATCCCGAGATATACAATGGTTACCCAATTCGATATTCGTCGTTTTCACGACGGGGACGGGTTTCATGTACGTCAGGCCATAGGAGGGATTGTGGTTACGATCTTTTGGTTTATCATGCGGATTATTTGGAAATGCACACGACTTTTTTGGAGCTGGATGTGGCTACCTGTGGTACTTTCTCTGGGGTTTTTTATTATTTCCAGACAACGGAAGAGGCGCAAGGTATAAAAGGATTTCTTTCAGCGGAAGTACTATTTGGGATCTACCCTATCCATCACGTCGAATAGTTGCCGTTGTTCTTCTTCGGATGAATGAGGAAAAGGGAGGGGATGAATTATGTGATAACCTGTTTTATAATAGAAACATTCTCAATGCTGTCTATGCTTTACGTTCTCTGTAAAACCCGCAATCATTTGTCTTTTCTATGTTATTTCAAGATTTGATCCGGAATATTTAAATGATTGTATATTATGGATTTTCTTTTTGGAATATCATATAAGTACTTAGTAAAGCCGCTCCCACTAATAAAGTAACTATCACCACAAACCAAATCACCTGTTCTACGACTTAAAATTTGAAATACTATTCATCGGAGTAAACAGAACATACCATATTTGATAGTCTCATCGAAGGAATCTGCTTCATACTTCTTCTCTACCATGAACCCGATCAAAAATGTGAAAAAAGTGATTGTGATCAAGCGATCCATATGCACTTCCGTATTCATTGGTTTCTTTCTATTTTGAAAGAGAAAAAGAATTGTAAAATTGGAATTGGTCAGGGAATCTTGACTGCTGGAGAGTAGAGAGATATATGGAATTTTGACTTTGACTTAATTTCATTTTCTCGATTCAACGCCCTCGTGTCTCGAAGTGACGTATAACATGATATGTACACAGACTAATAGAAATATACTTATAAGATAACCTTACAATTCCCACTTATCCCCATCCTCTTGAAAAGCAAATACTTCCTGAGGTCCCTCACTATCTACAATATATCCCAATTCACATTTATCATACCTAACTACTCTTTCTGCCATGTCTTCTGCATAAAATGTGTCGAAGCGAGGAGATAAAGCGTCGTCAAGGGTTCTTACGTTTCCAGCTGGATGTAATACCGACCAAGGTTGTACGCACGTGTTACCCTTGCAGGATTTTGTTACCATGAGAAGAGCATCGAGGCGGGGAATGAGCTTGGGAAGATTGAGTTTGCCATGTGTGGAAGCGCTTGCAATAGATGAGGAAGGATAGATGTTGTTTGTTTGATGCGGATCGCTGGTTAAATCGTAGAGCTCGTGTTCGTTGGTACACCAGACTGAGTAATAGAGATTATGGCTATCGCTAATTATACGCAGAGCTTTGTAGGTGTTATTGAGACCATAATAGACGACCTTCCCATCATCGAGAGAAAATCGATGGATGCCTTCAGGAAGTGCTTTTCCCCAGAATTCTACATTCACGTGTTCCTGTCTGGTATTCTCGGCATCTTTTAGTCCTTGTGAATCGAGGGGAATTACGCTCCCGTCTAAATCTTTTCTTTTCCAATCCCCATTTGCAATCTTGAGAATCGTAGGAGCAAGATCTGTGTGCGCAGTAACAACACTTGTTTCCTCTCCTTGCGGAACTCCAGGGCCACGGATGACGAGAGGGATGTTGATGTCTTCCTCAAACCCGCATTCTTTTCCTGGAGCTAGACGATGTTGAGATATATGGTAGCCATTGTCGGTAGAGAAGATAAAATAGGTATTGTCAAGAATGCCATAATCAGTCAATCGATCAACGAGACCTTCAATAAGTTCATCTACAGCTTGGAGGGTTTGAAGACGAGCTCGGTAGAATTCATCGTTATATGCGATAACCTCGTCAGTAAGTTGATCTAGATGTTTTACCCACGAGGCTCCGCTAGGCTATATGAAAGGGTTAGCTTGAGCTTTTTTCAACAAACACATGACTTACCTTGTCTGGGTTGAAATTAGCATTCCTTGGAACCTTTGCACCAGGAAACAAGTGCTTATGTCTCTCAGCAGGAATAGGAGCCGTCATCAGGATTCCCTCTCCAGGCTTGAAAGCAGTCGGGTCAACATTGGCGTGAGGGGCGATTGGCGCTGCGACCAAAAAGAATGGCTTTCCGGATTTTACTCCTTCATCAAGTAATCCGTATGCTTTCTGTGCAAGGACATCTGTTGAGTATTCGCCCTCGTGACTCACAGGCGGATGTTCATTCCTTTGAAATGTAGAATTATAATATTGATATGTAAACGGATCCAAAAGAAAATCGGACGAAGTCCATCCAGCTGGATGGGGTTTATTCCAGTTGCTCACAGTGTGATGATTGAAGAGTTTCCCTGTGTAGAAAGTGCTGTATCCAGCATCTTGAAGCCAGACTGGGAGATATGCATCATTGAAGCCCTGCTCAACGAATTTCTGATATCCACCTAATCTGATACATCAGCTACCGGGCTATTCGAGGGACTGAGGTAGACACTGACCATAAGGAGGTGCCACATCCGTCACATTTGTGTTATGAGCATTCTTGCCTGTCCATAATGTGACTCTTGAAGGACAACATATTGCCGTAGTACAGTAATGACGCTTGAAAAAGGTTCCTTGATCAATTACATGCTTCTTTAGTAAGGGCATATAGTCAATTGACTGCATATGAAGGTCCTGATCATCTGTCAAGACAAGCACTATGTTCGGCCTTCCATCATTCTTTTGTCCAATTGGAGCTTGCGCGGCAGCAGAAACTGTAGCAAGTCCTAGGATAAACAGTGGTGAGGCTTTCATGCTGAATTTGTTCTGTTCCAAGTACTGTCTTTATGATCCCTTCTCGTTATTTAAGTGAGAAGAATCGATACAACTCCAATTGAAGGTTGGGGGATGAAGTCAACCATGATAAGTTGCGGTCGAGGCTACCATTGACCCACCCACATTCCACATTTCGCTGTGGAGTAGATAGTACTCTTCACATCGGAAGTGGAACTCAAGTCTCATGCCGTCCAAGAGTCCGCAACAACGGGTAACTGGCATATGCTTCTGGGTTGGGGATTTCCTAGCGACACGATTGTGAATTAGGGAGGATACCCCGCTGTTTTTAAGCTCCAAAATCAATTTTGCCATACAAATGGGAAAAAGCTTTGCAAATTTGAGATATGACGTTGTGTAATTGCTAAAGCAGCCTCAACTCCAATGTATGGCGTGAGATCCGTGCCTATTTTCATCATCAAATTGCGGGGCTTCAGGGTTCATTCAACAGGGGATTTCCGCTCATTCAAGCCTATCGCGTGATAAAGGCTTCATGTACATTTGCTTCGTACATCTCTCATTGGGAGTTTGGAGTTTCTTGTTGATTCCCGCAGTCATATGTGAGAACAAATTTCCGACATTTGATAAGGCGGGATTTTAGACAGAATGATGAGCTTTCAAATTTTCATTTCAACCGGGACTGAGTTATTGGCCCTGTTGCTGACGGCGCAGTGGCTTGGCTTGGGCTGACAGCGAATTGAGTCAATGCCCTAGAAACCAAACATTGGTCGGTCTGGGCAGTTTGAAAAAGCATTTATTAAACTTTGGGCGCCCGCCATAGCTTGAATCAAAAGAAGATAAAAAATCGTTGTTGGAGGTGGCATTGGATACTGAAATATGGCATTGCATGAGAGAGATACTGCTCCTAGAGATGATTCGAGTCAAGCTTCATCCAAAGATGCGGATTCGATAAAATCGTACTCGGAAACAGATTCATTACTTTCACCAGTAACCGCTGCGTCTACTCCAAACTACAAGTCAACCGCAACTTTTCCAGACGTAGAATCTGCACAAAACGACCAAGACCAAGACGAAACCACGGGGAAAGTCACGAGGAGCGCTGCTATCATAATAAGTCTTTTGCTGATAGGTAAATATTCACAACTTCTTCATTGACTTACTTCGTGCTAATTTTTTTCAGGTGTTTTTATATCATATGCAGATGGCACGCTTGTTCTTGCAACATATGGTACCATTGCTTCCGAATTTCGGGCATTGGGTGATGCCAGTTGGTTAACTACTAGCTATTCTTTAGCAATGTGTGCTGTCCAACCTCTTACTGGCAAGATCAGTGATATATACGGAAGAAAACCAGTTCTCCTGATATCATATGGGTTCTTCGTGATTGGATGTGTTTTGACGTAAGTGACTTTCAAAGCTTGAAGGTGTTGTGCTGATGTTTTGGAAGGGGTCTTTCACAAACAATGTGGCAGGCTGTGATGGGTAGAGTAGTAGCTGGTATTGGAGGTGCGGGTATGAGTGTTATGGTCTCTGTTTTGATTGTGGGTGAGTGATGAAAGTCATATTTGAGTCTTCCCAACCCTGTACTAACCCACCCAGATCTTGTACCCCTCATTCATGTTGCCGCGTGGAGAAGTTATGTCAATGTTGTTGGGACGGTTGGAAGGAGTATCGGTGGACCCCTAGGCGGGCTGCTAGCAGACACAATAGGATGGCGTTGGTAAATTCTCCATTCCAGTTTGAAAACCTGATTGTATCTTTTCTCTGACAATCCGTGGTAGGTCGTTCATCGGACAAGGACCTCTGATGCTTTCCGCCATTGCTTTAGTAGCATATAAACTTCCAACACGATCATCATCTGATGAGCCCATCCAAGCCAAAGATGGACCTTCAAAACTCCGACGAATTGATTTTGTTGGAGCATTCTTGCTAACTGGAACCATCGCTGCTTTTCTCGGCTCCCTTAGTCTTGGAGGACAAGCACTACCTTGGTCGCATCCTACAGTCCTTGGGTTGTTGTTGGGATCTGTTGTGCTTGGCGCTACATTTGTGACGTATGAGGTCAAAGTCGCTGCGGAGCCTATATTCCCGCCAGCACTTGCTGCCCAACGTGATGTAGCAGCATCTTATGCTATTAATGCGTTGCAGCTCGGTGCACAAGTTGGCGTAAGTCATTATATGCCTTCCATTTGCGATGCACTAATCACTAACCTCGCATAGATGATGTACTCTGTTCCACTCTATTTTCGTGTGACACAAGGCAGCTCTAATACTACTGCTGGGCTTCATCTCTTTCCGGCTGTGTTTGGTAATACGACGGGAGGTCTCCTCGCAGGCTGGCTAATTACTCGGTTCGTTCTTTGCCCATTCAATCACTGTTAACATTTCATATGTTAAGCATACTAACAATCATCAGCACTGGTCATTACAAATACCTCCTGATCTTTTCTACTATCTCATCTATTTTCTCCTACACTATGCTTCTCACAACATGGCATAGCAATCACCTTTCTCTCGCAGCATCTCTCTCTATATTTCCAGGTGGTTTTGGTCTCGGAATAACAGCTGCTTGCGCATTTATTGCCCTCACCGCTTCTGTTCAAAAGAGGGAGATGGGCATGGCAACCGCAGGTATGTATTTGATGTCTAGTATCGGTATGGTTGTTGGAGTAGCCTTGTGTGCTGGAGTTCAAAACAGTGCTTTGGGAGAAGCGCTCGCAGGGTTAGAATTAGATGGGAATGTAGTGAGACAAGTGATGGAAGATGTAGGAAGCGTGAAAGACCTGCCGGGAGATATCAAGATCCAGGTAATAGATGCCTATGTGAAAAGTTTGGGAGCGAGTCACGCAGTGAGTGTAGGACTATCAGGCTTGGCGTTCTTGTTAAGTTTGGCGGTTAGAGAGAAGAAGATCAGATAGATGGAAGTCCGAAGATGATGACTTAGAGACCCACTTGAAACCTCCATTTTCACTTAAGAATACATCCATTCATGGATTTTGCTTCGCCTGTAGTACATATCATGTCCTATTGACCAGCTGCAGTCATATTTTCAGCTGTTCTGGAAATGCGGTGATACATACAGTGCATATTTTCATATTAGACTCCATATAACAGTGCCATGAGAAAGACTTCATGCTCGAGAGTAGTCCATCCCATGTAAGACCAAGGTTAAATCCCCGAACTTTGCGTTTTTTGGTCAGATTGCCGATCGCATACTAACTGTGAGACAACATGGATTTTCATTTTGCTGTTTTACATACAGGGACAAAAGATATCCACTAGGAAATGCTGAGAGAAAAGATGCAAATATTAGAGAATGGGTTGGCAGGAAGGAAATGGACTCTCATGACAGTCATTGCAGCCGATATAAATTTCTAAGTATTAATAGGTGCAACTTTGCAGATTATTCAAGAAGTAAGAATTTTATCGGCATTTTCAAGTAAATGAATTCTTGTTGTCTGGGGTGATGGTGAACAGCTCGGGGCTGTCTCTACATAGGAGAAAAAATAGGCCAAAATTAAGCACTCTAATAAATTCTATGATAAATCAACTGATAATAGAATTCTAAAAGTTAATAACATTGACCAAATCCTTGAGTAATCTTCAATTATAAAATTATTTAAACATTTAATTCTCTGAATTGGAATGGAACAATTGGATTGTTGAAGGCCTTTGCCAGTGGTCAATTCCGGCCTGATTTTTCTCCTATGTAGAGGCTGCCAAATTAATCAAGAGTTGGTACGTGCTTAATTTCGCGCTTTGTCGCGCTAATCCGCGTTGCGCGTCTTCTACCTATCACTTTCACTATGAGCGGCCCAAAAATTACTTTTTGCAATACATAATTCATGACACCAAATCCTTCTCAACTCATCCTTTTTGGTCGACTTTTCATAGATTTTATTAGTCTGACGCATTTTATCCAATATGGTGAAGAGTACAGACAATGAGACAACCCCGGCTCGCCCTCCTCCGACCTTGAAGAAACAAAACTCAAGCATAGGATCAAACAAGAGTCAAGCATCAATCCTAGGATTCTTTTCGAAGAAACCTGCCACTACTCCTAACCCGAAAACTTCCACAGGCTCACCCAGCGGTATTTTACAACCCAATGACTCTGCCAATAGTGCAAAGTCTACACCGAAACCCAGCAGCACCGTGAAGAGACCCCAGTTCAAGAAACCCGTCCAGAAGAGCATAACTCCAGTTCCAAGTAGTGATAATATTGAGCCAGATAGCTCACAAGAGAATGAAAACGGCGGTATTCCAACTGAGGTAGACGGTTGCTCATCGTTGCCCCCGGCGGCCGCTAAAAGTGTTGCGGAGCAGATTGTGGATATCAATGGTTTAGCTTTAACAAGCAGCCCTTCAAGAAAGGCATGCGCTTCCTTTCTGCAGATGCAAGTTCTCTCAAGCTAATACCTTTGTTCACTAGGCTGCTAGGAAGGTAGTCAGCTATGCCGAATCAGACGATGACGATGAAGATGTAACTCCGAGAACTACACAACGAAGAAAGGGAAAGAAGCCAATGATTGAAAGCGATGATGATGACGAGGATACGTTTGTTAGTGACTTAGATGGCGCCGATGAAGATGATGGTTAGTCTGTCATATTTAGGTCTTGTCAGCAGTAACTTACGAACAATAGATGAAATGGACGATTTCGTTGTCGACGACGATTCTGATGATCCAAGCAAATCTTCCAAAAAGAGAAAGCGTCCAACATCCACGGCATCATCTCGAAAGCGATCCAACAACTTGCCGCCCCGTTTCCCTGTCGATGAAGATGAGGATATGCAAATACCAGAAATTTCGACAGCTCAACAATGGAAGTACGATCCAGATAATATTCAACCCCGGCAGGCCAAGTCGTCGAGTATTTCGAGAACCCCCAATTCCAGCGGAAAGAAATTCAAAGAGAAGGCATCCAAAACCGATCCAAATCAAAGATATGAGTGGCTAGCGAATGAACGTGATATTGACCGCAATCCTCCTGGTCATCCTGATTATGATCCTCGTACTCTATTTATTCCGCCAATGGCGTTCAATAACTTCACACCCTTCGAGGCGCAATACTGGAAAGTAAAGCAAAAGTGCTGGGACACCATCCTTTTCTTCAAAAAGGGTAAGTTCTATGAATTATACGAGAGAGATGCTACTATCGGACATCAAATATTCGATTTGAAACTCACAGACCGTGTTAATATGTCAATGGTCGGTGTACCAGAAATGTCGTTACAGCATTGGGCAAACCAATTTCTTGCCAAGGGCTATAAAGTCGCTGTTGGTGATCAGAAGGAGTCGGCTTTGGCAAAGGAGATGCGCGAACGAGAAGATAGTACAGGTCCCTCTAGCAAAGGCAAGAAAGCAGATAAGATCATTCATCGAGAGCTATCTTATATTCTTACTGCTGGTACCTTGGTTGAGGGAAGTATGTTACAAGGTGATTCGGCAACATATTGTGTGGCTATCAAAGAGTCCACCACAAATGATGACTTGCCAGCATTTGGTATATCATTTGTCGATACATCAACAGGCCAATTCTTCCTCACCGAGTTTACCGATGATGTAGATCTGACCAAATTTGAGACCTTTGTCGCCCAAACACGCCCTCAAGAGTTGTTACTGGAAAAGTCTTGTGTTTCGACCAAGGTGCTCCGTATATTGAAAAACAATACTGGCCCAACAACCATTTGGAATTACTTGAAATCAGAGAAGGAATTTTTGAGCGCCGACAAATCCCGCCGAGAGCTAGATTACGGTGGCTACTTCACTTCAGCGGATGGTGGGAGAGAAACTTGGCCCGAAGAGCTTGAAAAGGCTAGAGACAAGGATTTGTTAATATCCGCTTTTGGAGCTCTTTTTCAGTACTTGAAAGTCCTTCAGCTTGAGAAACCTCTGCTTACACAAGGCAATTTCGCCTGGTACAACCCTATCCAAAAGGGTACAACTCTTGTTCTTGATGGTCAGACTCTTATCAATCTCGAGATCTTCTCTAACACATTCGATGGAAACTCTGATGGTACTCTCTACACACTCCTCGATCGTTGCACTACACCTTTTGGAAAGCGTTTGTTTCGACAATGGGTGTCGCACCCTCTTTCCGATATCAAGAGGATCAACGAACGTCTTGATGCTGTGGATTTGCTTAATAAAGATGATGAATTAAGTCGTTCATTCAAGTCTTCAACATCTTCGATGCCCGATCTAGAACGTTTGATTTCTCGTATACATGCTGGATCATGCAGACCCGAAGATTTCGTAAAAGTACTAGAGGGTTTTGAACAAATAGAGTATATTCAAAAGGATATCTTAGGCAAATATAGTAGCGGCGATGGCATCTTTAATCGTTTGGTTGCGTCAATACCTGATCTCGCGGAGCCACTGCAATGGTGGAAGAATGCATTTGACCGAAAAAAGGCAAAAGAGCACAAAATTCTCGTTCCGGAAAGGGGAGTCGAAGAAGATTTCGATGCGAGTCAAGATCGTATTGAAGAAATCAATCAAGAGCTGGCGTCATTGTTGAAGAAATACCAAAAGAAGTTCGATTCAAAGAAGGTGGAGTTGAGGAGCATTGGAAAAGAAATCCATCAATTACAAGTACCAGTTTCTATCAAGGTACCAAAAGATTGGAAGGTGACGTCTGCTGCATCTGGTTTCAAGCGTTACTACTTCCCAGAGCTTACCAATATAATTCGAGACCTCCAAGAGACTCAAGAAACACATGGTCAAATTGTCAAAGAAGTGGCAAGCAGATTCTATGCACGTTTCGATGAAGATTATAGAACATGGCTTCAAGCTGTGAAAGTTGTGGCTCAACTTGATTGTCTTGTCAGTCTTGCTGCTGCATCTTCAGCTTTAGGTACTACGGCTTGTAGACCTAAATTTGTCGATTCCGAACGAAGTGTAGTTGAGTTCGAAGAACTTAGACACCCTTGCGTTCTACCAAATGTTACGGACTTCATTCCCAACGATGTTCAGCTTGGTGGTAAATCGCCTAATATCAATCTACTCACTGGTGCTAATGCGGCTGGAAAATCCACAATACTACGAATGGTATGTCTCTTGTTTCTTTACATAAAGTGAACATGCTAACAATCAATTTATAGACATGCGTCGCAGTAATAATGGCTCAACTAGGTTGTTACGTACCTGCTGAATCTGCAACTCTTACACCCGTCGACCGTATCATGTCCCGTCTAGGCGCTAATGACAATATCTTCGCCGCCCAATCCACTTTCTTTGTCGAACTTTCAGAAACCAAGAAAATCCTTTCTGAAGCCACACCCCGTTCCCTTGTCATTCTCGATGAACTTGGTCGTGGTACTAGTAGCTACGATGGAGTTTCGGTCGCCCAAGCAGTTCTGCACCATGTCGCATCTCATATCGGATGTATCGGGTTCTTCGCCACACACTACCACTCCTTAGCCCTCGAATTTGATTCTCATCCTGAAGTCATTAATAAACGTATGGCAATCGAAGTCGATAATGAATCGAGAAGCGTTCTGTTTTTGTATAAATTAGAAAATGGTGTTGCCGAAGGTAGTTTCGGTATGCATTGTGCGAGCATGTGTGGAATCCCACGGAAAGTGGTTGATAGAGCAGAAGTGGCGGCGAGAGAATGGGAATTCACTAGTAGGCTTGGAGAGAGTTTGGAGAGGGCGAGAGGGGAGAAGGGGACTTATTTGCCATTGGGTGTTTTGAGTGATGTGGCTTGGTGTTTGAGGGAGGCCGGGGCGAAGGGGAAGGGTCAGGAGGCTGAAATTGAAGAGAGTGGAATCAGTGATAGAGGTCTGGATTGTCTTTTGAGAGCAATCGAAGCTATGTGAAAGCAGCTCGGGCGACATAGATACCTAATGTTGTGCGATCTTTAGCAGAAGACAAAAAGAAAGGAGAGTCTTGGCGTGCAATTTCATTGCCCATGAAGTGCTCGTGGTAATTAATGGCAGGCAGAAATACTAGCATGGCAAAAGATAGATTCAAAACAAAGGGGTAGTATAAGCGTTGACCGGAATAAATGCGCTTGTTAAGAGGAGATTTATGTTGTATGTACAGTCAATGATTGATTATAAAGATACCTAGCTAGTCGTTGAGCAAAATAGATGTAGCTGTTACTTACTATTTGATGTTTACTACATCTGTGTTCCATTCTCTTCTCTGTGAACACTCCTTCAATTGGGAGACTATTAAGAAATGTGAAAACGAAGTGAGCTAATATAGATACTCTCACACTGTTCCTTTGCTGATATTTGTAGATTTACATAGATACTTGCATCTCATGCACTAACCTACAATCCAATGTGTCTTCTAGATACATATACACATCATGCTTGTGTAGCTACCTAGATAAAAAAAAGTATAGAATCGATATATGTCCAAGTAATCAGCATTTATAATATTCCCAACACGTATACCAACTGCATCACGTATACCGACTCCAGTATCTAGGTTAAAGATTATTTTTTTGACAGAGAGCGAGGCGATGAGTAATCGTTGGAATGAGGGTTGCATGTGAGCGAGTAAAGAAGTAGTGGAATAGAGAAACACATCCATCACTCTACTATGATAACACAACCAATCTTGATCCTCATTGTGGAGAACAAAATGCACGAAGTCTTTCTTTGCATAGCATTTTATACTGTCTCTCTTTTCTTGAACAACGTAGCAGTGGAATAACCATAGGATTTTCCACCATTTTTCTCTACTCCAGATGTACAACTTCTGTGATTGGATCTGGACTTGGATAGACTATAACGAGGTATGCACCTAGAGGAAATCGTTAGACAACCAGTTCCTATAGCACTAGTTCTCGATATCCAATGAATAATCAACACCATTCCACACATAACCCAGTAATTGCAAAACTATCGGTTAATATTCTCGTTCCCGTTTTCGGTTAGGAATCTCCTCCTCCTTCCTCGGGAGTCACAATACTCGCTCGCTCACTACCTTCTCAAGTAGATAGAAACCCCCTAGAGCTTTTAACCCTCCAGAGAATGAATGCAGAGACTTTTCTGAAGAAATTAAAATAAAATACAATCATTCAACTTGCAAAACAATAATAATCATCAATCCGCTGTTATTAAACCAACACAAGATGCGCAATGGTCGTTCAGTCTACGCTCAAGCCGTCAATATTGATCGAGTACTCTTAGAATTCATGGATAGAAATTACCTTTCCCGTGAATGTAAACTCACCATCTAGAACATGTAAGCCTGTAAAGAAAGCACTGCATGAAAAATAAATCCATTTTCGTTGTACTAAACTAACTATCATTCATGTGTATCTTTGCTGCAGAAATTCACAATTTCCCAATCAGAATACTCGCCGTATGAAAAGAAAGCCAGACTTCATATCTCGTATTAAGGGTATCCATCGTATCCATCATATCATATCATATCATATCATCATAAACGTCAATCCCTCGTCCCTCAACTCAACCCATAAAATTTCAACCTCCATTACTTCCTCTCCTTCTCACTCTTTCGACTCCTACTACTCTCCTCTTCCTTCCTAATCTCCTTCTCCCTCTGTCTGGCATCCCTCCTCGCTTTATACCCATCCCCATCACTACTCCCACCACCCTCCCTCCTTGAACCCTCCCGACTCAACTCCCTACTCCCCCCCTCTCCCGGCGTAAGCCCCTCTCCCTCCGCAAGAACCCTCCCATCCCTCGCTAACCTAACCTCCTTCCCCCTCTTATAACAATACCAAAACACAAACAACAGCACAAAAAGCGCCAAACTAAGCAGCACATTCGTTCCCATAAAAGCCGGCCAGCGCAATTTCAACGCATTGACAATCGCCTTCAGCATACCCACTACCGCGCCCGGTTTCGTAACCAGATCCTTGAGCGAAGAAGGCGTCAGGAAAGATTTCGCCGCAGCACCCATCCCGCCTGTTTGCGCCGCGCTCGCGGCATTCGCAACGCTGTGTGCTTGAGCTTCTGTGGCGACGGCTAGGAGTTCGGGAGCGAGAGTGGTGGTGACTTTTTGCGGGAGTTGGGTGATGAGTTTTTGGAGGAACGAGGGGAGAGAATCGTAGGATTTGGAGAGAGTTCCTTGGGAATCTTCGAGTAGATGAACGAGGTCATCGTAGGCGGTTGGAACACCGTTTATGAGATCTTTGAGGATGAAGGTGAATTTCTGAACAAGGACTGTGGAATCGGGAGAAAGAGAGAATGCGCGGTTATTGGAAGCGGTTAGAGAGAGGTCGTCGAGGACTCGGGATAGATCGTCTTGTTCTCGTTGGGCTTCTGTGTCGGAGATGTTGGGATCTGGTTGAAGACCTGTAGCTTTGGCGTCCTTTTCCTGGAAAGAAAATGTTAGTGATTGATTGATGGAATAAAGGAGCATTGAATCGTTGAATAACATACCTTTTTGCCTCTATGCAAGAAACTTAATCTCTTCCACTTCTTTGCCACTTTTTCAGTATTATCATCAATTTTCTCTCCTTCCTCGCCCATCTTGTCCTTTCCTTTTCCTTGCGCTCTGGTTTCATTCTCCCTCTCAACCTCCTCTCCATCTCCATCCTCCCTTAAAATCATTTGCAACTCATTGTTCCTCCACTCTCCCGCCTCATCACCCATTGTTATTCTCTCATTTCCTCTTTCACTAGGTCTAGCCGGTAACGTAGGTTTTCTCTGTGGAAGCGGAGGTGGAGTTCCCTCTGCACTTATAAATCTATGCAAGAAATATTCATCCTCATCATTAAGAATCGGACTTGCGCCTCCTCTTCCCAAATCCGCAGATGGACTTTTGACTGTATTTAAATGACGTGGTTTTGAAGAAGTTGTCGGGGAAGCTGGAGTTGGTGATGCTAGAGGAGTGTTGGAATTGGAAACTCGATCTTTCTTCTCGGCATTATGCTTCTTGACTTTTTTGTAGGTAAAATACTCGAGCATGATTGCGATTCAATTATTCTTGTTTCGCTGTCTCGATGTAGTAGATATTGATCTTCTTCAATCTTCTTTAATACAAAGATATGAGAGTATGAAGGAAAACTTTACAAGAAGACAGAAAGTAAAGATATCAAATATAAACTCAAAAACATGGTCACAATCAAGGTCATACCTCCCTTGTGCAACACATGTTTTCTTTATTCACCACTCACCACTCATCTCATTTGCAACTCGCCATACCAAACTTCAGTCCAGCTCCAGAAATTCGGCCCCAGCCACACGTCATATTCAACAGGGATATGTTTGAAACCCTGCTTCGCGCCCAAGCGGCGGTTTGATATTTCTTCTCCATCAACGTATCACATGCTTTCAATTCACTGTCAAGTGTGAGAGTCGATACAAGCCACCTAGGCATCCCCTCCAAATTCAAGCCACACGTAGCATAGCCACATTTATACAGCGTAGTATTGTCCCAACACAACGATCTTTTCTTCAAGAGAAAAAGTTCTATTACCCAACATCCCAACTAATGTGAAAATTGGAAGAAGAAAGGAGAAAGCAGAATATGATAGAAGCATAGAAGCATAGAAGCATAGACGCATAGGCGCATAGGCGCATAGGTAGAAGAAAAGCTCAAGAACGACTTCCAAAGCGCCAGATTGGTGGTTCGAGCCAACCCATACATACATACACAGGATGTATAAAATGACAACATTCTCAATTACCCCACACACATTTCACAACTCCTTCCTCCCACACACCTCAAAACGAAAACCAACACAGCTTTTGAATCACCATCAACAAAACAATCCCATCACCACCAAAAAAGAAATCGAGCAAAAATCCAAAAAGTGAGATCTTCACTCCCTCGGGTGGGCTCGAACCACCAACCTCTCGATCACGTGACTTGTTACAGATAACAGTCGAACGCGCTAGCCAATTGCGCCACGAGGGATTGTTGTTTGTTGAATGATGACGAAAATTATCAAATTATATACAATACATAATCTACCACATACGACAATTTCAGCACAAACTTTTTTCTTCCAACGTTTATTTATTATTTCTTTCAACCTCCCTCCACGACAAGAATTCCCCTCGAATAGTCTCTTTTTCGATCTGCAAAAAAATGTAACGCGGTGGTTACGATCACGCGTGTACAGCGTTATTGACTGGAACATTTCGTACTTTTTGGTACGTACTATCAAACAATTAGATTATTCTACGATAGATGGAGATGAAGTTGCATATTTAATAGGTATCATTCTATTGATTTAATTATTCGTTTTTGCTTGTATGAAATATTTGGTAGATTTAGATAAGAGGTACAATTATTTATTTCTATGTAGGTCTTTTATTAATATCTTATTAGTCTTTCCTCTCTGCATATTCCCCTTCAGCTCGGACATTAAACATTGATTTCCTAGCACTTGACATGATGATCGTTTGCTATGCTCAAGAGTGATCAAGTTGAGATTCAGATTTTGTAGTAGTGAAATGGTATAACTATGCAACCCCAAGCCATCCTCCTTCCATCTCCTTCGCTCTCTACTCCCCCCATACCCGTATATACAACCTATCGACTTGACCAAACTCCTCGACTAACATTTGAACTTTACGATACCACTGTACATCACCCAACCTCACACATCATCACCCATGACCACTCCAACCTCCCAATCCACCTCCCTCCCCACCATTCTCACCATGTCTCCACACCCCTCCTTCATTTTCACCCACGTCCCCCATCGCTGCACCAACTCCATTCAAATTTACATTCGATCCATCCCCATACGACCACGGACTAATCATCGGAAAAAACCAACTCCCATCTTGCGGGAGCAAAGTTTCTTCCTCTTGACTTACCAGGTCTTGCGGACTGGCATGTGGATTGCTCAATGTATTTGTATATGTTTCCGAGTGTTGTGAACTTATATTTTGTTGATGCTGATGCTGATGCTGATGCTGATGTTGATCTGAAGATGAAAAGTAGTATCCGGTGGCGGGATGGGATGTATGTGTATAAGATTGTGAAGGGTAAGATTGAGATTGTGATTGGAGTCGAGGATCTATAGGTGAACCATGGTAATCTGAAGAATTGATACGTTGTTGCTGCTGGTCGAGATCGGGAAGATTGGTAATGTGTTGTACATGAGGACTTGATTCATAAAATGGAGGTGATTGTTGAGAAATTTGTGTCGCTTGCTGTATAATGTAGTTCTGCTGTATAGATGTAGGTATACGCTCTGGTATATAATTCGTTGAGTTGGATTCGAATGATTGTATGCCTGTTGGAATATTGGACGGTGGTGGTTGTGCTGGAGAAAAAGGAGAAGCTTGAATACTTGCCGAATTTACAGGTGATGTCGGAGATCGTGGATCCTGAATCTAGAAACAATATTAGCTCTCGAGAATTGCTCCAGAATCAGATCGTCATTCATACCTCGGAGACTGTCTTGCGACTTTCCAACTCCTCTGTCCTGTAATCTTCATCGTCCGAGCCATCACTTTCTGTATTCGGTTCCTCAATATTACGAGATGTAGCTCGTGATCTCTTAGTGTTTTTCGGAGCTCTACGTTGTGCCTTGTTAACATGTTCCATAGCCACACGGTTGATTTTTTGAAAAATCGGTATTGATGGGTGACTTTCCGCTGCATCTTGATCTTCAAAGCTGGATAGAAATGACACTACATCATTCATTAATGTAAGATCAGACTGTACTTGTGGATCAAGAGGATGTTGAAGAATATTTGCAAAAAGAGTGACACATGCTGCAAGTGCATTGTAAATAGACATGCTAGGAATTGTATGTTAGTGTGAGATAGAATCCAGCCATATTTTTACACATACCGTAAAACATTTCCTTCTATGGGATTTGATAGTTTTGTACAATCTTCCAATAAATTGATCGTCCTCCTTGCTGCATTGACACATATCGCAGCGCTGGCATATACTCGTGGATTCAACTTAGAATCGAAATCATTTTGGGATTTATCGTCATCATCGTCCAAGGAGCCTGGGCCGCTATATAATGATGCTCTGTGAATGGTACTAAGACACTGGTAATAACCCCATTGCATACAAACAACTGAGACTATATGCTGTTCGTCGCATTGTATGGGGTTACCCGGTCGAACTTCAATTGGAATTGTCTCACACCATTGCTGAAGTTCATCATCCAGCATTCCAACCATCTTCAATCTCTCCGTTTTGGATTTTGTAAACGATTTTGCAGAGTATAGTCTATTGTATATTCGACCGTGAAGTAATGATAAAGTAGCATTATGACGAAATGTAACAAATCTTCCGTCGGCGTTTTTCGGATATTGACTTGCAGGTGGTAAGTCAACCCCAATATCTTCATCGTGAATCACTGATGGGCGACCTTGACGAATGACTATGCCACGTTCAATCATGACAGCAATCCAGAAAACGTTGCGTCTTTGCTCTATTTCAGCCTCATCAAGGCCGGAATTGGACATGTTACGATGGAGGCCAATGGTTTGTGAAAGTCGAATCGCTGCTGCAGATACAACCGAAGATGGATATGGATCTGACAGTGTGTCTAGAATGAATGCCTAATATGAGGTTAACAAAGTTCACAATGTATGCTGACAGAGAGAGAATTACCAGTCCAGTCATTGCCTGTACAGCCGTGAGAGAAGGTGGTCCAAATTGCAAATCAACAAAAGTACTAGCTGCGTTCCGAAGCCACCTCCACCAAGTCAGGTTTTCCGGCTCTCCATACCTAGTAGACTGTGCACTCTGAGGTGTTTGAGGTGAAACTCCAGGCAGTTCTTCTTTGTGCATGATCGCAGCTAGAGCAAAACAGATATTGAGACATGCGTACCAAGCGGGGTCTTCTGAACATTTGACCGGATATTGGCGTGAGTACCGTTCCATGAAAGTCTTTCGCTCAAATAGGGGCCATGTGGTCATCATTCTATCAAAAACAACTGAGAACACGAGTTACTTCGTGTTGATAAGAAATGAGCGATAAACTTACATTCCAAAATCTTATCTGCAACCTCCTTGGGTGGAAGAGATTTGTGTTCATCATCAGGCATCGTATGCCATATTGATGAGGATACGGAGTATTGGTTCATTGTTGTATAGTTTGTAGAAGCCATGAAATTTGCAAAATCGTTGTTCCCAGTCATTCTGGTGATGAGTTGAAGGCCTTCTGGTGAAAGCATGGAATATCCAGAAGCAGCACCTGATGATGTTTAATAAGAGCACTTCGTGGGGAAACATGATCTAGACTTGCCACTAAAATTTTCACTTCCCGTATTACTTATAGTGAGCGCAGAGAACTTTTCAAACATCCCGGCTTGATCGGTTATCTCCTCTGATGTCTGTCTTTCAAAGCCAGGGGCATCGATACTGAGCCCTGAAGTTGTCATGGCATGCTCCATACGTTTCAGCCTATCCTCTAAGAGAGAGATATGATTACCCCTATGAACCAGTTAGATGTGTTGATTACGATTGGGGGGGTTACCTCATACTTCTTTCTCTCTCTCTTTTTCCGCTCCTTGGTCGTGACAGTGCACTCCATCTCTCGTCCATGGCAGCGATTGCATTTTCCTTCCTGATCCCATTCGCATCTGATCTGATGATCATCAGTAAAGTGTGAAAAACACGGCGACGGTGATCATGTATACCTTCATTCGTTTGCATGCATCACATGCAGTTCCTATGTTCCAATCAGCTGACTTTACTCGAAGTACGTAATGAATAGATTATTAATGAAGACGAACGGTGTCTGGGTGTTCTACAATCCATGTCAAATGGAAGCTCCAAGAGCGGCAGATCAACTCTAGGAATCTTTCAAAATCTCAGGTTTAGTCTTGTGTCAGAATGATGTTGACCCCTTTCGAACCGGTTGATTCGAAAAGTTGCGAAAAGGCCGAGCTAATAAGGAAAGAATGCCGAAAAACAAAGAATATATGGGTAAATTTGTGGGTAGATGCAGACCCTTTATTGTAATTTCCACTCGAGCCAAGCAAAGGAAGATATCGATGGCAGTAGAGAGGTCATAGATGTCATCAACAGCACTCGGATAGACTTCTATACCTTATCCGAGCTTCTTCTAATATTCAACGTCTTGCTAGACACCTCCACTTGAGGCTGAGTAGAGGCTCAATTTGACACCCTCTCGAAGCTTAAAGATGAAGCGGCAGTAGCCTTACTTGCTGGCGAGCTAACATTTAGGGAAAGCGAAATAGATTGGTACAAGGGGGTATATAGAATTGAAGGGCCTTATTGTTGGATATTATACTCTGTACAAGATCGAATTTCACTAACAAGTCTTTTCATCTTGGTTTGAGGATCAAATAAAGTTTTCCCTATCTCAAATTCCAAATGGGGAACTGGACTAAAAAGCTAACACGTTCCAGTTGTCATAAGCGAATCACTACGTAAATAGGCTGGTAGGACGGAATTGCAAGGACTGTAGATTAATACAGGGGTAGATACTTTATCGAAGTGCTCGGTTCTCTTTTCTTTAACGCAATAGGAATGAGCGTAGGGATTTTTTCAAGTTCCTGCGCTGGAGTAGATAGATATATAGATATTAGCTTTCGAGGATCTTGGGAATGACTCGAACATCTCAATTTAAGGATTTCTCTGCCAGTTGGGATAATATATTATATATGTATATCGAATCTCATGAAACCTGATTACATTCATCGATATTTGTGTGGATATTTTGTTATACGTGTACCTATTAGCTTGCAGATCACACATAAATCAGAAATAAACTTCATCAAACTTAGTCAAAGAACCGCTACACTAAAGAAACCCAACGGCCGTAAAGCTTACACCCGGATCACCTCTTCACACCCATCAACGGAATCCTGAAACGGGAATCGGGAGCGGAGGACAATCATATCCCATTCCAAGTACCGGCATGTATTAATAATATGTCTTCCCAAGTTCCCAATCCCGTCCAGTCCAAGACTCCAAAGTCCAAGTTTCAAGGATCTTGCGCAGCCTTGTGGACCTCGAGATTCCCGGAACCAGGTGTCCAGCTCCTCGTACTCGCATCAGGTACTCACAGCGCGCCTTATCTCTCAGAGCTCCCAGACCTCCAACTACGGAGTAATGGTTTCGGCACCGAGGATTGATAATCGTTCATAATTGGAACTGATTTTATTGGATTTCCTTTCCTCGTTAGATTGGGCGTACGTACTGCAAAGGTGGACAGCCCGATATTTATTCATAATAATAAATTAAGAGGAAACAACCACAAGCTCTCACCGTGTGGTGTTTCTAGTGCCAGCAGTCCCTACCTCATCGTGGACGGGAAAACTAGTAGACTAGAAATATGTCACATCTCCAAAACTCTTTATTAACTCAAATTATCAGTATTTTTGTACACAAGCTATACAAAAACATCAAAGGACTTACAAATTATGATGTATCTCTGATCTGTCAAATTATTGATATGTTTCTGATTTGTTATCCAATTTCAAAGTAACAGTATTTTCACAAGATTTTCGATTTTAGCGAGTTTGGTGTGCTTAGTTTTTCCGTCCACGCTGAGCCTACCAAGCCGGCGAGGAGGGTGCACAGTACAGTACGCGTTTCGATTTCACTAGTGATGTGTTCACTCGTGTCACAAAAACCCCTGATATCAAAACATAGATACTCTTGCTGTCAAAAAAGGGTCCCTAGATAGTATGCAGCTTTGTTTCTGAGAAAAGCAGGTTAGTCCTCTATCATCTTGTGGTATGTATGTGCATCATCTAACTCCGGAGTCTGCATAGGTACTTTCTGGCGGCACAAGTAACAATTCCACAACAAACTTGTTTATTGTGTTCCTATTTCTATCTATACAGAAGGAGTCTAAGGAGACACCTGTTAACGGAATAGTTATATTAAACTTATCCGTCACCCATGCCCGGGGAAGCGTCAAAAACGCTTTTGTCACTATATGTAACTAGGGTAACTATAATTAATAAGTTTGATTCCCCTGCTTCTTTAGCAACTCATGTCTTGGTATAATATCTCTATATTGCCCCATCATTATGCTCTCTCCCATTTCCTGATGAAATACATCAGCTCCATTTGCACACTTGCCAACCACCATATAAGGAATATATGACCAGCAAATTAACATTCCTATTTCAGTTACATAGCACCAAGCAAACGCCATTTATGCCCGTGTCCGTGTCCGTGCCTGTTTTCAAACCTCTACCCATAAATAAGAAAATTCCCGTTCCACCTTGCACAAAATCTCCAGAGCTACTCACTGTACAAAGTTCCCCATCAACCTACTCATCATCCTGCACCAATTCCTTAATCTCCCCACCCGCATCTCCACCTCCCAGTCCCCCGCCATTTGCCGCCCCTCCGTCGGCGAACTGTAAATCCCTCTTTTTACCCTTCCCACTATCCCCTCCATCTCTAATCCAGAAATCAACTTCGTCAACAATATCATAAAGAATATCTTCTACAATTTGCTCATCGTATCGATCGCTCGCTGCTCTAATTTTGGGTAGAGAGGGTTCATCAATCACCATATCCACATCATCTTCTGCGCTCGAGCCGGGGGAGGATACCACCATTGGGGCCCGAAATTAACTTCTGCTGCACCGCCGCGGAAGACTGATACGGCGGGGAAGTAACCGAGCATCCCATCATCAAGACCTTCTCTGGCCCCAACTTGAGGTTGTGGTTTCGAGGCGTGTGGGAGGAAGGATAAGAGATCCGTAAATGGTGTTCCGATCAACTTTCCATTCTTGTAGACTTTAATAGATGAGTGCGGAAGAGTGCGGAGAGCTGGTACAGGATGAGTTGGCCCGGGATCTTGACTTGCAGATGCGACACCCCCAGTCGATGATATGACTGGTGATGGGTTCATGAGTTCTTCTAGCTCTTTGCATGTGGAATATTCGATTTGTTCGAAGTAGAGGTGAGTTTTGAATCGAATAGGAACTCGATCTCGTATCATATCTGCTCGTTCCATTCCGCCGTCATCTTCATCAGTTAGATCGACTGCCGGGTTGTAATTCCCTTCGACGACTTTTCGATGTAATTTTTCGGAAGGTAGATTGATCTCTAGCCCAATAACATCTCCTTCATAAATAGATTCTCCTGCAGGAAAAAAGTCCTTGGGTCGAGACATCCATACTCTTTGTCCAGCTACATCCCTTATACCATAACTATAAGCATCGAATCCAACTGGCGCATCTTGAGCTGCTTCTCTTCTTGCGAAACCCATACGAACATGTCCATGCGACTCTTGCGCTGGCTCTCCTGCTTTAGGCCTTGGCACACCACTTGTGATCTTACATTCCCAATACCAACGACCTTCCCTTATCCCCACATTAGCCTTCGCCATTCTGAAGCCCTTGTCTGTTGTAATATGTCTCGCCGATTCATCCATCATCATATGGGGAGCCGAATCTTCAAAGCTTAATCGAGCACCAAAAGGTTCCGTTTCGGTTTGTCGATAGTAAAGAATGGAAGGAAAAGCTGGGTCTGCTATGCCACGGGTATATCGAAAGTTCTTCTTGTTATATACGCTACATATATATAAGCTTAGATGTCTATACAGTATGTGCCGTAAAACTTACTGATCGGTAGTCTCATGGAATTGAATTTCAGTACCATCTGGGGCGGTTTTGGTATGCGAAGGAACGAGAGTCGGTCCACGAGGAGCTTCAAAATCTGGTAGTTTCGGTGGAGGTATCTTGTATCGTAGAGGGGTAACGCAATTGATTGTTGCTTTCTTTCTGTTGGAAGAGCTTGATCTGGGATCTGGAGTAGCTCTTGCACTTCCTTCTGGCGCGAGCGATCCTGCCTTCGATTCTCTCTTCTTCAATGATTCTTTTTTAGCCCTCGAAGCTCGTTCACGAATGCCACCTGGTGTTTCATCTCCAGTCTTTTGAACTTTGAATTCTGGATTGAGAGGTGATGATACTGCAGGTTGATGATCGTCTTCTAAAGCGCGCTTTTGCGCAAATGCTGATACTGGCGGAAGGATTGGTGTATTTGTTGAGGATGTAGAGCCTCTTCGTGGCGATTGCCCATCAACTGACATTTTGTTATTTTGCAATCAAGGACTATGGTATGGCAAGATAAATGAAAATGAAATATGGTCAAAAAATAGGTAGGAATAAATTGCTGAGTTTGTGAATCTAGAAATCTTGAAGCTACACAGATCTGATTATGCTTGGACCATCAACGCTAAATTTCATACCCCACACCAAAAGCTATAAACCCTCGAAGGGCCAAGTTAAAAAAGTACAGTTTAAAGCAAGCATGCATGTGATGCACGATATAATAGATCACTAACCAAAATAATTTCTGACTATCTACCAGGCACAGCATTCTGTCGAATATTCAATGGTCCGAGGAATGGTTTGATGCTACGTTCGACTGTCGAATTTAAGATTTGTATATTGATGTTATACGGCACTACAGGTATATAATATGCTTCATATGAGGTACTCAAAACGTCAATTGATTGTCAACTCTAAAGTGCATTGAGGCTTATAAGCCAACTATTAACATTAGGTAGACTGCTTTGCTGTTGCTGTGCAGCAAGCTATTGCTCGTTGCCATTATTGAATATGAAAGTTGATATCCTCGCTTGAAACCCACTCTCACTTCTTGGGTGAGTTGCAACGTTCTTACAACGCTACTATACGATTCTTTCTCGCCAATAGTAGGCCTCTTCGAGAATGAATCCTCATAAACCCCATATTAGATAACATAAAGTGTAAACCCCTCGCAATACCAGCGCATCAAAGTCTTATAACCCGGTATCAGACAACATAGCCCCAAATCCTCAAGCATGAATAGACCCAGCTGAGAACCGTAATGTCCGGAAATGATTCAGATTTTGTGGATCTCATTCCTCTTCGTCATCGCCATCGTCATCACCATCTTCATCCTCATCTTCATCCCAAAACCCCTCCTCATCTTCGCTAACTGGATCCGGGACATATTTGAGTGGTTTGGCATTCTTCAGAATTCTGGTTGACTTTCTTGTTGGAGTGGATGGTAAGTGAGCAATGACCTTTAGATATGGTTAGAAAGATACCCAGAAGAATATACCGAAAGTATCAGGGACTTACCACAGGTGGTGCTACTGGCGTTGTAAGCTTATCATTCAAAAATTTCTCGAAAGCTTTCAATTCTACGTCCGTCAAAGTATTGAAGCCACTGCCATCGGTGAAAGTCCAGTGCTTCGTAACAATGACCTTTTTAAGGTCATGCAGACTAAAGAGTTTATCGAAACCATTGCTTTTATTGAACTTTTGAACGACGGCAGGAACGGTGGGGTCGTTCTGATACATATGCTGTGGCTTGCGATTGTACCATGCGCGGCGACCATCTACACAAGATCCCCACAATATAAGATGCAGAGTATCGATGTGTTCGCAAGAGGCAAGTATTCCGAGAATGAGCATATCCTTAGATTGACCAGAACCACTACCAGACCATTCGTATTTGAAATTACGGGCATTCTGGATTAAAGTATCCTTAACCTCTCTGAGGCGCTTTATGCTGCAAGCATTGAGGTCGAAAGTGTTCTTCCACAGGAACTGCGTACACTCTGCATTGATAGAGCGGCAGGAGGCAAGAAGACCAAGGGCAACACCTGGTAATTTGAAACTGTTGCAGGAGGCGTAGCCGGGGTGCAAACCAGTTTCTGAAATTAGTGCATACTCGTAAATTTTGTATCGTAACTCGATAGGGAGCTTTTTGAACCGGAAGACCTTTCCACCTGTAGTTAAAACGTTAACTCTGCCCGAGTGCATCGGTTGTCTTCGAACGCGAAGTCAAATACATACTTGCGGTAAAAATAGCTCTATCTAGCTTTAATGAAACATCTTTTATCGACTTCTGGCTCGCTTTGAAAACCTCGACGCTTTTCGGAGAGGAAGCCATTCTTGCCTCATTTTCTTCTGAGCAGATATCTTCGAACGCAGCATCATTGAGATTAACAGCTTCATATTTACCATTGCCAAGTCTGCGCATCATCCATAATCCATCTTCGATATCGTTATTTTCCAAAGTCACAGTCTTATAGATTCGATCAACCGGATTCGTTACAATAGACTTGGCCGCCTCTGGCTGAGGAGTAACCGTTTTGGCATTGGTGATATTCTTCTTTTTGGTCGATGCCTTCGATGTCGGCTTTGTAACTCTGCTCGTAGCCTTCCTTACAGGGCGAGATGGTGGCTTCATGTTGAACTAGTTCTTGTAAGTAGCATTAGCAAGAACTCACATGACCCTAGCAGGTAAACTGGGAAAAGCAAATCCAGCAAAGCAATAACTAGAGTTTGGCACAAAGATAGTTATAAAGGTTTGAATAGGGTGAGGGTTTTGGAGAAAGGCAATAATACTTACAAGTCTTCCAGGTATCTAGGTTTCGAGAAGGTGGTTGTAAAAGAGATAGATGTTGAGTTGTCAGATGAGTTTATAAAAGAAAAAGGCTCCGCGGTAAAAGTAAATAAATTCAAAAGAAAGGCGACGCGAAGTGAATAAAGTTTAACCTGCCTAAAAATTTAGCGCGCTGTAATGAATTTGCTAAGCTAGCTAGAAGAAAGCGTGATTGGGAGTCGGTTGCATCTACCCTACTAATATTAGGTACTAGGTAGTATGTAGGTGAGAAGAGAGAAGGAGCATGGCCAATTCACCTGGGTAGATTGATTTGTCTCTTCCTATAAAGCTCACTTCTCCAAAAAGCTGAGAAATATACAGACGTCCATTCCTTGATATAACTTGAATTGGTCGTTTTAGTTATCAATCCAAAACGAGGAAGGAGGGAAGAGGAAAGAAGAGGCGTGAAGGGCCTCCAATTGGCTTTTTTCTATTCGATCTCTGTTGAAAATTGGACAAAAAGATGACCAATTCAGTTCCAAAAGTGGTAATCGATAAAGGCAACGTTGAGCGTCTCTCACCACACTCCACTCTTCCCTATTCTCACTTCACCAACCCTCCTCTGAGACCCACTCTTCTCCTAAGACTAAAATTATTGACCAAATCGATCAATATAAAACGGCCGTTTCGGAGGCTTCACTAAAAGGTTCGATACGAGAGAGGTAGAGCCCCGTCGGAGGTGGTGAGATGACAAGAGTGGGCAGTGGAGGTGGAAGAGCTGGGAGGCATAAGTGCATGTTAGAGAGAGGAAGTTGGGAATTTCTTTTTGGAGGGCCTTTTTTCTCAAATCGGCTGTCTAGTTAAAATAATTATGAGTTTACTCCTTCACAAATACCTCAGCTCAAGTTGTCTATTACATCAAAGGTGAAGAGAAACAAAGGAATATTCATTTTATTACTACAAACATGAATATATGAGCTTTGATGAAAATATGGGTATACTTTTTGTTTGTAAATTTATCATCATTCTCTTCTTTTCTCCCAGATGCATTACCACATACACCCCTTTCGCAGTTCTTTTAATACACAAGACCACTATTTCTATATCAGTACAAGGCACTTATATCATGATTCATGGAAAACAGAAACTTACACTTGATGAATAGCAGTTGGTCCTTCTTCGTTGAAATCGACTCGTGACAAGAACCCCTTGGATAGACCCTGATCTACAACAAAAATGACCTTGGCAGCTACCTGAGATCCTAAGAACACGGCCTCCTCATAAGTCTTCCACTCTGGGAAGTATCCTGGGGGAGTGGCGAGTTTGATGCTAGTGGGTGACTGAGAGTGTGATGAATGCTGAGCATTTGCGCCGCTGTTGAACGAAGGTATGTTAGGGTTAAGTGCAGGATTAGATGCGGTGGTCGCTGCAAGGAGTAAAGGATTGACTGCGTTGGCTGAGGGTACTGGGTGTGGTGTCGAGGAAAAGGAAGCATTTGGTGTCATGGAACCTGTGCCAGATGGTGTTGGTAGATTAGAAGGGAGTTCACTCATAAACATAGTGGCAGAGCTTGGCGAAATAAGATATCGGCTATTGAGGATTGCAATGAGTGCATCTTTGAAGCCTCTGACCTTCGATCCTGATCCACAGATGATCAAAGAATCCCAAGCATCTTGACGTTTAGAGATGTCATCGACAGAGAGGATGGTCCTGTAGACAGTGTCGGCGATAGCGTCCATGTAGCTCTCACTTGCTGCTTGGAATCTCTCTAAACCGATGTCAATATCTCTCCTCATGCGATCCGGATGCTCATCTTCCCAAGCTTTCTGTCTGCGTGCTGTCTTTGCTTGCTCACGAGCTACGGTTTCATCTACCGCAACAGCCGGATCGGTACCTGGCGTGGCCTCAACGGGGGCATCGGCAGCTGCACCGTTAGGAGATGGTACACCCTCATGGTTCGCTGTGGTTACTGGCTCGGGTGTCTTTTGGCGTTTTGCATCTGGCTCAGGAAGTGATGATTCGTAGTGGAACGTAGCGCGAGGTCTCTTCGAATTTGGTAACCTCATTGGCTTAGCTGCTGCCGCCTCCGCTGCTTCCTTGTCCTTCTGAGCCTTCTTAGAAGCTTTTCCAGCTTTCTCCTTTTCAATCTTTGCGAGATATTCTTGGGTTTTCCCACTTGCCACAATACTGGCAACGTCTAAAACACCATCATCTTCTGCAACATCGACACCATTGATGGTATCTTCTTCTCCCACCTCGGTATTTTGTCCTGGTCCGCGAGGTGCTTCTGCAACCTTAACATTCGGTCCAGACGATGGTGCGCCAGTGGAAGCTGCAGCGGCAGGGTTGCTTATAACTTCTACGTTCTCTTCACCACCCGGTAGAGGAGTCCCCATAGGTAATATTTCGCAAATTGCACTCTTCTTCAATTGTTCTGCCATATCCCTCGTAAAGTCCTTCGATTTGAGTAACTCTTGCAAGCGTAATGTCATTGCCTCTCCACCCGACTGTGGTATATTTCCTCTACCAGATATTTGGAAGTCAGTAACCGCAGTAATGTCAACCTTTTCAAATCCTACATCGATGACTGTTGAGTTTGCGATTCCAAACGCATATGAAGTTGCCAATGCGCTGTCCATAATACATAGCGCAGGGGTTCTGAATTTTTCAAATATGAATTGAGTGAGGTCTTCATGATTCTTGGCTGTCCAAGCAGGTTGTGCGATTAACATGACAGGCGTGTGAAGAGTTGGCGATAATTGATTGTGAACGTGATGTAGAAAAGCGCAAAAGGCTGGAAGATTCTCGATTCGACCCTCTACATTGTATCAGTATATGCAAGGCCTGCAAGAACCATATAGACGAACCTTTCAATGGCCAAATAGCGCCTTCGTCATCCTCAGGAACTTCTTCTAATTCTTCTTCCTCATCTACCTTATCTTCTTTGATTCCACCCATCTCGGTATCGCCGTTTTTTGTAGCTGAGGCATCTTTCTTTTTTGGTCGAATTTTGTATGGCTCATAGGTTTTTCCATCAGGAGCTAGAAACATACGAGTGGGAAATCTTCGTTGCGGTGGTGTGAAGGATTCAGGAAGACCTAGTTGAGCAAGAGTTGTTTGTGAGCCAGGCGCAATAATGAGAATGTGCTCATCCTTGAAGGGTGGCATTTTTGCGAATTATTGTTGGTTAGTTCGGATAATATGTGGTAGTAATCCCCGTTGGGTTATTGGTGTGATAAACAATCGTAGTGACTTAGCAGCTGGACTTGACAAAAAATTGATTGCAGCCCCAAAGTTCACTTTGTTGATCTAGAATTGAGGTTGTTCAGATGGAGACGCGACAAGTTCAATTCAGTGGGTCCGAGCTTCTTACAAGGCTGTTGGTATCTAATCACATGAACTTTGGCGCTAGTCTAGTTTAATAATAGATCACCAAATCAATGCCAGTCTCGTCTCATCAAAACATCACAAAGAGAACCAACCATAACATAGACTATACCTACCGCACTCAGTATACCATCTGTACCATCTCAAGATACTTTATGGAAGCAGCACAAGATATTCGCTAATACTGTCTTGTCTTGTACATATCTGTCTCTCCATGTCTCAATTACATATGCTGATTGGTATCAATAACCCTCACACTATTCATTGAATTGTTGTGAATTGGTTACTCTCCATCGAATTGCTTTTAGGTACCTCCTATTGCAACCAGGATTCTGTGAATATAATTGGAGCTGGAAGTATCATCCCTTTGACTGAAGCTGTATCTATCAGCCAAAGAGATCCAATAATGGATGTTGGAAATCTACAATAACTTTCTTTTTAATTTTGCCCTACTTGTCCCTTGATGAATGGGGGTTTGATCGATTTCAAAGTCAATACCCAACTTTCCCCCTTCCTTCCAATGATGCAGGCCAAGCTTCATTTTTCTTCTTTACAGGCCTACATCATCAGGGAACCCGTTCTCTCAGGCCTAAGAATTGAAATGATGCGTTTACTCACCTATCTAGGTTACCTAAGACGCTGAAGATTCATCCACTACAGGCGTTCGCACCTGTGTACCGTATACAAAGCACCTAATCTCATTACTTTACATACTTTTAGCCTCTTTCCCCTCGCCTCTTCTCGCTTCACGCCCTCACGGCATATGCGGAATTAGTGGATCAGGATTCTGCTAAATGTCGCATTCTTATAGGTCCGTTCGGTAAGACCTAGACTAGTTCGGCCAAGACACATTTCTTCGGAAATCTCAACAGGGGAAATTCACGAGCATGACAATCACCTGTATTCGTATGTGTTCAAGACAGTCTTGTTGCACATCTAAATTTTGACCATTCTCCGAGCTGTCTGAAGTTTCAGAGGAGAAAAGAGAGGTCCGGAGATTCCATGACACTACGTACTTTTGATTATTTGGGGTGAGACGTGGCAAGATTTTGAGCACGAGCTGATCAATCATAAACCTCTCATTGATATTGTTGCACGTCTGAATTCAGGAAGATTTCCGCGCATTTCACACACGAGTGCTGAGGAAGTGTGAGCTTAGGACTCTATCTAGATTTGTTGCATATTTAGATTATGAACAATCTCCGCGCAGTACGCAAACCATAGCCGGAGAAGTTTTCGGTGATAATTTTCATGTTTATATTGCACATCTAGATTTTGAACCTTCTCCGGACCGTGCATATATTAGAAGTGTGAAGTCAAACAAACTAGAATGCATGGAATCGCATGCAAGGGAGTAAAGAGTATTGCCGTCTCACTTAGACTTGTGATATTTATCGACTCTACCTGGAAGTCAGCCAGACGAATAGGTCTAATCACTCATTGCACTTCTGATAGCTTTCAGTATTAGATATCTTGTTGTTTCTCTTTCTTAACTTCTTCATCTCTCATTTCACAACGCTGGTAGAAATTCAAACTCATTGACATCAACTGGTTGGTTGTACTCCCCTGGCCATCACTTTTGTTTTACTCGTCAGCCATTCTCCTCTTACCCAACGCATTAAAATCACATCTAAATAAGCGCTAGTTGTAAATTTACCATAAGTCTCATCTCCTAAATTTACAAATCACTATCAGAAATAATACTATGTGTCCAATTGGTAGAACCTACTTTCCTCGAACTCAATTCTGCCGGCGCATGCTCACAGGTTCTCACGTTCAGTAAGTTTTGGAAGGGTTCTCAATAATAATTCTTGCTCTATGTGAGAAGTTCTTGCCTGAAGTGAAAGGTTAAGATAAACTCTTCGAGTTTGAGAGCTCAAGCTATTGCTGAACAGCATCCACAACGAAGAGAAAGCAGAGATTCAAATCCGAAAGAACCCCTCAAGCCCTACGTAAGTTTATCAACCTCCTCCTTGTAATCCTCTAAAACACTCTTGCTGCTCACAGTCCCCTTCGCCGTCCTAGCCAATGGCTTTCGTGGATCTACAAATAAGATGCGCTTCTTTTCAATAAAGGCATTCGTTCTGTAGTACGAATTTGTCTTTGCAACAATGGGCCAAAGTTCTCCAATTAAGCCATCCTTCTGCTCATTAGACAACCCTTCAGTAGTAGGTTCGATAAGGAGAGCAATACACGTGATATAATTCTCTAGGCAGATTTTCTGGGCAGGGAGCACAACGGCTTCTTTAATACCTGTACAGTCAAGGACCGCATGTTCCATGATTGATGGGTTTGCGATTTGGCCATTGGAGAGAGGAATCATATCATCTGATCTCATTTTATAAATCCAGAGATCTGGCTTAGTGGGATGAGGAGAATACAGATCCTTTGTTCTAAATTCCTGAAGCGTAGGAAAGAGTTTAAAAACCGGTTGTTCATCCTCAGGTTTTGGATTCCGCACAATACACGCTTCGTACAGATTTTCCCCTTCAGGATGAAGTCGAAACTGTAACCCAGCAGCTGGATGCGTGTGAAAATATCTTCAATCTTTCGGGTCTCGGTCTCCGATTTTTTTCGAATCAGGGGATAGCTCACGGATTCCGTGGATCCGTGGGATGTATATAGATCCAGCTTGGTAGAAACAATACGTCTCAATGCTTGTGCCACATCTCCGCATCCATAACACATTAGTCCGACGTGAATTGCGAAAAAATCGAGAAGCTCTGAGTTTTTGGCACAATCTACTACTAGTGGGCGGCCGCCAAGAATCCCCACGACATCATTCGTGTGCTTGAGTCCTTCCACTGCAAGAGCTGCAGTGGGAATGGTGACCGCGGGCGGAAAAATGTGGGTCGTCTGATTTGCTATTGCTGCAATCATAATGCAGATGGCTGAAGTCTAGAATATTATGATGTAAGTCAACAAGGTTATAGTTATAAATTATGAATGAAGCTTGCAAGTAAGGAAGAAACGCACATGAAAAGGAGCAGTAAGCGAAAACACCCTCCCGCCTTCACTCTTTCTATCCAAAGACTCGAATCCCTCTGGAAGCTCCAACTGCATCGCCCGTACATAAGCAGCCGCATAATCATGAGTATAAATTACCGGTTTTGAAAGTCCGGTAGTCCTAGATGTATGAAGCGCAACTAATGTTTCCCCTTTAGCCTCTTCAAACTTTTTCTCGTAGGGAAAATATTTGTAAGTGGTATTGAGCAGCTCCTCGATAGAAGGAATCGTGAGAACGCGTAGATAATCATGAAGTTTCACAACGGGAGCTACAGTTGGAGGCTGAGAGGAAGTGGTTAAAAGCACTTTGCAAGACATGGTAGTGAAGAGATGAGTGGTTGCTGAGGCGGTGAGGAGGGGTGATGTGAGGAGAAGCTATATTCCATTCGTCAGCTTTCAGGTTTTGACTACAAATACCCTCACCTTTTTGAATTCTTCTTCTGTTAAATTCCTCATTCCAAGTACCTCCAACCTTTCCTGATTCCATACAAATGAATAAGAACCTTCCTTATACCCCGCCTTCACAGCTCCCAAAATAAAAATCACATATCGAAAATCATTCCACCCCATATAAGACAATGTCTGGAAATCTTTTGCGGGGCCCAATTCCTCGGTAAGCCATTTGGCGGCTCCATTTACCGCATTTGCTAACTGAGCATAAGTAATTTTGCGATAGCCTTGTGAGTAATTTATTGGGAAAATCTACGAGTATGTGAGTAAATGTATATTTAGGACAAGAAGGGAGGAGACCAAAGTTGTAAGAAGATCATGAGATATTCATACAAAGTGGACATCTGATAAGGAGCCAGGGAGTTGAAAAGTACAATTACAACTTACGGTATATTCCCCAAACAACGCATGTGGGCACACTCGGGCCCTTTCATCTAGCACATCAATAAGGAATCGAGGTTTATCATATCTAAAATATCCTGCTTTGGTAGTTGAATGATTCTCTTCGGGGCTGCTTGATGCCATGGTTTGAAGATATAAAAATGGTAGATTTTAAGGTTAGTTTGTAGAATGGTAGAGAGGTAGATAGGCACTAATCTACCCTATCACTGACAAGACAAATAAAAGAATAAGTGGAAGAGAAAATTTTCATGCCTGACTTTCTATCTGGGAGATAATCGAGGATATAAGTACGCCAAAATACCAAAATCAGCCAACATGACGATATCCACATATAACATAAGCCACCCCACCACTTTTCTCTCTCACACCCCCATCCAACCCATCCAGCCCAACCCGCTCTCCCCTCCTCCCCTCCTCTCTCAATTCCCCTCCTCCAGCTCCCATCACCACAACCGCAACCACAAAACTCAGAATCTGCACCACCCGTCCCGCTCTCGCATCCCTACACTTCCCATCCGAATACGTACCCGAATACTTTACAACCTGACACGTCCAAACTTCGAAATCGAACGTCCCTTCGTGGTAGTGCCCGCGATAAGTGCATTCCGGATCGTATGTTGCGGATTGAATGTATGAGATGTGGAGATATGTCACTGCGATGAAGGATAGTAGTGTATTGAACAGCAGAGCCAATCTAAAGATTGAAACAGGAGAGAATAGGTAAGCCTATGGATGATTAAAATTCATTTTGTAAAAAACATAGATCATTGCGAGTCTTGCTCGTTTATTCTTGGTCCAGTATCCCGTGAAGAATGCCAGAAAAGCTGTAGATATGATGAGAGATATAACGCTAGATGCTAGCGCTAACTTGGAACTGGATTTGTCGAGATGCTCTGGAAGAACATAGGTGCCGAAATCTTTGTAGTCGAAATGGATGGTTTCAGTTACACCCAATGAGCCCCAAGAAACAGAGATCAAGACCGAAATATGGAGGATGATAGCAAGAATAGAGAGAATCCAAAGAATGAAGGTTGACGCTGTGAATACGAGCTGCGTATTCGAATTGAGGATTGGCATTGTTTAGCAAGGGCTGAACGGTTGAGCAATGTCATATAGGAAAGACCTAGACAAAAAGAAACAGGGTTTTAGGACTTGCTGATCAATGTTGTGTCCTTAATTTCGATGTTAGAATTCCGTAAAGAACTTATTCAGAGTGTCGAGGTGCATGTAAAATCTCCAGATGGTTTTCATTTTAGTGCGAGAGGAATCGTTGTTCATAAATATGGCTGTGATTACAATTACAACTGGAGTAGTGAACCTCAATGGCAACCAATAAATTTTATATCAATACCGACGTGAGCCAGTCTGCCTGTACCTAGTTGCAGTCGTATACCTGTATGCTGTCATCACTCAGTGTCGAAGGCTTGGACGTATTCAGCTACCTATATACATGTATCAAATCTACATGTCCTCGAATACTATCATATGAATCAGTGAAATTATTCAATCTTACCACAGCACTTCTTCAGTGAATTTCCTCGAGTCCTCGAGTTCTGTGATCGCAAAGACAAATGCATTGCCCAGTGAAGAGATACCAGATAGACATGCATATGAGAAACTGAGACTCAGCTATCACTTCTCACAATCGGGGAGGTAGACAGACTAGCAAGTTACGATAAACTAGAAACCCAAACACTTTTCATATGAGTAAAGCACAAAAGAAAACCCGATATGAATGCATCCCCAATGCTGAAATATATCATCAGCCAGCACAAGTGAAGTAGAGTACAAAAGTACTTTCGTAAAATCGAAAGAATAGATGATTTAATTCTCTGTCTTGAGTGTTTGGGTCTTGGTATTCCTGAAGGCCACAAAGCAAATAAATTGTGCAAAAGAGAGATTTCCATCCTTGGGTTGAATGTATGTTTTCGCTATCGAGGAGTATTTTTTTGGCATGAACAAGGAAGAATTTTAACAGATCCCTCACACACGCGACAGCAATTTTGATGTATCTAATAGATCCAAAGGGGGGGAGGGGTTTAAATTTGAGCCAAATTTGAAACATATTGTTGGAAAGCGGTGCAAGGCCTACACATGAATTTCTCGATTAGAGGTCTTCTCCTGGAAAAATTAGATGTCTGTCAGTGCTACTCTCTCGATCAATCTCTATACTCTTACTTACTATCACAAGCTACGTTAAAGAACTTAATAAAGTTCAATCTAGAGCTGGGAGGTAGTAACGCTACAGCCTGAAAGCACGATTAAGAAGTCAAATTCATGTAGAACAAAATAACGTTTTATTGGCTGTCCTAATTTATGATTTTGCTTAAAAATTGAAAATTGAAACCCCATATTTTATGCATCCATACCAGGCAGGAAATCCTTGTTCCAATGCAAGGCCATTCCCGCCCCCAAGGCAACTCCGGCCTAAGTATAGGCATACAAATTTAACATAAAAGGCAGAGAGCCCTTGTGCAAAGCAAGGCCGTCCCTGCCCACATATGTCGTCGAATAGAGGACAAATAGAGGCAGATTGCTAGAGACATCTAAAATGTCAATAACATAAACGTGTGGAATAGATGTCGAAATCAAAACCTATCACGACTTGTGAGAATGTCTTAATTCCATCCGTTACCGCCGGAAGCTGGAGCTCCCAAGCATCATCAGCTGGAGCAGCTTCAGTGGTTTCAGCGGCACCCCAACCACCACCAGTAGCAGCATCGTCTGTTCCCCAGGCACCACCACCTTCAACACCACCCTCAGCATTCTCGCCACCTTCCTCTTCATCATCTGAATCATCATCAAAATTGAGAGTTGCGAGATCACCGGTTTGGCCATCCATGGTAAAACCTTCAGGAAGATAAGCCTCAAGGAAGTCAGGAACTGGTTGGCGAGTTTCCAACAATGTCTTGACCAAAGCTTCAGCAATATCATCATTGCGATCATTATAGAACGAGCTTGCAAGACCCATATTACCAATACGACCGGTACGACCTGATCATTTCATGGTTAGCCAGCTGCAAAATTAATTTGAAGTAGAATGTGCTTACCAATTCGATGAGTATACTCTTCAATGCCGCCATGATCATTGGATGGCAAATCAAAGTTGATAACATGCATCACGTTATGTACGTCGAGACTGGAGTCTATGTTAGAGGATTAACTCGAAGGGCATTCACATCATTGTATGAAAAGGGAAGAATGGTGTGTCAAACATACCCGCGGGCAGAAACGCCAGTAGCGATCAAGATAGGCATCTTTCCATTGCGGAAAGCACGAATAGAGTCTTCACGCTCACGCTGAGTACGATCGCTGTGAATAGATGTGCAAGGAAGGTCGTTGTTGAACAAGAAGTCATCGATTTCGTCAGCAGCACGCTTGGTGTTGACAAAGATGATGGTACGAGCAGGTGGGGTTGATAGAAGCAAATCGTAAAGAGCTTGACGCTTGCTGGCAGCATCGACATAGATGATGTCTTGCTTGATATTGGTGTGAGAACTACCAGCACGACCAACACGAATGCGAACATGATCGTGAGCCAGATGTTCCTTGGCAATGGCACGAGCCATCTTTGGGAAAGTGGCAGAAAACATCATGTAATTGATGTTTCCCTCTTCCTGGTCTATTCCAGAATTAGTAATGTTCAAGTGAAACCAGAATGATCGAAGGACTTACCACCACCGCTCATAATCTGCTTCAACTCCTCCTCCCAGCTAGAGTCTAACATCTCATCTGCTTCATCAATAACCATGTACTTAAGGCGCTTGAGAGTAAGAGCATGGGGACGGCGGACCATATCGCAAAGACGACCAGGGGTACCGATCAGAAGGTCACAGCCCTTGGCAAGTTGACCGAGTTGCTCGACAAGAGGACCACCACCATAAACGACGCAAGGTCGAAGCATACTACGATAGCAGAAGCGACGAGCCTCATCAAAAATCTGAGTTGCTAGCTCACGACTGGGACAGACAACGACGACCAATGGCTCAGCTTTGACAAAGTTGTCACGATCTGGCACATAGGTGGCTGGGTTTGGACGAGGGGCAGCAAGCTTCTTGGCCTTACCCATCAACTTTGACAAGATTGGAATCAAGAAAGCCGCAGTCTTGCCGGAACCTGTGAGCGTGGAAAGTCAGTAAATAGCTCAATTATTTGGATAGTGATAGTTGCTCACCAGTTTGGGCGCAAGCAACTACGTCATGATCTTTCTTGACTGCCGGGAGGCAGTACTGTTGGATCGGGGTTGGAACATGATAACCAGCCACTACAAGATTAGAGAGTCAATATTGCCTATCAAAAGAAGGTTTCTGGGTGGAACTTACATTTGATGTTTTCCAACATAACTGGGTGAAGACCTGCATCCTCAAATCTGCGAATGGGATCGATCTTGATAGTTCCCTCTTGGGTAACCGTAAGGGTGGTAATGCTAGAAAACAATGTTAGCACGATATCATATAGTTAAGAATGAAGATGAATGAATACCTCTCAAAGTTGAGACCCTGACGAACATGGTTGTTGTTCTTGCCGAACAATTGATCCTCCAGATCGGGGAATCTAGGACCAACATCACCATATTCTTCGTTCCACTCATATATAGCACCACTTGAGGCCCATTCTCCAGGACGAAGACCGCCGACGGCAAGTGTCTCTGGCTCTGCATCTTCAGCTGCATCAGCTGCTGGCTCAGAATCGCCCTCGGCACCATCTGCAACGGCAGCACGGGCTTCTGCTTGTTCCTTGGTGGACTTGTTGTAAGTTTCGTAGTCATACTTCTTGGCAACAACCCAGCCAGCTTCTTGAGGATTCTTGCGCTCTACCGCGACAGCATCAGGTGTTTCTGTTGTGTCGGGCAAGGCAGCAGCCATGTCTCCAGTTTCCCAGGCAGACATGTTGACTTGAAGTGATCTGTAATGAAACAGCTAATTAGTCGAGTCCAAGAAGTATAAAGTAGGAAAGAACATAGATCTGATGTGTTCTCGACGCACCTTGGAAAAGTAAGAAAGTGTATGATTGTGTGAAATCTGTGAGATCAGTTAACCGTAGATCGAGGAAGATGCAATAACAGTATGAGGATGATTGGACAACTGTAAAGACGGTGGCGACAAAAGTAAATTAGGGCAAGGCAGGAAGGAAAAATAAGATAGGAAGAGTTGAGGGTAATAAACAATATTGTCTGATACCAAATGCGACTTGATCAAGCGAAATAGACGAGGGGAAGTAGGTATGAACATATGGTCGCGCAACTCAATGCCAACGATAGTAGCGGGGAAGTAAGAAGTTGAAGTGAATGCCATGTACAAGCCATATGAACTAATTGATAGATAGATCGAAGAACTTACTTGATTGACGAAGTGAATGCGACAGACTTGAACCCAAAGGCAACCTGGCAAAGAAAATGGAATAAGGAAGAAACGTAATCTTCGACGCTGTTATGAAAGGTTAGAGAGACTTCGGCCTGTATCAAAGCAGATGGAAGATGAGATGAAGGAGAGTTTGTTCTGATAGCAGCGTGGAGCGAGCAAAATGATGGAGGACAAATCAAAACAAGGGAACTTGACTTACGATCAAGAATCGAGAAGACTTGGTGTTTGATTGAAAGTATCGGATACTTCAACCAAAGTGTTGGAGAAGGTAAAAGAAGAGTGAAGAATCAATCAAGATCGAGGAGATCGATCAAAATTGATGGAGGATATTTCGGAGGTAGTTGTAAGAGGGTAGGAAGAGTAACAGAATTGGCAGGAGTAAATGGAAGGCTTTATAGACAATTGAGAGATTGGAGAAACGAAGGGAATAAGGCTAGTGTCCCGCCCTTTTTGAAACTATGATTGGCTAAATTGACGAATTCGAGCTTTGTTGGGCGACGAGACTGTGGAGAAATCGTTCTTGCTAAAAACAACCATATGAAGAGAAAAGGTTAAACTTGACTAGAACTAGCAATTATCCATGGATATAATTTACTATAACCTCAAAATTGATAAGAAACCATTCTCTGCATCTCTACTGTAGTTTCTTCTATGATTGTAACTTATTAATTCACGTAATATTGCCCGTCTCCATGATATTCCTATGCGGAAGGTGAAGCTCGCACCTTCTTCTTTGACCAAAAGATTTGTAAAAATAGAAGTGCATCAACACTGATGATTTCTCGCCTTGCCATCATGTTATCAGTATCAGCAGTAACGAAGATTGTGTCCAGCTACGCTCTGAATATTATCCATACTACATACAACACACCTGTACAGCCCCCTCTTGTTATGCAATATTACTGCTTGTGGGCCACAAAACAAGGTAGGTCAAATGAGTGAAGTCAACGAAACCTGATCGATACAAATGGATATTAGCTGACGCTTTCTGTGACTTTTAGACATCAAGACAAGCCCTGTGAAACCACCACCTACAAATGAAAGATGTGCTGGCTATTCATATTCCGCAGGGCCGACTTTTTGGCTCACCCGCAGGTACTCTTACGCTTCAACTGAAACGTCGCGTATATTCTTCGAAGACCTTCGACACACACGAAAAGCTTTAGAGGCTCGCATGTCGAACTCGAGATACAAGAAGATCAAATTCTATTGTACAAAGTTTGGTCCTTGTTTGGAAGGTCCTCGCTCGCGGTCCACAGAGTGTAATCTCACCTATAATGACTCGCTGCACAACACCAGAGTCAGTTCATCGAAGACGTTTTTACAGACTCACGAGTTTTGAACCTTCTCTTGTCGAAACTATCTATTCGTATCTCGTACAGCATGATAGAAATCTACAACGCAGATGAATTCTATTTGCCTCCGACCCATAATATACTTTGGCTCTACGCTAGCTCCCTTGGCATACTCAAGTTACAGGTCCAAGAAGCTCCCCCTCTATGCACGGAATGGTTTCTGTAGGAGAGATATTGTGCTAATATATATACATAGAAAGGAAACACCTATGTTGTCATTGTAGACAAGAATACCCAGACCTATCCGCCTACCTGTAATTCAGAAGCCTGCCTATTATCTGACCTACTCACGAACCCAAACAAAAGGTGTCTTCACTCCTCGAGCTAATTGGATATGGCAAGCGAGTCACCTTGGCCATCATCTATACCATTACTCCACCAAGGACCTCGAGTGCACCAAAAGGAAGAGCGCAAATGTTCCGGCCCAGAGATCTTCGTTGGCGGCTACCAACTAGCACATACATTTCGCAGCTTGGCCTCTTCCGGCAGATATGACATAGGAGCTTGAGATATTAGGCAGGTATAAGAAATATTGGTACGGTAGGTAGCGGAAGACTTTGTGTATATTTGCATGTATTTTCACATAGGTAGATGTAATATATTGCAGAACCCCGTCTACACAGGCACTGAGAAACTACTGAATCCTAAAAATGCTCTGTTCTTCCGTTGTCCCCTCTTTTTTGAAAGAGAATTCATTCATTCTAGCTGGGAGGAGGAGAACAAGCGAGCTTGAATATACTGTCTTTCGCTTGAGCGATTGAGATCCTGAGAACGTGTGGTATTACTTTAGAGTCATTTCTTATGAATCAATTACAATGAAAATGTATATGTGCAATAGTATCAGGATAGAGGAAGCAATGGTAGATTAGCAAAGCAAAGCGACAGCTTCACAATCACACCAGGATATCAATTACATTACTACAGAGTGGACTCAAGTACCCATAGATAGTTCTCTATCTCAATAAATATGCTCAATTCACTTGTCCTTTTGAGAGCTATACAAAAAAGAAATTTCAAAGAAAGTAGATATCCAAATCCATACAAATTTCAGACCAGATTCTGATTCTGAGAGTGAATGGATTCGGATTGTAACAGTGAATACTTGAGGCTGAGTAGTTGATTTTTTCCCCCTCTTTTTCCTTGTTTTTCATTCTGCACTTTCACAATACTTTTTTCTGTGCCTCATCAATCCATCACAACAAGAACTTATTGTGTTATCTCCAAGACATCAAAAATCGAGATGACAATCAAAAGTAAGCAAACCATATCTACTCCTTGTGTAGTATCAATACCTTGTCCTTCCGAGAGAATATTGGGATTTCTCTGCACCTTGATTTTTGAGGGGGTATATGCATATTGATCGCAGATATATATTTGTCTTCGTCGCTAACGTGAAGATAGGTTCGACCATCATGGATTTCGTCAATACCATTCCCATCCCCGGACACGACAGTCTACAATGGCCGGAAACCTCTGTCTTGAGCATGCTGAGACAGAATGAGATTGTTGCATATAACAATAGATACCGATGCAAGCTATATATTTCTCACATATGATACTTATATTCATACAAGACAAGACATGACATGATATGCCATTCTTCCTTGCTCATTTTGTATAAAAGACTGCTAGACTAACTAAAATCTTTGACAGTGTTTATGAACATTCAAAACTACCGCGGATCGCAGGAATGGAACAAGCTCGATGCATCTGATTATATTCAGCTTCCCGACACTCCTAAATACATGTCTGGTATGAGCCTTCAAAGAGCTGCGCAACGTTGCCAAACAAGAATGGTCGAGTTGATCCGCATTCATAATGAGCGCGCTGGGGCGCACAACAGAGCACTTCAAAGCCAACAACAGAATGACGTGTGTGCACTAGAGGAAGAGGAAGAGGGTTCCGTTGCAGAAAAAGCCGAGTGGACAAGCACCATTGTCGCTGTGAAGGCAAAGCATGCAAGAGACGCTGTAAGTTCAGAGAATCATGCATACGCTATACCATTTGTAACTAACATTCTCTAGAAGGAGCAACTTCAATCGCGAGTAGGAGATAGAATGGGGTTGTGGGAGAGAAGATAAACCGCATTGCGGTGCATTGTCCAGGCAATCCACATGAAGGAATCGACCAAGGAAACAACGTAATGGGAAATACTTAGATGTGGAAGGAGAAATGTCGTTCCAAGCAAAGAGAATACTTCTTCTTTGTGCATCAGCAATAATATGAACTCTCCTTCAATAATCGTTCAATTTCTTCGTTCCTCGGTGATGTTCAGATTAGGTGAGCCAGGACCTATAAGTACCTAGTACTGTTAGGCAAGCACTTGGCAGAACTATTCATATCCCTACTCCATAGGTCCCAGTATCTACTGTACCCCCTCCAAAATATCAACGCATGATGACTCTTCGGTGAGTTTCATAACCTTCCTAGTGCTATTTTCACAGTACGGAGGAACTCTTCACATTCCTGATTCAGAAAATACTGCGGATGCTGTCAGTTCAGCATCCAAATCGCAGCATACTATTTTCCAAAACCTCATATCACTTGATATCTTGCTATCCTTAGAGCTCGCGAGCGTCGCCTGCTCACAACAAAACTTGAGTCCATGCCAGTAATGACAAGTTCTAAAATCAGTGGTGGCGCCGCGAATACTGCACGCAGTAGTATCTCTCGCTACGGATTCTCGATGTGCTTCTACCAAAACCCAAAATTTCCACGGTTGATCTCAGATCATGTGGAGATGCCCGTTGAACTTAAGCATATCAATAAGTGGAAACGACATCAGTGTGTTGATGCCAAAACCAGTCAATCCTTGCAGGTGCGTCGTCCTCGATATCTCCCGCCCACGGCAGAAGAAGCCTAATATTTGTTGTCCCTTTCGTAAAGGAGATCATGTGTGAAGTTTGCGACTTGGTGAGTATGACATAATCTCCATATCCACATTTCCTTTGAGCTACTTTTGTTGTATATTCGAATAATGAGGTGCATCTCAATCCAAGGATACTCGAATGAGGATTTTCGTATCGCGTCATGTTATGCGTGAGGAATGGAAGACTTTAGTGAGTTGAAACTAGACCACTGCAATGCAATGGCTCGTTATTCTGATCGATTTTGCGCCCATGACAAAGCTTGAAGCTCTAAATTGCTATCAATCATACCTACCTGCAAAATATAAGTTGCGAGTACGAATATATGCAACAAACATGCCAAATAATGCCATAAGCACTTCTCCATTTGATTTTGATTCCTTTCTGTACAGAAAAGTTCTTTCTATCAAATTAATAGTTGTTGTATCAAGCCTGGAACTCTACAAATCAAGGTGGGAAACAAAGTCTAACTTTCAGATTTCGGCCCGAGGTTGTTCCGATGGCTTGGTTAAAGTTGATTTATGGGGTGAATTCGACTTCAATTGTTCATATATTGAATGAGAGATGATGATTCTTGTATGTTTATATCCCTCTTCGTCTTCATTTTTGAAACCTTTTGTATTGCTTCAAGTGCATGTTTATCTCTGGCTTGATATTCCTTTCACTTTGTTGTCTTTCAATTTCCATAATACAGCTATACTTGGATCAATACTTAATTATAGGAGATCCTGTGGACTTGACTGGTATCATATATGATTTATACACCTGTCAAACATTCGCAAAACTCCAAGTACAATTCTGACGTGAGATACACGCATAGTCTTAAAGTTGATTTTACCAGATTTCTTCTGTCTCCCTCCTCTCTCATCATCTTCTTTACACACCCTCTCCTCCCTCCCTCCGATATTAAACCTCTCGAAACCCCCAGCATCATAACTTTATCCTATACTGATGCTAAAACAGACCTAGCTATATAAGATTATATCATACCATATCTCATACCTCCTATATCAAAATGTTCTCCACGCGCCATCTATATCATATCTCCGGATAGAGAATTCCAAAAAATACATCCATACATACATATCAAGCCAGATAAACCCTCTACACCCACCATTCTCGTAGTGTCCTTCCCAATCCCAATCCAGCGTCTCAGATCTGCCCCTAACCAAAGCCCTAAAAAATCAGTGTCTAATTACTTCCCCCCCCTTCGCCTTTTCATATCCTATTTCCTCCCATCCTCCCATCCTCCCATCCTCATCTCCTCACCTCCAAACCTCACACAGAAATCCACCCATCCTCTCCAAATCCTCCCAATCTTCCGCAATCCCAGCACTCGCCCAACGAACAAAGCTCTACCTAGAGAGACCTACACATCCTCAACTCCCACCCAATCTCCCACTCATTACCTTACCCAACCATACCAAGTTCCAACGAAGCAAAAGAGCAAATACATCATCTCCCTTTCCCTCTACCTCCCCCTCTCCCTAACCCATCAAAGGAACTTATTCCTTATGTGCTTTGATATTTCTTCTACTCGAGTAGACTTTTCTATTGTGGGGAAGGGCGGGGGTTTGCAAAAATCCTTATGATAAAGATCTTATGAGTGGTAAATTCAACTTGTGATTATACAGTTATTTCTAACTAGCACGATGGAGTGGATATCTAGTCTACTCTATCTACGATATATTAACCCGCTAAGAAACAAAAGGACTTTTCATCTATAATACACGACTAACTAATTGCACGGTGATGTTACACCCGCTCCCACTCCCGCGCCGCAGCACATACATAATTCTATCCATCAAACACACCATGTTGCAACTCCACTCCGAATTGATCTTTCGCCAAAAACCTCATCTGTTTCTCAATATCATCCTCCATGCCTCCGCCCCATCCAAGCAATTGTCTAATTTTACTTCCCCAAAAAGCCATATCGGTGCTCAACAATACGAATCTGAACAGGAGATGTTTCCACCCGTTAACCCATCTCTCTCTCCAACTCAAATCCTTGCTATCGACCAGACTGCGAGATGCCCATGAACCCGTCATTTTGATGCGGTTAACAGGGGAGCCGAGAAATTGATTATTTCCTTGCACAATGCGCATATTGCGACCGATGAAGAGGAGTTCACGGGGGAAATTTTCTTCTTCAGAAAGGACATCTCGGATGCCTTGACGGAGTCTCTCTTGGACTTCGTAGTGACGCTCTGCGGCTGTTTTGCCTTTGAGATCCTTGGTAATACGATCTTTGGTGCTGTTATCGCCACCGTCATATGGACGCATGAGAGTTGCTGATGCGAAAAGATCGGGGGCCTTGACACCCCATGCGGAAGTGATTTCGTTAAGCGAGGTATTGTCGAAGGTCATGATGGCTTTCCAGAATTGGCAGTATTGGTGTCGGAAAGTTGGAGTCATGGAAACGTATAGACCATGATCGATTAGGACAAGTTCTGGTTGGCCGTTGGGCTGTCTTCGGATAAAAATATTCCCTGGATGAGGATCGCAATGTACAACTCCCCAGAGGAACATTTGTGCGGAAAAGAGATCGACCATGGTAGTCATGACTTGTTTCAAACTGAGGCCTAGACCACCTTTGCCGTTACGACCTCTCCATTCCGCACTACGATCGGGTTTGGGATTGTTACTTGAGAGGATATTTGGCGAGGGATTTGACAGTGGGGCCCCTTTTGCTCCAGGAGAACCTTTGCCATATCCACCCAGCCAAGGAGCTGTCAAAGCTTCTTTATCCCAAAGACGTACACCCTCGATCCATTCTGTCGTCATGACTCGTTTTGAGGAAAGATCACGATATACCTTGGGAATATAAACACGGCCGTTCAATCGTGGTTCACCCGCTACTAGTCCGGCCATCTGTTCTGAGTTATTCGCTTCATTTACAAAGTCCGTTTCTAGCATTAAGCGCTCAGTAATATAAGGCACTAGACTGTACAAGGGAAGGTCGAACCAGTATGTGTATACTTTCATCACTACTCTGAACATATTGTTAGCAAGGTCTAAGATTTTGAATGCTTTTCGAATGGAGGAAACTCACTTGAAAGCCCACAGATCCCAACCCACTTGGCTAGCAATCTCTCGTTTCTGAACCTTGATTGCCACTTCTCTCCCATCAGCCAACCTCGCCCAATGAACTTGCGCAACAGATGCTGAAGCTCTGGCTTTTGTTTCGATTATTCCACTCCCAGGCTTATTTGTATAACTAACACCAAACACTTCCTCTGGACTTTTACCTCCAAAGTCCTCCCTGATAACCCTCTCCACATCGCGCCACTCATTCTGCGGAGCATCATCGAACATTCTCGCAAACATTTTCTGGAATTCAGGAGGCAAGACTGCACTTTGCATAGCAATTGCTTGTCCAATTTTCAGGTATAATCCTCCATTCTGGTGTAAAAGATTGAACATCCTCTCAGCATTTCTCCTATGCAAGTCCGTAATGTCACCCCGAGAATCGGATTTGGTCTAAAATTAAGCTTATAATCGATCGCCACCAATATGCCCAGGCCGAATGTTCGCAATGATCTGGTGATAGAGGATGCGTACAATTGGGTGTCTATGAGATAGGCTATGCCTGTCGCCGCCGAGACATATAGTAATCTTCGTCCCCATTTTATGGATCGAGGATATAGCTTTGGAGGGGCAGCTTTTCCCAAAGATGCTGGCGAAGGGGGGACAAAAGGCTGATATCTTTGCGCATGGGCTAAACGTTGGGGAACCTTTGTATATACATGATTTCTGATCGTTTCCTTCTTTGGTCGAGTCAAAAATTGACTTGATTGTTTTCGTGCCTGGTGGGATATTTGGTGGGTAGAAAAGAATGGATTGAATAATAACTTGTTACATGATGGTACAATGAGCCCCGACCTCCTGCCTGCATTTGGCAGGTACATGGCTACGTTGAAAAGCCGACGTGAATGGAATACATAGAGGAAGTAAAAACTTCAATATTCGATGACGATAATATAAGGAAAACTATCAGCTAGTTCCCACCGTTATCGTTGATAAGAAATCAGTTTGTGTTAACCCCGCCCCGTCCCGTTTCCCTGCTTTACTAAGCGGCTCGGTCGAGTTGACATATCCGACCAACAAATCAAAGTATGGAAGTTCCACGGATTCTCCTTGGATTTTCTTAGCATTATTGGCAACGAAGATGGAGATGAAGATGAAGATGGAGATGTTTCCAATAACAAGCAGCTAATAACAAGCAGCTGAAGAATGGGGAGTGGCCGGTTGTTTCTTTTTGAGAGACCGTTATAAAGTACGGAGGACAAAGGAAGGAAGGTTCATACCAAACCATGTTCTACCAAATCCTTCTCATATCATCATCTCGTATCATATTCGTATTTGTACGGCCAGTTTGCATGTCAACTCACCAAACAAGCCATCAGAGCCAGGAAAAGTCAGCGGCAATGGAGCACATCCATATTGTACTCTGTATGATCGTCCCGGTATTTTATGCAGAAGGGGGAAGTTTACAAGGACCATGTTTGAAGTGGCCAAGGACTATTCACCTATGGGAAATGTTCATTCTCAACCTTGACAGATTGTGAATATTGGCATTCATTTATTAGGTGTTCCCTCATCATACTTGAGCACTATCAGAGCAAATGCATGCCTCCACCGAATTGGATGGCGTCACACTTTAGGTTCAAAGATGCATTGATTCGAGATTATGCATTATTAGGTACTTATTAGTAGGTATTCTGGGTGGATGCTTATTATTGCCTCTGTTCGACTTGTAGAGAGGTATTTCTCGGACGACTTTGCTCATGCCTACTTGGTATACATATGATATATGATGGACTTGTGAAGTGCCTAGTGGATAGGACAGTGGCTAGCATTCTCGATATGTGATTGATAGACTTCAAATATCAAGAAAAGAAAAGAAAACACAGCTAGGCGTAGTAAAGCAGAACTAAATATAAACTTGTATGATTTGCATATCCATAGCATGGAAGCAATAGCTCCATCGTATGATCTATAACTTTAGATGTCGCATAAAGTGTTTGAAGATCCTAATATCTTTGGAAACAAATGTCCACTGTTGTTAGTTTGTTACAGGTGATAGCAGTGAATGAAAAATGAACAGCGCGTCCGAGACCGTGTGCCAGAAAGCGTAACTCGGGGACTTCAAGTTCAAATGTTCAGACTCCAGACTCAGCAAAGTGTAAAGGATGATTGTCAAGCAAGTTCATAAGTTTATCATACCGGCTGATAAGTACCAGGTAGTTGATGCTCGAATGGATTAATCAGGTATACTTTGAATATCACCAATTCCTAATATTAACATCCTCTTCTCGTGTCTTCTCTTCTTCCCTTCCCCTCCCCCTCCCTCTAGTATCATATTCTCCATATTATCCATCTATCTAGTACCTATCGTACCTGCCATACCCACGTATTCATACCGTCCTGTCTCCATTTTATCGCCATCGGCTCATTATTATCTGCATGATCAACCTCAATGATACTGCTTGGATAAATTTCCGAGAAGCAGAAAATGTCGTGTCGTGTTTCTGTTCTCCTTCTTCTTTAGAACAAAGTACCATCCCATCCATCCATACATACCTGGTACATAATCGAGATCAACTTTAATCAGCGGGGCTGAGCAATTCACAATTTATCACGAGAATACCTAGTACAGCACGAGGAATCATCCATCTCTCACAATAAGTCATTAACTCGGCGGAGGACAGAATCCTGCGCAGACTGTACGGTAGTTTAAGACGAGGCACTTGTGAACGGTGCAAACCCTTCCCCTCTCAAGCCTCAAGGGACGGATAATAATAATCTGAAACGCGCATAAGAGTGAGACCGAAAATTACCACCATATTGAAAGACTGACATGACAGATTGAAAGACCATCATCCTTTCTTGTACAAACAAATAGTCGAGGATTTTTTAAACATACACCAAACCAATTCCTACACACTTGTCTCTACCATACTCGGACTCTCATCCAAGATTACGATTTTTATCTTACACAGCCTTTGAAATCTCGGAAGAATTCATTCTTGGCTGAAGTCGAGACCAATTGAATCCCACTCCACACGATATCCCTTCAAGGTTCTACTGCACTGTTTGCCTTTAACCTACGCTTTAAACCTACAACGACATAGTACGAGGAACCGTTCTTGGAAGGCGTGGGCTATCAACGCTTTTAACCTTGCTTTTCCCAAAAGCCAAAGTCAATTCTAATCACAATCTACAAAAACACATGTACTTTGCCTACCGTCCATCTTTTTCCCTGGTCCCCGCCTGCTCCTAGTCTCTCAGAAAAGGGCATCGTCAGGAGGAAACTACAACAGCAACAACAACGTCCATTGATCCAGTCTTTATCGTCCAATTTATGACTTGATTTCCTGAAACTGTATTCCATTTATCGATGTCTAGTCAGGAGTGGGGAATTAAGGGCAACAATAATAATTACAATCAACAAATTGAGAACTTGAGACTTGAGGTACATTCCGCGACAACATCACCTGGACACCCTTTGATCGAAAGAACCTCGATATTTGCCGCGTCTTAAAGACGCTGGCATTTCCAATTTTCTACGCATCTGCATAGCACAGGTCAACAAAATGTTAAGACCGGCGACTCCGTTATCGCTTTTGCTGCTCGCTGCATTCGCATGCTTGCTCGTGTCAATTCTATCAACTCCTATAATTAAGTCGATACCATTGGCCTCTTTCGACGGAGTTCAGTTTGGGGTCTTTGGTTTTTGTAAGGGAAGCACTTGTAGCAATATTGAAATTGGGTATAGTACTGGTAAGTCTTAATTCTTGAATGCACACTCTTTCTACACATGCTTCCGCGCAATGCGTACTTTAGCATACCAAGCACAACACTGATATTAAATAATTATTTAGAAAGTCTTTACGATGAAACTCAATCAGCTACATTCGATCTCTCTACAAGTACTAGATCAACGTTATCTGCTATTCTCATTATCCACCCGGTAGCTGCGCTATTCACACTTATCATGCTAATCCTAGCCATCGCCGCTCACTTCCATGCACCTTCACATTCCCCTCGATACTTATTGGGAATATTTATACTGAGCATCTTGACTTTGATTCTCACCCTACTCGCATTCCTCATCGATGTTCTACTCTTCGTACCTCACATGGCATGGGGTTCATATGTTGTGCTCGCCGCCACAGTCATTATCGCCGCAAGTGGTGTTGTGTCATGCGCTATGCGCCGAACATTGGTTAGTCGAAAAGCAAGGAAGCGTCGCATTGAGGAGAACGCAGAGATGAACGGAGAGAATTTCTACAACCGTCAAGAAACTGAAACAATCACTCCGGTTGTCACTGACACCAGCATTTCGAAAAATCCGGCCAACGAGAAGTTACCAACATTTGCCACATTTGATGCGAGTAACAATGAACGAACAAGTGACGAGCGGATACCTTTGACTACAAGAACTCCAACAACTGAAAACTCTCCTACTAATGTCCCTGGTGGATCTATTAGGAGTCAGGGAATGGACGGTTACAATGGACCACAGTCAGGCACCCCATCTATAGATCAATACGGAAACCCAATTCCGATGATGCCGATGATGCCGCAAGTAGGAAGTGCATACGGTATGCGAAACCGTGACCAATCTGCTGGGCCACCAGGACAGGCATTGAGCCACCAGTACTCTAACACTTCCATGAACTCGAGAGGGCGAGGTGGAATGCCACCAGGACCACCAGGAAGAGGTGGTTATGGACCACCGAGGGGTGGATATAGAGGAGGTTATGGGGGCCCTCCACCAGGCCCAAACCGTGGAGGGTATGGCTATGGCCAGCCAAGAGGGGGGTATGGTCCGAGAGGGGGTATGGTCCAAGAGGTGGCGGTTACCCAGGCCCGTACAGAGGAGGGATGAACAACGGAATGATGGCGATGGGTAACGGTGGAAGAGCGCCTCCACCCGGCTATGACAGCCGAGGACCTTCTGATCCTTCGGCGCCTATTGGTGGATTCAGGGATGCTTCCCCGGCGCCTCCCGGTGGATATATTGCATACAGGCCAGATGAAATAAGACCCAGTAGCTTGCCTCGTGCCGAATCACCTCCACCTATGGAAGATTTGGAAAATGTAGGCATGGTTGGACAGGCGATTGAAATGGTTAGTAGTAAATCACCTTGAAAAATTGATGATACTAATTTGGCATTAGGATGCGACAACAGGAAGTCCATCACATCCACCTCCGGGATTTGTCGGGCAATTCGGCAATCTTAGAGACAGTGATGACGACGTCGCTGGAATGGTGGGGCTACAACAGCAAAAAATACAGCAAAGGCATGAGACTTTGATTAGTGAGACGAGTCAGTACAGCCAAGATGAGTAAGTGATCTTCCATCATTGAGTCGCCAAGTTTCTAACGTGGTCAGATACGTACCACCAAGACAAGTATGGGGACAGCAAGCAGGTAGATCATCACCTCTGAACCCTGCCTCGCAACCTGTCGTCGAACTTCCTCCTAGCGAGTCTACTCACAAACGAGATAACTCGAATGATACTTATTACGAAGACGTTGACCCACGTTTTGCAGATCCAGCTCCAGCTCCAGCGACAAAGTCATCCCTGACAATTCCCGCCGCCCTCAATATTGCCGCACAGTCCTCGAATAACAACTATGATCCTAACTCTCATCTTCATCCAAATCCGTTGAGCAACTTAGATGGCAACAATTCTTACAATTCTTTAGAGGAGCTTCAGTCGGGGCAACGCTCTCCAGCTGAATCTGAAAGATCTACTTTTACGTCTGTGTCACAACGAGGGATCAATCCCAGATGGAACGGAGGCGCTAGTGGCTACGCGGGACCTCCAATGCCGAATAGGAGACCTGCCGCTCGACGAGAGGATGTTCTCTTGAATGACAATCCAGACTTTGCCTTGCCTATAGGTCGTGGTGGTCGGGGACCGCCTCGTGTCATGCGTGGTGGCATGATACCAAATTCCGCCTATCCAGGTGCCAGCGCTCTTTGAATTCGGTATTATTTATTTTCGGGATCTTTTGCCCGTTGCCCCTACATCTCATTTTACAGTTTCACCTACCTTATGACCTCACCAAATCGGCTCGTAAATAATGCCACTGTTTCTTTTCCTTCCTTTGTTGATATAGAGTCGTACGACCCAAGGCGTTTTGGTTCTTTCAAACTTCTAAAGCATACATTTTATGAGATGCACAGTCATTTTGGGCTAAGCAGTATCACCGCCTTGTTCTTTTGTTCATAGAATGGCTTCGAACTTGGTGATACATTTTTGATGATAGTTTAACAACAATTTTGTGTAGCAAGCCTTACATTTTGGCCTCTGCTTTAGGAGTTGGTCTTTTGCATTCAAGCGAATTTGGGCAGGAAACTTTGGGCCGCGTATGGCCAGCTGGTCGTTGGGCTATGGACGGTTGGTCAAAAATGGTGATTAAATGAAATGGAACTCTGGTGCACAGCAGTTAATATGACTAGGGAGTGCAGAAGTTGAGGTTGAAGGGGAGGGATTGAAAGGGCGTCACACATTATCGTGGGTGAGATGGCTATATGTTCTACAGACACAGACAAAGATACATGAATACTTTAGCTAGTAGAGAACAATTAAATGGACCTTTCAGATATTTAAGAAATTACATCAATTGAAATGTCAATATGGATAGGAATAGGTGTAGGTGTAGGAATATGTGGAATGGAAATGTGTTTTTAATTCTAACTTTTCTACTCTCACGTGAATGAATGGTTTTGAGTTTCGATGATGTACTCGCTGTCTTTTTCCCCATCGGGCTTGTGTGATACAAGTAAGGACAAGTAGGTAGGTAGGTAGGTAGGTAGGTAGGTACTCGGAGATAGATAGATAACATGAGAGGGGGCTCGGAGCAAAGCGCGTCACTAGCGGCATGTATGATCTGTATAATGTGCGAAGAAATTACTAGGTAGGTATGGGCGAGTTGATGATAGGCAGTGGAGGGTTTATGAGTTAGGGGAGAGATTAGTTGGATGCTGTGAGTGATTTGTGTGTGTTGTGTTGTGTGTATGTATGTATGTTGTGGTGTGGAGTGAGTAGAGTAGAGTAGAGTGGTGTAGGGAATTTAATCTAATTATGGGTGGGGGTTTTGAGAGGAGGAGGTGAGGATTAGAGGGAGATATGTTGGTATGCAGGTTGCAGAAATGGTATGCAGGTATGCAGGTACGGATGGATTTTATGGTTATGTTATGGTGTTCGGTTGAGTTTGGGTGTGGGTGTGGGTTTGGGTTTGGGTTTGGGTTTGAGGGGTGGATTGGTGAGTTTGATGGTTGGAGTGGATTGGGTTGGAGGGTTTGTGGCTGATGGGTTTGTGGTTGATGGGGTGATGGGGTGATGGATTGGGTGGGAGAGAGATAATCTTAGAGTGAGAGAAAGCACAGGAATGGAATGGAAAATCCAAAAGAATCCAAGAGAGGGAGATGTTGAATGAGGAAGATTTGTTAAAGATGGGTGGGAGATAGGGGGTTATGATATAGTTATAATGTTGTGTTGTAGTAGGGTAGGTCTGAGTAGATCCTTCAAGCATGAGCATCAGCATGAGCATCAGCATGAGCATTAAGAGAAAATCTTATTGATCTGTAAATTAAATATATGAGAGATGTTACGGATTGATTGATTGATTGATTGATTAATATTATCTATCGCTAGACCTGGTGTCTAGGTATAATATAAGAAATAATCTATGTATATATGAATTACGTGGTGCGTGTTAATCCACGTAGAGCAGGAAGGTCTTGATTCTTGCGAGACCAGAAGTCAAAGAAGAAAGAGTCCATCCATCCCTCCCATCCGGACAGAACATTCAAGATGAAACGTCTCCAAGTCGGAAAATCAAAACCAGAACCATGCAACCCATGTTTTGTGTTCCTGACCCTAACCCCGTCCGGACCCCTGCGTGGGATGGCTAAACATCTGGTCTGGTCCAATCCACGCTATCTACGTAAGGGTTCTGCAAAGTTTCCGATCAGAGACTTCGGGGTATTCCTTGTTGGTGACGGGGGGAGATTGTTCGTCGTGTGTGGATGGAGGGACTTGGGTGGGTTTGTGGGTTTGTGAGTTTGTAGGTTTGTACGTATGATTGGTATGATTGGTATGATTGTATTTATTGTGTTTATTGTATTTATTATATGTAGGAAGGAGGAATTGTATATGGTTGGTTTGTTGGTGGCTTTTACTGACTGACATTGGTTGTGGAGCCCCTGAAATGCGTTACAGAGAGGAGGGAGGAGGGAGAATGGGTGGTGAATGGTGAATGGTGAATGATGAGATGAATGGGTGGTGATGTTGTGCACCTATTGTGTACTGTGGTACGGGACTAGGCATGGACGGACGGGTTTTGTGATGGGTCGGAGGATAGAGGGGATTTTGAGAAATGATCGCTGTGGAATTGTGGGTGGGAAGGGAAAAAGGGAGTTTAAATATATGGATGGGGGATGGGGGATGGGTGGATGATTGATTGCATGCATGGGATAGAATGGGATGAACAATTGAATTATTGAATCATTGAATCATTGAATGATAGATACTTGGATATTCACTTTGCAATACTTGCTTGAGATTCTTTCGCTTTGATGGAATTCATTGGTTTGGAGTGCATGAGAGGGAGAAGGGAGTAAGTACGGTGATAAATGGTGATACGTGAAGAACATCTAGATGGATGTCAGAACGATAATGAGAAGTAAGAACGAAGGACTAATGTATGTTACCTACTCCCTACCTACCTGTTGATCGATTGATCTGTCGTCTTCTTCTCATTGTACTGTTGTATCATGTACGCGAGTAGTATCTTGTGTCGGATCATCTTCAACAATACAATACCATCACACTACGTACTATTGTGGCTTCCATCGACATCGACAATCCTTCTTCAATATCCTACGCATCAATCTCCATATTCATTTTCTCCTAATTCTGGATCCAAACATTATTCTCATACGTTAGTTCTTGACTCAAGCATCTACCAGCATCGCACTGCCTACCCCTTCATTCATTTCAGCGAGAAGGACAGAGGGCAAAGAGAAACTAAACCGCCAAAGACGAAGCTAGCGACTAGCATTACATGGAAAAGTTTGGACCGTTACAGCCTTATCAAGGATCTCCCAAATCAAAACTGGAGCACATGGGATCCATTTGATATCATTGCCGGACGGGTATGTTGATATCGATTCTTTTTTCTTTCATTTGCAAATCAATTGATTCAAGCCGTATAACTTTCTTCATCTCTGGATATAACCACAATTCATGCAATACGGTCGTTTGCTTTAACTTCCCATCTTAGATGGAAATACAAAAGGAAAAAAAGCTGGCGTAGTTCATCTTATAAGTTATAAGTTAAGAAGAACCTCTGGTCTACTCGAGAAACAAAACAATTGGATCCATTTCATTCATTTTCAACCAAAAAAAGACAGACAGACAGACAGAGAGAGAGAGAAAGAAAGAGAGACAGCGCGCGCGCGAGAGAGAGTAGCGAAATAATTCACATCATAATTCATTCCAAAAGTAATTCGCAATCTCAATTCATCAATCTCACTGCCGAACTCTTTATTTTCTATATTTTATTTTGCAGCCCGACACGACACTCACTCTCTTCCGTCTTCCTCAACCTTTTACCCATCTTCTTCCAAACCTTGTATTTCTCCATAATCCATTTTATTAATGATTAGCAAGGCCTACAGGGAAATTTAATTCCAAAGGAAATATCCATTCATTCACCCTTTTTCTTCAAATTTCAAATCAATTAAAAGTCAATTCCACCATACAATACGAATTGATCAAATCAAGCCTTCCCTGTCAATTCTGCGACAAACACTATTGTCCCCAATAAATCGAACCTACACGATGGTTTCTTCAATCCGACCACGAACTCCTGGAACGTCACCATCACATGGCGCCGAGAGATTAGCAGGAATTCCAGAGAACGGAAAGCATAATAATAACACCAATCCCCCTCGCCGTACCAGTCTTGGTGGTTTATTACTTCGTCGATCCAAGTCCGGAAATTTAAACTCCAAGCATAAGAAGGATCTGGCTCAATTGCAAGAGCAAGAGCGTGAAAGACTCCTTCGTGAAGCAGCTGCGATCCCCAGATCTCCACCTCGTCTTCCCGACCTTGCCGTCCCTACACATTTTCCCTCGTTTGGTGGTGAAGATAGACCGGGTTCGGCAACTTCTGGAAATAGTGGTCAGGGTGCGAGAAGTGCTTCTATGGATCCTCAATCCAGATCTTACACAATGAGTAGCACACTCAGTGTGCCAGTTCCGCCAGTTCCTTCGGGTGCGAGGAATGGTGGTTGGGTTGATCCTTATGCTAGATCAGAGAGCATGACACATCGTGGAAGGTACAGCTATGCAAGCAGTGCCGTGAGCACAATTAATAGTCCTCGCAGAGTGCGAAGACGTAAAGATCCTACTCCATTTAAGTAAGTTTTCAACATGACCTTCTCTCTTGACCTTGTATTAATGGCTCTGTAGTGTTCTCATCATTGGCGCACGCGGTGCAGGCAAGACATCTTTCCTTAATTTCCTCAAAACCTCCCTCGCTATCCCTCCCAAGAAGAGATCGAAGCCCGAACCATTGGCCGAAGATATATTTGCTCCACGTACCCCAAGTCTGGAAAATTCGTCTCGCATTATCTCGAATCGGAAATCGAAGGTGAGCGTATTGGTGTAACCTTGTGGGATTCAGAAGGCTTGGATAAAAATGTCGTGGATCTGCAACTTCGAGATATGTCTTCATTTCTCGAAAGCAAATTCGAAGAAACTTTCACGGAAGAAATGAAGGTTATGAGAGCTCCCGGTGTTCAAGATACACACATCCATGCTGTATTCCTCATTCTCGACCCCACACGCCTGGACCAAAATATTGAAGATTCAAAGAATGTGACCACGAATGGAAATGGACATTTTGGAGTATTTGGTACAGGCCCTCGTCTGTTTGGTAGTCTCGATGAAGATCTTGATTTACAAGTCCTCCGTACATTGCAAGGAAAAACTACTGTGATTCCGGTCATCTCAAAAGCCGACACTATTACAACGGCCCACATGACGTATTTGAAGAAGACGGTTTGGGATAGCCTGCGTAAGGCTAATCTCGACCCACTTGAAGCACTCGGACTAGATGATGAACCCGAAAGCCCAATTATCGGCCACAGTCAAAGCCGCCTCGATGAAAGAGATGAATATGCTACTTCTGAGCATGGTTCAGCTTCTTCAGGTGGTTCTCCCAATTCCAAGCGTCTTTCCTCGGGCTCCATTCGTCGCCATAAACGTGAGTCGGAAATCAGCGAGATTCCTTATTTACCTCTCTCAATCATCAGCCCTGATTTGTATGAACCCGATGTCATTGGTCGTAAATTCCCATGGGGTTTTGCGGACCCAATGAATGCTGAGCATTGTGATTTTATACGTTTGAAGGAAGCAGTGTTTGCAGAATGGAGAGGTGAATTGAGGGAGGCGAGTAGGGAACTTTGGTATGAGGGATGGAGAACTAGTCGCCTTAAGGAAAGGGAGGGTCTGGCTAGACGATGATTTTCTGGAGGGGTTATTTGAGACATATGTCTTACCTTTGGTGGTGAACATATTTTGATACAATAACTTCACAATCGCTTTGTGTTTGCGGAGTATGGGAAGCAGCACCAATTTACAATCTCCGGCCAGAAAGGACACAACAAAACTGAATATCTGATCTTCTTCCACCACTTTACCACTTCGATTTCCGGCTTCGAACACAATCAATCATTGTGTTGCATGTTTCAGACATGGCTTTATTTCCTTACACCTTTTACAACAAGTTTTCACGAATGAGGTTTTATTTTATTTTTTTCTTTGATGTTCGAGTACTTTACTCTATTGTCGGATTGGCATGCAATGGATGGAATGGAATGGAATGGATGCATACCCCCCTTTTTTACATTTCGATTTCTTACATTTTCTGATTTCTCTTTTACGCGTGGGTTTACAGCTGCTACTTTTCATTGCATTTGTGATGATGTGGTGGTTGTGAACTGCAGTTTATGAGGTGTTTCTTTTTACGCAGCTGGGTTTGTGGGTTTTGTTTGGGTTTGGAGGGAAATGGAAAGGGAAAGGGAAGGGAAAGGGGAGATGTTCTTGAGAGGTTTTTAAGGAGGAATGATGGATTGATGGAGATTCGTCTGGTGATTTGAGAGGGGAGAATGGGAAGATATTTGAGATGTTTGAGGGGGAAGGGGAAGGGAGGGGAAGAAAACAAAAGAAAGATTGATGAGATGAGATGGCAGTGTGAAAGAATGAGAGAGAGAGAGAAGAGAAGAGAAAAGATTAAGAATGAAATTGATGATTGATACCTATGAATTTTGGGCGGATGGTTTTGTTTTTTGTGCTCTTAGGGTTTTTGTTCATCCTTCTTTTTCTTCTTCTCTTGAAAGAAATAGTTTAGATAGATAGGTAGTGATATGAGAATTTGACATTTTGAGATGAAATCCTGTGGTATTATTGTGTTGCTTTGGACATGTGTTTTGGATGTTTTTGTGGGTGTGGGTATGAAGAAAGGGGGCGGGGAGAGAGGGAGAGGGAGAGGAGAATCATCTATCCTCTAATATACATTATATATAATACGTTAGCCACTGACTACTGAATACTAACCCTTAACCACTAACCACCAAAGTAGAGAAGAAAAGAAGAGGTGAGAAAAGACGAGAAGCAGAAAGTATCCACCTATATACATACATACATACATACATACCTAATCTAAAGCCACTCATCCATCCATCCATCTATCCAAGCGAGAGAGAGAGAGAGAGAGAGAGAGAGAGAGAGAGAGACACACAAGTGCGAGAGAAAGATATTATTTCATGCCATACTATATACTATACTATGCTCTATATATAATACCGAACATACCTAGGTATCACCCACCCATCCTCTTTGTTAGCACACATCAATCAAGATTCAAGATTCGAGGTTCGAGGTTTGAGGTTCGAGGTTCGAGGTTCGAGCGGAAGAGAATAAGAATAGGAATAGGAATAGGAATAGGAATGAAAATACAAGCACAAGTACAAGCACAAGTGCAAACATAAATATAAATATAAATACAAGTACAATTCAAACGTGCAATTCTTATCTTATGAGAGATAGATAATCTCGTGTTATGTTTCATTGCGTTCCATTCCACTTTGTTTATATCCATACTCTCCATACTCATTTTTTATACAGGAGGAAACTTATCCATCTATGATCTGATTGATGCTTCTCCTTCTAATATCATCTCCATACTCAGAAAAATGGCAAACCCCAAAATTCAACATATATCATTCCATTCCATTCAACAACGACAAGACGAAGCGACTAATTGATAAATTCATGTCGACACACCTCACAATTGCGCGTAAAAAAAAGGTTGATAACATTGTAGCGATCTATATATACAATCCCCAAGCCCGAAAACCATATTGTGAATCAATCCTCAAAGCCAAAGCTCTGAATAACAAAGCACCTGCACCTGCACCTCTGACACCAATGTATAGTCTCCAAGATACTGAAAAGCGCAATGTAGATATATTATCCGGGTGTATTGCAGCCCAAACAAATACGTGAACGATAAACATATCCATAATGCGCGTATACATAAATATAGCCCTTTCAAGATGTTGAGGCTTCTTCTTTGACCTCTACATCCTTCCCCTTCTCTTCTGTCTTGGTATCACTTTCTACCTCCTTGGGTAATGGGATATTCTCCTCTATAGGCTCTGTCGGCTTTGCGGGCTCTGTAGGCTCTATAGACTCTGATGCGATTGATGCTGATGGTGCCGCTGATATTAGAGAGGTGGCAGGCAGCTGCGAGCTACCATAGAGATTCCTCTCTAGACCACCTAATAAATCAGGAAAGTCATCCTCATCTTCTTCTTCGCCTGTGGACTTGACCGGTTCTGCTGGTAGTTTTGACTCCTCTGCCCCTTGTGGCTCATTTGATTCATGTGACTCGTTTGACTCGTTTGTCATTTCTATGTCATTTGATTCATGTACCACGTCTGGCTTATTTGACTCATCTATCATGTCTATGTCATTCAACTCATGTACCACGTCTGCCTCAACTGACTCTTTTGGCTCCGTCGATGCATCTAGCTCAGTCGATGCATTTGGCTCAACTGGCTCGTTTTGTTCAATTGATTCAACTTGTTTAGTTTCCTCAGTTGGCGGGGAAATCTCAGTTGGTTCGATGACGACCTCGGCAAAGTCAGTAGCTTCTGGCGCTGCAAGGGGCGGTGAAGTTGGGGCGACTGGCTGCACCTCTTCTCTGACCGGAGAAGCGGAAGAAGTTGCTACTACTGGCTGCTCTATTTCCCTGACTGGTGAAGTGGATGAAAGTGTTGCTATTGGCTGCTCTGCTTCTTCGCTTTGAGCTGTGGCTTGGCTAGGTACCGTAGGTGGTTCTTCCACGACAGGTGTTGGGGAAGGCTCTGCAAAATTTTGAGGAGTTTTCTCTTCCGCTATAGGTGAAGGTTTGACGGGAGACTGAATTGAAGCCTGAACAGCGGGACTAAGACTTGGGATCTCGGCCTCTGTTGGGCTTGCTGCGCCGATCTGGGGATTTCCTGTATTTTCCAGAATATCAAGCAGCATCTCTTCCTCCTCCTCCTCTTCAGCACGGAGTTCTACGGATACCTCCTCGTGCTCTTCAGTGGGATGGGACGGAACAGGGGGCAGCTCGGTTGAGGCGGAGACTTCCGCTATTGATAGCATTTCCTGGTTGATTTTTTCAACGGGAGCTAATGGAATATCAGTCTTCTCGGTCGAAAATGATATTGGCTCCCGCGCAGTAGTTTCGGTAGGGGACACCGTAGGGGTGTTGACTGTGGATGTAGTCAATGCTATTTGCTTCAAGGGACTACCGAACTTCCCTTCATCCTTTACTCTTTCTAGTTCCAATTTCGTAGGTCCGGGAATATCAGTGCCACCCATCGTGACATCGACGCTACTCGATTTTGGAATTTCTTGCGTAGTCGAAATGTTATGGTCTTGGGAAGAGTCTCTATGTGGTCTCGATGGAGAATTAAGGATATCAACAGAATCATCATCATCATCACCTTGGTCCCCTTCATCCCCGACATCGTCATCCGAAGCCGGATTTGAGTCATCTATCATCTCGGTATCGAGGTTCTTCGCTGGAGTCGCACCACCTTCACCTTCAATTTTGATTCCCTGTGCCAATGTTAAAAAAAACCCCGCTACAAATTTCCCAGGAAATCATTATTGACTTACATCAGCTCCCAAGTGAGAGTTTGCCGCATCGCCATTTTGACCCAATGGTTCGCTAGTTACATTGGGGGTAGAAGTAGGCAATATCTTCTTTCGTCCCCTTCCGGGACCTCGTTTCCCTTTCTTACCCACTGGACCCTTGCGTCGGAATGGCGTACCCTCGATCGCATTTGGATCAGGAATGGTTGTTTGAGAAACAACATCTCCTACAACAGTTTGACCGTGGGGCACGATGACTTTCTCCAGGTACTCATTGCCTGCAGCATCTGTCCTGCGAACTGTGGTTTGTACAACTGTAGGGACTGGAGCTGGTTTAGGAATTGTGGAACCTAATCCCTTCCTCCTTTTAGCCAGAAAGTCCATATCCGATGCATTTTGGTGACCAGGAATCTGCTTCCAGGCACGGGCTGTAAAACCGCTATCTCTAGTTTCCTCCTCTTTTTTGTCCGGCTTGTCTCCTAGAATAGCTTCAAGATCTTGTTCTTCTTCATCCATAGGAGTAGGTCGCTTGTATATCTTTCCAGATCGTGCGGCGCGTAGCAAATCTTGACTGTGTTGCGGTAATAGGTGGGAGTCTTTTGGCATTCCCCAAGGCAACTCTTTTGCCCAAATGTCATTTTGAGAGGCATTGCTTTCCTGCGGAGGTGGAGGTGCAACTGTAACGAATTCGCGGCGCCATTGTCTTACTGGAATCCCCTCGAGTATATCATGGTCGACATAGCCCGTGCGATTCTGCCGTCTTCCACCTGTTCGGTACTGCGAATGAATTGTTAGCTTCTAGCTTTTAACCAAGCACTCCCAGGAGCGTGTGCAAATTGACAAAGAGCTTTACAAGATGAGACGAGAGTATGGCGACCAGCCAATTAGGTATGAGAATCCAATTTGTAAAAACTTACAGCGGGCATATCGGCGCGTTGTGTAGAAAAACTATTCGGAGGAAGGAACGAGGTGTCAAGCTCGACCGGCGATATCAATGAGTTGGGATCCCCGGTATTTGACGCAAGTGATGATGCTTTAGTTGAAGTAAGGCTTGAGTTATATGATACGCATTGATCTCCAGAGGTCTTTTGTGATTGTCTCGTACTCTAGTCCGCTTTATTAATCGTATAAGACTTTGTGCCGTTGTGATCGCATTCAGAGAGGCTGTTGGAACGGATTTTGCGACGCTGGGGCTGCGCGTTCGATATGGGTACACTGAGCTACACGCAGACTTTCTAGTAGAATGCATATTAGCAATTGAGCGCGCAATCACGATAATGAATGGATTGGAAGTTGAATTGCTTCACCCAAGACTACATACCTACTTGCGATTGTTAAATACCTAGTATATTAATGGATAAGAACAAAACGCGGAGGGATTAAATGAAAGAAGTGACGCCCAGAGCAAATCGAGAAACATTCATGTTATCACGTGATAGTAAATCACAACACTACTTTGTAGGTAATTTTAACATCTCTTGCCAGGTAAGAAAAAGAATCATTGGAAGGCACACAACTTTGATTTATCTATAGTTGATGAAACTATTTAATATTTCCACTCAAGCTCAAATTGAAAGTTAGGCGCAAGGGAGTCTTGCCATGCAACGTACTCTTGACGCCCATTTTAGTGAGCCGGGAAGTTGACGTTATAGACCAAGAGAGGTACCCTTTCTGCTTCAAACTGTCTCCCATAATCCTGAAGCGTCCAGGACACCAGTGTGCATTTATGGAACAATTGTATAAGTTATGTACCGGCTTAAGCACCTTTTCATGTCACCTTGTTGGCTGAGGGGCGAGTTTCCTGAATTACTTGGTGTAAGAATGTCTCGCCGGACAGACACCAAAGTGCAATTGAACTCCATGTATAGTGATACATTTAACCAGGCCCAAACGTCTTGACTTCATAGCATTTCCTCAAGTCCACAATCCACAACCAGCCGGTAACATCAGTCCAATCTATGTAATGTGAGTTGTACGTTAGACCCCGCACTAGAAGGACTTCTTACCCTGTGTCTTTCTGTCTCATTATGTCATTTCTCCCTCCGGATTGCTTTCCCTACATCGAAAATCAGCAACATATCTTCTATGCAATGGTGTCTGAGGAGTACGTACCGATTTTCCACCTTCAACTACTAATCGATCCAGTTGGAAGAACTGACTAACGACAGTTTGTCTCTGTTGCGGAGACCGTCAGTATACCTTCTATTTCCCACTCAACTTTGTATCTGCATGCTCCTCCAAAAGTCGCCTTGCATTTCAGATCCCAGTGCCAAAAGAAACCTTCCAGTATCATATGAAGTTCTCTGCCGCTACACGTTTGGGCGTACCTTCAAGCTTTGTAATTCCTTCAATCCTTTCTGCATCAATTCCTGGACCTTCCTCTCATCTTGAACATCCTTGTGCTCTCTGAATGAGTCCCTTGTCCTACGTTTCGCATATTCTCGGAAATTGTATGCTGCAAATTGACCGCCTTGTCTCAATAATTGACGATACTATGAGTTAGAAGTAAGTATGGATATATCAATCGGACATTCCCTCTCATGACTTGGCATCACAAGTTTTGTGACATCGAAGTGAAATCGAAGTGGCAACCACTTGCAGGGTAACATTCATGATTACTTACCAGCGATCGAGCTTGTTGCGAAGCTTCGCCTTTCAAACCTGCTACTACAGACATCTTGTTGTAGTAAATTGTTTGGCAGAAAAAAGCTTGAGGTTTCCAGATTCAAAAGTTTGTCACTTCTTCAAACTTCCCTAAGCATCAAAATAAAGAACGGCAAATACCGAGCCCGAATTTCCGTGGACATATGCACGGAGATAACGATAAGATAGCATCGTCATTCACGTGATCCTTTCTTATCCATTCCTTTCCTTTCTTCCTTTCGTTCTTCCTTTCGTTCTTCTTGAAGTGAACGTTGCAAGTACCTTGCCTTTTGCTTCATATGCATCTGCAGATTGTTTCATGAAATGTCTGGATCGTAATATCTGAAGTGGCATGTGTATACATACTTTTGTTACGCATAAAAAGATTTCAGAAGATCCTTATAAAAAGTTCATATCGGACGACTGCATATCATTATCATCGAGGAAAGATCCACATGAATTTGAAACATCTCGTCTTAATAGAATAATTAACGACTAGGCCTACATCATCTAACCCCCCTATTGAGAAAAGTAGCGATCTATGGCTCAGGTGCCGCGCGGAAAGGGGGAGGGGAATGCTTATTAAATCAAAATGGAAAATGATCTGGGGTTCAAACAAGCATTGCTTTGAAACATCTCTGTCAAACTGTAGACAGTCAGTTTATTGCATACAAGCAAAGCAACGTTGACCTGAACGCTACCTATCATATCTATTTCTGTCTAGATGACAACAGTGCGATGTCAATCAGATAGTAGAACACACCAAGACTAACTTCTTCCAGCCTTCCAGCCTTCCAATTGACAATTAGATATATCTAAGTATTATGTATTGTATTATCGTTAGCATCTCCATCTCCATCTCCATCTCCATCTCCGTAAAACTTTCTTTGCTCATTCTGACAAATGATTTCCCCCCTTCGTTACATATACAGGTGTACGAATCCACATTTATACTTTCACCCCCATCTCCCATTTCTTTCCCACATCGTCCCAAGGTTATCTCGAGCTATCAAACGCATCCCCATATAAAAGATCTATTTTGGCTTAATGGTTTGATAGCCTTACGTGTCATTATCATTAACATACGCGTCTTTGTAAGTGAAGAGCTACCGAGCACGTCATTTCCTCTAGGTCATGCCTTTCCCAAACCGGGTTCCATACAAGGCGGGTGAGAGGATATCGAAGCTTTTAGTAAAAAGAAAAAAAATATTAAATTCTCTTGGTAGGCACATAATCTGATACGGACATTATAAAAGTAGCATCGTCCTTGTTTGTTCTCTGTAACTTATTTATACCCACTCTTTCTTAACTTACTTGGACTCTTGCTTTCCATCCATTCATCTCCCTCTCTTCCTCTTCAACTTCTTCATACACACATAGTACATTCCCAGAGGACTCTCTAATAGCCTCAATTGTTCTCACGTATTGCTTGGATCAACTCATACTTTTTACTACCTTCAAACGCAGATATGGCAAACTCTCCCCATGGTGGTGTCCTCAAGTAAGAATGCGAAATTAATAAGACTGCATGAAGTCTTGGGGCGTTGGGGTGCGAATTAACTAACAATCGCAACAGAGATCTTCTCGCAAGAGATTTGTCAAGACACAATGAACTTGCAACAGAGGCCGAAACCCTTCCCGCTGTTGTTCTCACTGAGAGACAACTTTGCGATCTCGAATTGATTTTGAGTGGTGGTTTCTCTCCCCTTGAAGGTATGTCATTTCCGCTTATGTGGAGGGGCATCATGACCCCGCCATTTTGAATATAATCTGCCAAGATATGATAACAGAAATCTATCTATAATGCGACAACAATTGCTAATTCCTCATTCCCAGGTTTTATGACCGAGAAGGATTACAACGGGTACGAGACTGCGCTTTCGAAAATACTTTTACTAGCCTAACATTTTACAGTGTCGTTGAGAACAATCGATTGGCAGATGGCAACGTCTTCAGTATGCCAATTACACTCGATGTATCCCAAGAACAAATCGAGGAGTTAGGAATTAAAGCAGGAGCAAGAGTTACTCTTCGCGATTTCCGTGACGACAGAAACCTTGCAATTATCAACGTCGAGGATGTTTACAGACCCAACAAGTGTGTAATTCCGACCTAGATGAATGAGAAAGATCTAACAAATTGATAGGGAGAAGGAAGCTAAGGAGGTTTTCGGTGGTGATGCCGATCACCCTGCAGTTAAATATTTATACAACACTGCAGCTGAATTTTACGTTGGAGGAAAGATTGACGCCATCAACCGTTTAGAACATTACGATTACGTCGCTTTAAGATGTAGGTGATTCGGTTTCTAGAAACCCCAGAAAGCTACTAATATGAGAAAAGATACCCCCGCAGAAATGAGACTTCACTTCGACAAGCTCGGCTGGTCCAAGGTTGTCGCATTCCAAACCAGAAACCCTATGCACAGAGCTCACAGAGAGTTGACTGTTCGTGCCGCTAGAGCCCGTCAAGCCAACGTTCTTATCCACCCAGTCGTTGGTCTTACCAAGCCAGGTGACATTGACCATTTCACCCGTGTCCGTGTTTACCAGGCACTCCTTCCTAGATACCCTAACGGAATGGCCGTTCTTGGTCTTCTTCCTCTCGCTATGCGTATGGGTGGACCTCGTGAGGCTGTTTGGCACGCCATTATCAGAAAGAACTATGGTGCTACACACTTCATCGTCGGACGTGATCACGCCGGACCAGGAAAGAACAGCAAGGGAGAGGAATTCTATGGTCCATATGATGCTCAATACGCGGTTGAGAAGTTCAAGGACGAGCTCGGAATTGAGGTCGTTCCTTTCCAAATGATGACTTACCTCCCAGATAGCGACGAATATAGACCAAAGGACGAGGTCCCACAAGGTACCCGTACTCTCGACATCTCCGGAACTGAGCTCCGTTCTAGACTTCGCTCTGGCCGTGAGATTCCAGAATGGTTCTCCTACCCAGAAGTTGTCCGTGTTCTTAGAGAATCTCACCCACCTCGTTCTGCTCAAGGTTTCACTGTATTCCTTACTGGTTACCACAGCTCTGGTAAAGACGCAATCGCACGTGCTTTGCAAACTACCCTCAACCAACAAGGTGGACGTTCTGTCTCACTTTTATTAGGCGAGACTGTTCGCGCCGAGCTCTCCTCCGAGCTTGGTTTCAGCCGTGCTGACCGAACCCGCAACATTGGCCGTATTGCATTCGTTGCTTCCGAGTTGACCCGTTCCGGTGCTGCCGTCATTGCTGCACCAATTGCACCATATGAAGATGCTCGTAAGCACGCTCGTGAAATGGTTGAGAAGTATGGTGACTTCTATCTCGTTCACGTTGCTACCAGCCTTGAGCACTCTGAGAAGATCGACAAGAAGGGTGTCTACGCCAAGGCTCGTAACGGTGAAATCAAGGGTTTCACTGGTGTTGATGATCCTTATGAGGTTCCCTCCAAGGCCGACTTCACCGTTGATATCGAGAAGACTAGTGTCAGAAATGCTGTTCACTCAATTATCTTGATGTTGGAGAGCGCGGGTTTGTTGGACCGTCTATAGATAGATAGAATGTTAGTACATTGGTTTGATGGGGTTGGATAGTGCCTTTTGGAATACAATTCAGAATGATAGCATTTCGGGGCGTTTTTTCAAAAAAGGTTTAAATAGACGAGAGCAAAAGTTCTTAGAGTCGCATGCACATGAGTCATGTAGGTAGCGGATGGATATATTGGTAACAGGCGAGTTTATATCTGTTCTTATTATTGAGATCAAATACTATGCACATTTCAGCATCACGTTGAACAACATGTCGTTCGTTTACTTGTACTTGTATTGATTATTCATACCATTCCTGATGTCACTGAACATGGTTTCAACTTTAATATAATGCCAATAGTATATGTTAATACACCCTTGTGAGAATGATCCGTAGAGTATAAAAGAATAGAAGTATTCGAAACTATCCTTCCAACCACCCCAAAACTACAAGCCCAACATCTCCCTTGCCATTCCTATCTTCATACAGCACACGTAGCGTCTGTCTAAAAAAAACTCTTCAACAACAAATTTTCAAAAAGATGAGCGGGTTATTCATTCTCGATCCTCCGTACTTGCTTCATACTTGCTACTTTCTCGAAATATAGATAAAAGCACGAAATATAAAGTAATAGGCAGGCAACCAAAAATCTAACGTGTAAATCCACCAATAGGATTTAATACTATCACTTCAAAGGGTTTGGTAATCAATTCTTCTTTGGCGAGGATTTCGCCGGTGGAAGTGAAGTAGGGGGATGATAGGTGCGTGGTGACTGCTGCTTGGTTTGTGTTTGGGAGGGGGGGTTTGTTAGAACTTGGGGGGTGGGGATGAAGATGTGGATGTGGATGGAGATGGGAGAGGAAGTGAGTTTTAAGATAGAGGAAGGTGAATAGATAGAGAAGTATGCATACAAGTTTCCTGAAAAAGAACAACATTCGAACCGCTCTGCGAGTCTATCTGTTCGAAGGCTTGGTATTTTTTCTGGGAAATATTATATTTCTTTCTTTCTTTCTTTCTTTCTTCCTTTCTTCCTTTCTATCTTTTAATGTTTTGTTCTCATTCATCATTTCGCTTCGCTATATGTATCACAAATTGGTAATTCCCCACCCTTGTTGCGAAAAGGAACGAGATGTATCGAGCGAGGAAAAGCAGAAAACAGATAACTCACAACACCCTGTTCATTTTCACGGACTTTGCTCGCGAGATCGAGGAGGATTTGTTGGAGCTGGGAAGTGGACCTGTTAGCTTGTGTGTGGTTGTGGAGATGAAATGGATGGTGAAGATAGGGATGATCTAGGAGTATTGTGTTGTGGGATTGGAAGGTTAAGTTAGGTAGGAGCAAATTGAGAGGAAAATTGGGTGACGCGAACTCGATTTTCTTTCCCGGGGGTGGGGTGGAAGATGGCGATGACTTGGATTTCTTCGGACATTTTTGGGACGGAAGGGTTTGCGGAGTTGTTTGAGTGTGTGATGCGATGTGATGTGATGTGATGTGGTAGGATTGTATGATATGATTTATGTGTTTTGTAAAGTCGAGATGATTTTTCTCTTGGGTAGAAAGAGTTTCTTGAAGACTAAGAATTTGTAGACCACTTTCGAGCTAGAATATGTAGGGATTTTTGAGTACCACGGAATCACGACCGGTAACTCGAATGATTGTTTGTGAGAGGCGTATGTATAAAGGGTAGATGCAGGTAAGATAGCATGGGGTTCGAGATTCCAACGGTTGGTATATGCTTGTTGGTTGTTGGTTCTATATACGAGTGATATATTTCAAGCTAATTCGTTGCGATATTGATAACTACATCTGATTGGGCTTGCAGCTGGCAACAGCGTGAGGAGAATTTGATTCACAGAGAAGAAATTTTATGACATATGCAGTGGACGTATGACAGTATATGAACTTAACGCTTACAGAGTACGATGCAATATTGATAGACGAATCGACAAATCGACGAATAATGGACTTGATGACTTTCTAACTGCTGTCTTATGGACTTGTCTGCATCTCTTGATAGGGCAACGAGAGATTTCTAGTCACATCGAAAAAACCAATCTTCTGCATAAAGAGAGTCGACGTGATCACTTGACGACCCGAAAGGGAAGATAGAGTTCATGGATCTCGGTCAGTATAGCTACCTACTATAGTGCCTAACTGTTGGTATTGAAATCGTACGGCCGTATAATGCTCTTAATACATGCACAGTATCGAATTCCACTGTTGGAAATTGTGGTGTAGCATAAAAGTATCCTGTTCGCGTGGGAGTCAGAATTGGATCCAGAAGTTTTGATTCGGCCGTTATGAGTTTCCATCTATCTCAATCTCATTAAAAATTGTATCAAAAAGCGACTCAACGAACAATGACACCAAAGACTATATATCTCATCACAGGCGCAAATCGAGGCAAGTAACCAACCATATTGTGTATACAGGCACTCCGTTCTAAAAATTCTTTCAGGAATCGGTTTTGGTATTGTCTCCATATTACTTCAACGCGCCAACACTACAGTAGTGGCGACAGTCCGCAATGAAACGACCGGCGTTGCCCCTCTCAAAGCACTTCCAAAAGCCGACAACAGTGACTTAATCATCACTTACCTCTCAATTCCCACCACTTCCACGACAGAAATCGAAACTTCTCACAAAGCATTGACTGAAGATTTGAAAGCTAGGGATATTAAGAGAATCGACGTCCTCATCGCAAATGCTGGGAGCGGAACCTGTTTCAGGTCAACAGTTGATACACCGTTTTCATCTATCGCAATTGACTTTTGTGCCAATACACTTGGACCGATTGCCCTCTATCAAACTCTCCTTCCCTTCCTCAAAGATTCCACTAATGCGAAGTTTGTTATTATTGGGAGCATCTTGGGAAGCATTGGAGCTATGATGCCTGGAGCACCAACTCTTTCGTATGGAACTAGCAAAGCAGCAGTACACTATGAGATGAGGAGGAGAAGATGGTAGTTTTGACTATTCACCCCGGGTGAGTTCTCAAAAGTGGGCTCTTGTAGGGAGAGAAAACTGATCATAGGTAGATGGGTCCAGACAAAAGACGGGCAGACTTTTGCAGATAGCATTGGTGTTCCTGCGCCACCAATGACGGTGGGATAGAGTGCAGAAGGGGTTCTCGCACAAGTAAGATGTCTTGAGTTCAGGAGGACTTTTGCACTAACACTGGAAACTTTGAAATAGATCGATATAGTAACCAAGGAGACAACTTCAGGAACCTTTGCGGGCTTTGATGGAGTAGAAGTGCCTTGGTAGAAGGAGATAGGAAATGGACAGGCTAGAGAGCATTGTTACAAAAAGAAAGAGAGCGCAGATAGGGAAGACACGTTGTCGGACTGACTATGGTTGAAAAGGCCATGCCCTCAGTAGTTAGATTTCACATCCCAATTATGAAAGCATTTTTGCGCCCACCACGACAATGACCCATCCACTTGAACTACACAAGTCAATTTCTCGTTCTATAAGGGCAATATGGCAAGATATAGTTATAAAGAGCGATCTATGCTTGAAAGCTAGACAGCATATTTATTAAGTGCACTTCGAACGTAGACCGATTGGATATCATAAATGGCGATGAAGGATGATGATCCTTCCGCGCCTTCTTATCATGATAATATATAGAGATGCCGTTCTGCGGAAGAGCCCAATTATGCGCGTCATTGGCTCCTTGCCGACTCATAAGATGGAGTCAAAGGAAAGAAGAAGTTCCCTTTCGATTGGTATCTGCGGTGATCCCTCTGTACCATATTTAATTTCCTTGAAGTCTCATTCAACGGTGTAATCTTGTCTAGCATACCATCCCTTTCATCTTTTGTGCTGTTTGTAAAAATATTCTTACTCGTTACGCCGACACTGAAGATGCTGATACCGACGAATCAACTGACGAATCGAGGCAGCATCTGTTTGCTCATCTCATTAGCCTGGATGGACATAATCAATATCGAGAATAGGGAAATGTACTCAATATCACTTTCGCACCGACCATCGTTCGATACATTGTATACATCACGTGCAAGCCTCCTCAGCTTTGATCTTTCATTAATGCAACCCAGACTCTAGTTGGCACGATGATGGCACATTTGGCATCAAAGCCCCTAGCGGAAATCTCAATATGAGACTGCTGGTCATTGCCAACCTACCTCACCTCGCTCAGCAATAGCTTGACATTTAACAAGAAGAGATATGAAATTTCCGTAGCGCAAACGTGGGACACTCAAGCCAAATCAATTATTCGCCATATGTTCGACGTGGTCTGCAGAGTCGACGGCACGGATTGTAGGGTGCGACTGTGATGTTTCGTGTCAGATAGACTGAAGACTTGCAAGCAGAAGCACATTGAGCCAGCCATATTGTGTGTACCTCAAATGCACCCCGCTGGAAGAAATTTCGAGGTGATGATGATATTCATTATCAAATTAATTGAATTGTCGAAGTATCACTACACCTTGCCAGGGATTTGTGGATTGTGGATGGAAATATATTAGGGGGTTCGTCATCTGTTTACGAGGCTGATAATGATAAACATCATTTATACTTTGTTGTAAACATTAGTTGCTTTGGGTAAAGAATGATCGGGTGGATGTAAGCATTTGCATACCGGTACACAAGAAGATGAAGAAGTTGAGCAATGTGAATACGATTATACCATAATGAGTGTGAAAATTGAAGGTCCTGCGAGATCTTTACCTTGTACAGAGTTGAGTTCTCGATAACGATATCGTAGATAGATACAACTGGATAAAATATGCCAAGCCGGTAGTGAAGCTTTGGTAGATGATCTGTAAAAAAAAAAGGATTGATATAATACTTGACAAATCACAACTCACGCCGCCATGTCTACTTCAAACAAATAAAACCTAGATCACTTTCTTCAATGTTCAACCGCATCATGGATTTCAGAAGTGACACTGCGAGTCTGCGACACTGACACTGACGATGGGAAACTTGGTACCTCCCCTTCTTTCCAGTTCCTCTGGGATCCTATCCTCTACCTCTACAGTTTGATATTACGAGAATCCAACCTTGGAATTTATTTATATTGTATATGAAATCTTTTATCAGTTCGAATGGTTCTAGAACTCAAGAATCCCAGATTGTGGTCTGAAACCTCCAACTTTAGTCAGGGTCTTTCCCGTGCTCCACCACTTCATTCCATCATGGAATTCCCATGGGCTGTGATCCATCCATCAAACAAGGTTCTCCTGACTTAGAGATACTTTTTTGGTCGGAGAGCATTCCCGCTTCCACCACCCGCTCAGCTGAACAGTCTAATCACCAGTAGCAGCTCACTTTACAGATGTCCTTGATGGTTCTATTGGCGGAGACATCCCACCGTATCTTGCCACTTTTTACTCCCAGTTGCAACTGCTGGTAAGCTGCAGCACCTACTCGAGCCGCGCTCTTCAACGCAACAGGAGAGAATTTCAAAGTTGCATGATGCATCTCAAGCAGAAACTGTAGCATTGGCTCTGCAGACTTGTTAGAGATGAAAAATGCAACACATGGGTTCAACCGGTCAAGCATTTTCTTATGGATATTTCCTGGGAAATAAAGTCGAAACAAAATGATCGTTTCATCGACAAACCACAAGCGTGACTGATCGACGTGCTATGTCCGGTGCGGAAATATCATCCCATTCAGTATCAACAAGCAAATCACTTCAAGCATCATTCTGGTTGCAAACAGTGGATGGCAACGAGTAGGAAATGCTGTACCATGGAACTATAGCTAAAGGGGTAAAGGTCGGGGCTTCAATTCAAGACAAATCGGAGCTTGAGAGTAAAAATACAACTTTAAATTCACCAGCGACGCCCCCGCAAATTAGTCGATCCATCCGAAAGAGGCTTGTTCTCTGTTTATGACTGTGGACCGAGTCAAATGCTTGAGGGATGTATGGTTTGAGGAATGAGTAGATGCTCTTGCCGAGTGAATATTTCCTTCATGTCTTTCCCCTACCCAAATTTCTCTTATTTTCATTGCGAGATCTTTGATTTTGATTAGATATCCCAGCTAAGTTTCTTTAACATACTTACATGGCATCGCAGAAATACTAGACTGCACACAGAACCGTTCGATCTTTGTGAGAGAGTCAAACATCTTTCTATCCATAGAAAATATCACGACTCTTAACAGTACGGCACAATCAGGTATTGTCGGTACTTAACTCTGTTCCTCATGATGGTAGCCAAGGGGTATAAACCCCAAATGCTATGGGCAATAATGGAACCAGATTCGCAGAAGAATTCTGACTACACGGTCGTCTTGAGTTCAGGGAAACGTCTACTTCAAAAGCTCGCATATGGATGTATACCCAGTTTCTTACAGAGAAGAACAATACGACCTAGTTCGCCAAAGACGCAAAAGTTGCATCCCACTTCATATCTCGATGGCCTTCGCGGAGTGGCTTCTTTCATCGTATTCATGGGGCATTATACTGAGGAGAATATTGGATGGTGGACTGAGCCATATGGACTCTACGAAGATGGTGCTCCGTCATCACCTATACAACTCCCATTTGTTCGAGTACTATATTCTGCCAGGCCAATGGTACATATATTCTTCATCATTTCTGGATTCGTCCTCACCTACAAACCTCTGAAGCAAATACACTCTCAACAATACTCGGCACTTGCATCTACATTGTCTTCGTCCGTCTTCCGCCGCGCAGTCCGTCTCTTCTTGCCATCTTTTATTACACTCCTTATAATGTCTATGGCCGTATATTATGAGTTCTCAGAAGCTCGATACGGATTTCCCCTATGGTCACTCAGCGCTCAGATTGGGAGTTGGTACGAAACTTGTTGGCAGCTTTTACAATCATCCTGGAAGTGGGACGACTCTTCATTGCCTCTGCCACGTTATAATCCAGCACTTTGGACAATCCCTGTGGAATTCGCGCAATCGATGCTACTATTTATTGTTATACTCGGACTTTCTCACGCTCGTATAAACATGCGGCTTCTCATTCTAGCATGCATCATGTCTTTCTGTTTCTGGAGCGCACAACTACACGCAGTCGAATTTCTGGGCGGAATGTTCATTGCCGAAGTTACACTCCTCCAATCATATAACTCGACGCCATCCAACTCTGCCGAATCCTCCCCTATCCTTCCTACTACCGAATTCGGCGATGAAACTAGAAAATTATCCATTGATACAGCGTCTGAGACTTCGAGTATCAGTACGGCAAGCAATAAAAATACTTGCATGAAGGTATTCTGGATTCTTAACGTTATATGTGGTCTTTATATTTCCTCTTGGACAAATGAGCATGTTGACGAAATTCCGTTCCTCTCAACCCTCGATGCGCATACTCCGGAACCATATAGCGGGCAAAGAGTTTGGTTCTGTCTTGCAGCCTTTCAAATCGTGATTGCATGCACACAACTTACTAGCCTACAATCTCTCTTCAATCTACCGATTCCTCAATATCTAGGCAATATATCATATGCCCTATATTTGACACACAATCTTTGCCTTACGATCCTCGAACCTCGTTTTGGACCGCTGTTCGAAAATACGATTGGAAAAGATTCTTTTATAGGTAGACATGCTTTCTGGGCGGCTGGATTGCTAGTTTATGGACCAATTATATTATGGACAGCAGATGTGTTTTGGAGGGCAGTCGATGTACCGTCTACGAAATTTGCGAGGTGGCTCGAAAGTAAATGTTTGCTTAAGGAAGATGAAAGTCCTAGGAAGAAAAATTCCCTTTTTTAATTTGGTTATGGTTGATGCATTCAGGTCTGGGATTTGAATCGCATGGTTATTGGCGTTGTATAGATATCATGGCAATTGCATATCGAGAGCGTTTTGGGGAATTGGTTTATGAGCGACATATTGGCATTCCAGTTTATGTATTTAGAGGCCATATAATGGCCATTTATAATGATCAAATATTCCATAACACGTTGGGATATCAGAATCAAAATACTCAGGTGTTAAAGGGAGGACGAGAAAGATTTTGCGGCAAGTTGGAGACTCTGGGGCACCCAAGATACTCTATCTTTTCAATATTTGATATCAAATGAAATGATCACTATTTTGAATTGAAAGCCGAATATATACACATAAATCTTTTATGTATCATTTTTCTATATAAACTTCTATTTGGTATCTCGGTTTTCCAAGTAACCTACAGTTGGTGGTACCTAACCTTGCACAACTATCAAGCTATAAGCCAAGCGCGAACCCCCCATCTTTCTTATCAACAAACTACAACTTTCAAGCTTCCAGAGAAATGAACTTCACTGGAATGTACAAGTCCAAGCTTCACAATAGGATTTCATCTTGGCTCAAGGTGGTATACTAATTTCTTTGCTCTTCTGTTATAGAAAGCTCCTTTCCTTGCGTCCTGAGAACATTCTCGCTTTTCCTTTCCAAGAGTTGTCTCTAGCTTCACATTTCTTCCTTCCCATTTTCGTAATTAGCCATCAGTGTGCACTCCCAATTGCCATTGCATCTTCAATGTACCTGCTATACTAACACAACTTACCTCACCATGGCTACCCAGAAAACAGTCTTGATCACAGGGTACCTCTTCCCTTTCTCTCCTCATACCATATATCTAAACTAACAAACCCCCAGTTGCACTGCAGGCGGAATCGGACACTCCCTCGCCCTCGACTTTCACGCTCGCGGCTATCTCGTTATTGCCAGCGCTCGCTCGGCGACTAAGATAACAGATTTGGCGGAATTGGGTTTGAGAACATTGAGTCTCGATGTTACGGACGGGAAGAGTATTGAGGAAGCCAAGAGGGAAATCGAGGGATGGATTGAGAATGGGGAGATGGGGGGATTGGATGTGCTGGTTAACAATGCGTGAGTGAGGAACATATTTCTGGGAGAGACTGTGGAGGGGTTCGTGATGGGATGCGATTGGGGACGCGCTGCTAATGTATATAGTTTAGGGGGAGAAATTGCACGCTGCCTGCTTTGGATGTAGATTTGGACGATGCGCGCCATTGTTTTGAGACGAATGTTTTTGGAGTCATGGCTATGTGTCAGGCTTTTGTACCTCTATTGATTAAACGAAAGGGACTCATTGTCAATATTGGAAGTTTAGCAGCTGTAAGTCCATCCCATACTCTCATCCCATGTCCCGTCTAAACCATCACATCACTTCAAACAACATCCTAACATCCCGCCACCAGATCCTCCCCTACGTCTTCGGCAGTGTTTATAATGCCTCTAAAGCCGCTCTGCACGCCTATTCCCGTACTCTCCGTCTCGAACTCGCGCCCTATTCCGTGCGCGTAATGGTCGTTGTAACAGGTGGCGTACAATCCAACATCGCGCGTACACCCCGCACACTTCCCCCCTCGTCGCTCTACCTCGAAATCGAAGATGAGTTCCAGACTCGAGTCAAGCACAGTCAGAGTGGAAATGCAATCCCCAATGTGGAATATGCAAAGGGTGTAGTAGATGCGGTTGTTAAAGGGGGACAGAGAACGCTTTGGAGGGGAAATAAAACGTGGATTGTTTGGTTTGCGAGAAATTGGATTGGCAGCTGGTTTTTCGATTTGGTGCTTCCGGGAATGTTTGGGTTGAGCAGGTTGAAGGGGTTGATTAAGAGGAGGGAGAGGAGTGGTGAGGGGAAGAAATCGTTGTAGGGTGTTAGGTAGGTGATGTGTTGATTGTGAGATATATATCGTATTAACCCAACACTTTTGAGGTTGCTTCCATTGCGTTTGTGTCATATATATAAGATGCTTGGATTTAGTTTTCCATATACTATTTATATTTTGAGATGGCATATCATGGCTTGGAAACTCTTTAATGTCGTCAAGGCACGCATTTTAGCAGACTTTTTTCTACTAGATAGATTCTTGATCATTATATACATCTCTTTTACAAACATATCTCTTGCGCTCTTGATCAGTCAGCCAAACTTATTTCCATATCCAAACGTACCAAAAGTCCTAGACCGATCGCCTCAACCAAATCCCAAACCAGGGCCAGATACCCAGACACGAAAAAGAAAATATAGACCTCTAGGACATGCTTACACCCTAAAATCCAAGCTTTTACTCCCCCAACAAAATACTCCTCTCATCTCTCACATTAACCCACACATACTCCACACACCTCGGATCCGTCTTTCCCTCTCCCAACGTCACCGCCAACAAATTCGTCTCGAACCACGTAGGTCTCATACCGAACTTCTCCAGCCGCTCCCACCATTTCGTAAAGCGTTCAAAATGCACATGTTCATCATCCACCAAATGCAACTCGATCATCACCTGTCCCACGGGTAGTTTCCCATCCCCACCCCCCTCCACATCGTAGAAATCCATAAACGCATCCAGCGCCGTGTACTCCGACCCTTCGATATCAATTTTTAAAATATCGATGTACGAATGATTATTCTGCTTCATGAGCGTTTGCAGCGTGTAGAAGGGGGGAGTCCGCGATGGGATATCTCTGGCTCCTAAACCGTATTTGTGGAAGTGTGCGCGCGAGGCGTGGGAGGAGGAGAGCTGGGGACCGAATTTCGTGACGGAGAAATCGTAGGCGTGGACTTGGGCGCTGGGGATGCGAGAGAGCATCTCGGCTTCGAAGGTGGATTCGTCGTTGACGCCGAAACTGTAGATGGTTATGTCGTCGTTTGGGTTTGTGGTTTGGGAGGAGGAGGAGCGATGTTTTTCATAGAGACTCATACCGCAAACCCACTTTCCGCCGTCGCCGAGACGGCCTACGCGCTGGATATCGTGCGGACAGGTCCAGGTTGCGGGGAAGAAATCCCAGAGGGTGTAAGGGGTTTTGGAGAAATCGGACAGTTTTTGGGCGGGGAAGAGAGGGATGTGTGGGTATTTGGGGTGGTGGGAGGCCATTTCGTGGCGGAGAGAGACGGAGGTGCGCCAGGCGGTCTCGGAGCGCGAGATGCGTTGTTGGATGGTGAGGGGCTTGGAGGGGGAGGAGATGGATGGGTGGAATTTGGAGGGAGAGTCTAGGTTGGGGGTGGGGAGCACGAGGTTGGATTGGTGGAAGATGACGAAGAGGAAGAAGGCGAAGGCGAGCCAGAACCAGATGCCGCAGACTGAGAGGGCAGTGGGGGTTAGATGGATTGTTTTGTGAAGAGGGGTTGGGGGTGTAGAGATGGGATTGAATACATACCTTGTGCAACTCGTAAAGCCATATTGAAAGATATCTTGAAAACGAGACGGAGAATGCGAGATAAAGACGTAGGTTAAGTATCAAAAAAAACTTGAGTAACGAGTATATATCTCCAAAGCCTTTCAACCACACTTCCTATCTATCTATATCCGACAAATCTGAAATCGAGATAGAGATACGATTGTAAAGAGAAGAAATATGAATGAACAAAGTATGAGGTATGGTATCAAGCAAGCCCGCGATTCCCATTCACCACCATACCCGCATTCCAATTGATAAGAAAGCGTTCTGTCGACGCCTTTGAAAACGCTCCGGAAATAGACCAATACCCGAGGAATGGAACGAAAAGCTTATGAGCAGGAATGACAATCCGCACGCATAGATGGGGATATTTCAAATGCAATGAGAGATCCGCGTGCGTAATAAGAATTAGAAGCTCAACTCAAACCTCTATATGCATGCTATACAACGAAGTTCAAACTCTAAACTTCCAAGTCCGAAAAGCAAGAAAAAGGAGAAGAAGAAGCAGCAAACAGATACACAAGAGATAAGAATACCAGAACGTAAAGATAATTATTCACAAAAGGACCTGAAAAAAAGACCCGAAAAGAAAGGAAACCCCGGAACCTCGTAAAATATAAGGAAAACTTCCCAGATAATCTTCTGCCACGTTGTAACTAACATCCAACTTCTTCCCTCCCTGTAGACTTTCTCGATTGATTGATGCATGATCTTCTATCCTCCCTCTCTCCACCCATCCATCTCCATCCAGCCTCACACAACCAAGCAAATCATCATAACCATAGCCATAGCCATATCCACATCAGTATCTACAGCAAGAAACCCACTCACCCACCCCCTCAAAATCACGTACAAGAGACCTCCTCCCTCCTCTCTCCTTCCCAAATCCCCAATCCCTCAAACAAAAGAAGAGTGGAATAGAGTATACTATTCCCTTCCCTCCTCTCCCCTCTCAAAAACTCAAAAACCAAACACCAAACACCAAACGTACGTAAATCTCGCTGCATAGCCGGATACCATCCTATCCATCCAACCATGTAGCTAGATAGCTAAACACAAAATCGCTACGTATATCAAACTTCCCTCACTCAGCAAACAGCCTCAGCGCCTCGCCCACCCGTCTCTCATCGACCACCACGCCCCCTTCATCACGTGTCGTGTCAGCTCCCGTCCACCCGCTCACCATGATTGACAGCGCCAAGCTACACGAGAAATTACGTCAAAGAATCAATCTAGGAGTAGAAAGGAGTGGGTGATCAAAATCCTCAACAATCAATGTGATTCCTCCGTAGAAATAAGAATACAAATTATTAGGTCTATGCTTTTCTTCAACAACTCAAAAGCAGACCCGTGGGAACTCTCCTAGTCGCATTATTACGCGCGGGAGGATTCCACCAACAATACATGGGGGAGATAAGCTCAACGAATAGAATCACTGTCCTCTTTTCTTCTTCTTCTCGAACGAAACATTCATTTCGTGCTAATATTGCGAGGGAGTGTTATGATATCATTGCTATGCTATTCTATACCTCCTCACATCACCATATCTTAAGCTCAAGTCCCACATTGCATGCAAATGGAACCTGCACATTGCAAACTACCTCCCTGCTTATATAAACCACAAAATATCCCATCAAAAGAGTTCGTATCCTTTCCAGATGTAGAATTGCTCTTGCTTTCATAGCTTGCAAAAAATCTCCCTCATATTCCCATGTCGTACTTTTTCATGCTGGCACTATACTTTCGCAGTAGGTAGGATATCATTTCGTAAACAAATCGTAATCTCATTCCATCCATCTTTATAGGAGGCATTTTCTCATAATCTCATACTATCATATCATTTTCGTATCTTCCATAATATTGCATTCATGATTGAAAAGATGTCCTAGGTTTTCAACCCTCATCTTCATCTTCTTCAACCAATGCCGGTGTTCTTCTTTCGTTTCTTCGTTTCGGTCGCCTGTGTCTTGAACTGCTGATGTTACTTGCAGAATCATCTGGTGCTAATTCACTTTGCATTTCATCTTCATCCCAATCAGCTTCACTCATAAACTCGCTGCCACCTTCGGCCCAACTTGGTCTCTCATATCCTGGTCCCAAACCTGCCGAGTAAGGACCAGGAGTGCCAACAATGATTTCTGGACGACTTGTTCGTCTTGACTCTGCTGCCATAGTCAATCCAACACCACGTTCACGAAGAGCTTTACGAACAGCCTCGGCCTTTCGATGTAAACCTTCAAATGCATCCTCAAGTGCCTCCATTCCTACATATATCTCACGCTCTATTTCAGCCAAGACAGCAATTTCAGCCTCCTCGTCGTTAGAGACTGGATGCCTGTATTGTTGGGATGGAGTAGGACCACGAGAACCATAACTAGCTGACCGAGGTGAAAATGGTGTGTTGTTACGAGAAGGGCCTCTCATGACAGGCGATGGTCCTCGGTAACCATTCGGTGTGGGTCCGCGAGAAGGGAATTCATCAATAACTTCATTGTCAGCTCCAGACCATAAGAATCCATCAAATCGGCCGGATATCAAAATCTCCCATTCTGATGGTGCAATGCCAGAAATTGTTGCAAGAAGATTGTGAATATGAGGGTTCTTTAGTAGATATATTGCGACTTCTGGATCTCGTGGAGGAAGTGGCAATCGATACAGTCGTTGCATAGACTGTACTGTTCTGATCATGAAATCCGAGCGTGGTTTTCGTAATGGAGTAGGTGCTCGTGAAACGGGTTGTAATGTAGTGGAGCCACTAAGCAAAGCGTTGAAGAGAGGTCGGTCATGGTGGTTGAGATGAGTTAGTATAGCAAATGAAAGAGTTTCATCATCAACCTCTTGAGGGGGTGCAGATGTTGTTTCGGGGCAACTTGATAGCCATTTGTCAACCGATGCTTTTGTTTTTATGGATTGTCGTAGATAATGTTCCCGAAATTCGTCAGCTACGTCAGGATCGATCTTGATAGGTGATCCAGGTCTGTGATGACCTGATATACCAAGACCAGCTAAGTCATCGACTGATTTCGCACCAAGTGCTGAGAAATCAAAGGCAGGCCATTCTGGAAGTTCACGTCGACCACTGACCCATTCCAAAACTTCTCCCCATGAGAGACCTCTACTTCCCTCGTGAGAATCAAGATCTAAGTCCTGGCACATAACACACAAGCAGCCATCAGATGATAGATCTCTAGCAAAAACATTTTCCAAGCGGTCGAGCAATCTCCTTGCAACGGAGCGATATCCAGTAGCAACTGCGAGCGATCCACTCTTATTGATGACCGTTTCGTATTGGTCCAGGATGTTGAAGTATGGTCCGAATATCTTCTGGATTTCCGCGGGAGGAGAGGACCTTGATGAATTGAGCGACTGGGAGGAGGTAGAGAGTAAAGTCTTGGGAACCGGACGGACCAATCCGCCATTTTGGAGGAGGTAATCAACGCTAGGGATGTTTAATGGTAAATTCGGGGGAGGGGGTGGTGGAGGAGGACGTGGAGAGCCATACACACTAGATTTAACAGAGGACGCATCAAAATGCATATAAGGAGATGGAGTAGATTTTATATCAGCCGCTCCTGGAGGTGGAAATTGGGGAGTCTGAGTGGGAGTTTTTGGCGAAGAATCCTGTGCTGAAGCCGGGGAGGAATCCGTATCGATATTGGTAGGCCTTCGGCGAGATGTAGGTTGTGACTGTCTTTTACCTGCCACAGATGTGACATTGGAGTCATCGTCCTCGTCATACCTTTCAGACTTTGAGGTCCTGGAACTTGAAGTCCGTATGGGTGGTGTACCAGTCTTTAATGGCCTAGATTTTGAAGATGTGGATGACCGGTCTTCTTTCTCCTTTCTTGATGACTTCCGGTGTTCCGAGCTTCGAGAACTGGGTCTTGAGGACATTTCAGAACCCTCCTCCCTGACCTTGCTCATTCTTGAAGATGTAGATTTCTGTCGGTGTGTAAATTCAGTATCTGGTGGACTGGGTGGTCTGCCTTTTGCAGAAGCTGCTCGTCTTAGGTTTTCTGCAGATCTGGATTTATTCTTCTCAGAGTCGATATCTGTTGCTTCTGGCGTGTAAGGTCCAGATTTCGATTTTGCAGGCCTCTCTGACACATAGCTATTTACAGCCTCTTTACTGTAATTTTTATTAAAACTTGGGTAGGATGATGTGCCTGGCGTAGAGGAAGTCCTCGAGAGCTCAGGAACAACATCCGCCATTGTAGTAGTTGTCACCTCCGACATGCCTTCACTTATTTTCTCCCTCTTTCGACGATGAGATGACTTAACAGGCTCTCCCGTTTCAGGATCTATGGCCTTTGGTCTTGATTTGTGCTTTCGATTTGGATCTTTATCACTTTTGGACGATCGGTGACGCAGCTTCTCGGATGAGAGTTGTTCGTTTTCGACCTCAGGATCGTTATCGCGGTCTTTATGAGGCATTGCTAACACGATCTTTATTATTGAGATCTGGTAGACGGCGCTTAAAACTTGATTTGTTGGCGGCGCATGTGGAGCAAAAGGCGAAATGGAACAAATTGGGCGAATGAACGGCGGTGAGTACTAAGGCTGCAACAGAATTTATGAATGAACGTAGCAGTTGGTAAACGGTTGCTATGACATCAAACCAGGCAAGAATAAGGGTTAAGCAAGTGAGTGGAGGAGATCAAGTACAGACAGAATCAAAAGAGCGTGTAAGGCATGAGACTTTCAGAAGCTATGTCGAAATGGGTTTGAGGGGGAGGAAGGGAGTGGATCGATAACTGGGATCGATCACACGTTCATACGTTGGCAGATAGTCAGAGTTATGAATGGTGATAGTTGATAGGTGAGACTGAAGTTTTGAATTTTGCCGACGTCGTGGGGAATGTTGCTTTGGGAAAGGAAAAGAGAATAAAAGACGATCCGAATTGAGTGAATGGGAAAGAGATTGAATGAAATAATTATCATGCCATATATGGTTGATTGATTGGTTGATTGATTGATTGATTGATTGATTGATTGATTAAA